TTTTTTTTTTTAGCATAATGGTTTTTATTTATTTAAAGATATATTTTCATTTATTTATACAAGCACTGGGTACAGTCAGAAGCGTGGGAGGCTGAGAGAATTCACCAGAGCCAGAGCGGGGAGCAGAGCAGGCAGAAGGACCGAAGTACACTGCTGAGGGGAGCAGCGGGCGGCAGGAGAGGTCTGCGCGCCATGTGGGACCCTCCTCTGGTGGCCGGGGAGCAGCCGGGGATCGAACCGGCGCTGCAGAGGCTGCGGGCAGCTTCGCAACTCAGAGCTCAACTGCTGCGCCACAGGGGAGGCCCTCCATTGTTTTATTTTCCATAAACACAAGGCTCCCGCCCACCAGCGCCCCCCCCCCCCCTTGGCTCGCTGAGAACGCTGCGTGTCTTGAATCTCTTGCGTATTCACCCGCGCGTGGGGTTCCGGGTGTGTCCTCAGCCCGTGCTGAACGTTTGGGGCAACTGCCAAACCTCCCCGACGGCGGCATCTATGTTGCCTCGCGGCCGCCCCGGAGCAGCTCGTCAGCCTTCGGCCTCTCGGGTCTTTGTATGCCAGGCGCCCAGACGGCGCGTTTGGGGCTTCTCAATACGTGTCTAGAACGCCTGCTTTTTTTTGAAACTGGCGGCGTGCCCCGTGAACGGTCCTTGCGGACACCCTCGCCACGGCGCCGCTGGGCGGTCTTCTGGTGTCTCCTCTGTTGCCCCTTCTCCGGTCCGGCTTTATTCTGGGTTATTTTTAGAAACTCATTGACCTCTTAGCTGCACATCTGCCGTCTCTGTGGACGGGTCGTGGCTCCGGGATTACGTCCTACGCCCTGAACTGTTTTCAGCCCGGCACCCAAGGTACCTGGCGCACGCCCCGCGTGGAGGGCGACGCCGCAGTCCTGCCAGCGTCTGGCATCACGCCTGCCAGCCTTCACGCTGTCCTTGCCACGCCACGTCCACTGATGCTGCAGACCCCACAGGCCCACCTGGCTTTGCCACGCTCCTCTTTTTGCCACTGTTCTCGAGAGGGGAGTCAGCTTTCCTCTCTTACCCAGGCGCTGCCACTCCCGACCCCCTTCACGGCTTCCGAAGCTCCAGCAGCGCCCGCTTCTGGCTGAAGAATTTCCTTCAGCTTTTCTTGCAGCACAGGCAGCCAACACCCCAGCTTTCCATTTACCTGTGTCTTTGTTTGTCCTTCACTCTCTAAAGGTATTTTCCACTGCAGGTGAAAGTCTAGACTGAGTTGTCTCACTTCACAGTTTAAGAACGTCGCCCCTGGTTGTCCGGCCTCTACAGCGTCGGGGACGCCTGCAGTCCTTCCGCGCTGTTCTGTACACGACGGGTCGTTCTTCTCTGGCTTAAGACTTCCTCCCTACCTTGGGCATTCCGCAGGTGGGCTGCAACGTGCCACGTGTGATTTTTCTATTTATCCTACTTGGGATCCACTGAGCTTCTTGAATCTGTACATTGTATGCCCTTCACTGACTGGGCAAGTTCTCAGCTGTCACCTCTCTAGATCCTGGGGCTTGAAGCTTCCTGATCCTAGACCTCATCCTTGTCCTCGAAGTCCTTAAGACTCTGCTTGATTTCCTAGAACTTTTTCCTCCATATTGAATCGGTTCTACTCATAGTATCCTCGGGTTCACTGATTCTTTGCTGTCACTGTTGTGAAGCCCACCAAGTGCATTTTTCAATTTCAGGTATTGTGTTTTTCAGTTCTAAGATTTCCATTTCATTTTCTTGGTGGAGGTTCCCTCTTTTATTATGAGCGTGAGTGAGTGTTGCAATGACAGCTGCTTTGAAGCCTTTGTCTGATCACGCCAACAACTTGGATACCGCTGAAGTCCCCAAGCAGGGCTGTACTGTGGAGTGAGTGTTGCGTTGTGGCCGTGCTAGGTTCTGTTACATTCCTTTGGTGAGTGTCTTTTGTCTTAGCTGACAACTGGTTCCCTTGGTGAGATTCAAGTTGCCGGCTCCGTCCAGCCTGCAGTGGCAGCAGCTCGGATTTCAGTTGGGGTGTCTTAGCTTGCCTGCGAGCTGTTCTGAGTTGGCCATGTGCTGTACAGTTCAGAAGACACTAGAGACGTGGGGGGAAGCTCCCACACACCTGCCATCCCAAACATAGGGAAAAAACCCCCACACTTTGGTACCTCACAGCCCGACGTGCGGAATGCCTTCCTGAGCGTGGACTCGTCCTTCTCTGGTGCTCTCGTTTCTGGGATCCTCCCCTCGTGTGTCTCTGGGCCCCCCCCTCCCGGCTCCATCCTCTGATCTCCCCAAAATAGCTACTGTTTTCTATCGGAACTCCAGCTGACCCGCACCACCACAGTGTCCTTGGCCTGAAGCTTCCAATTTTTCCATTCCTTTCCAAAATCTGCCTACCTGTGTCCACCCTCCAGTTTCTAGGGAACCACTTTCACTTCTTTGGGCTGGGGGGTGTATTTGCCCAGACTTTGTAGTTGTTACCTGCATATGAGTTAACCTCAGGCGCTTACCTTTCCCCAACCTCATTATTTCATACCTAACCACGCCACCAACTACGTATACAGACAAAGCCATTTTCAAATGGGCAATGTCTCAAAAAAGAATCCCCTCCCAGATGTTTGCTTGGGAAGCTAGTGGAGCACGTCCTTTAGCAAAAATGAGGTTTCAAACCAAGTAAACATGCACACGCAGCACAAGATAGTAGCCTGGGGGTGACGGGAATGGGCCCACAGACCTGGGGAACACTGAGGCCACATTGTGGAGAGGAGCAGCAGTCTTCAGGGGCAATTTCTTCAAGATGATTTTGAAGAGATTTACATAATTAGGAAGTGTTTGGATTTGAATTACTGTTAAGTACACAGAAAATTAAACCAATAAACAACAGAAAATTATTTCACTCCGGGGAAAACATTATGTACAGGGGAAGACAAAGTAATCACAGTATGCTGTATGGTTTAGCTATGAATAGATACTACACAGTCGTGATGTAAATCTTGAGCGCTGATCTAGTTAAATCTGTGAAGCAGCTATACCCAGAGAGTGGAAGTGGGAGGCAGGGTGGGTGAAAGAAAGGCGCTAAATGAGTGATTCTCAATGGAGGGTGACTTCGACCTTCTGGGGGACATTAGGAAACGTCTGGAAGTATTTTTGGTTGTCACACAGAGGGGAGAGGATATTGCTGGCATCTGCTGGGTAGAATCTGCTGGGATGCTGGGGAACAGCCTTCAATGCACACCCGCAGCGAAACATCAGCTGGTCCAAAATCACAGTCGTGCCATTGTTGAAAACCCTGAGCTAATCATCATTTTCCATCGTGGCGTGTCAGCAGATAATATCTAAAATCTAAGCATCAAGTAGCAACAATATGAGCATGTTGAGGTACTGTGAGAGAAATAAAATCAGCTGACAGCTTTGAGTGAGGTGGGACCTGCGGCCTTGTAGAATGCTGCCTTTAAGCGACATGCACATACAAGTTGGGTATTTTGAGTGACTTATCTGTGATAAAAGAAAATTACTGGCCCTCCCTGGTGGCGCCGCGCTATCAAGCTATGGGCAGCCACTGTGGCCTGAGTTTGATCCCCAGCCAGGGAGCTCCCCACAGGGCGCAGCGACTCTCCTGTCCCCTTGCTGCTCCCCTCCGCAGTGTGTTTCAGTCCGTCTGCCTGTTCTGCTCCCCACTCTGTCTCTGGGGAATCCTCTCACCCTCCCGCACCTCTGGCCTGTACCCCAGTTCTTGTGTGCATAAATGAATCTTTTCAAAAAATTACTTAGAAAGTATAGGAAGAAATTCCTGTTCTTGACAGAATTTTTTGATCTGTGGCTGGGGTAGGACATGGTCTTCTTCCTCCAAAAATTGTTCCAAAAAGCAAAAAAAAAAAAAATTGCTGCATGTCCGTTACGTGGGGGCCACACGTGGCGTGGAGGCTCATGCCTCTTCGGAGCCGCCGCCGGATCTGTGGCTCCTCCACTCCAGGCTGCACTTGGCTCAACCTTCTGGGATGGTGACAGGGGATGGAGGCGCCCGGCCCTCCCCCTGGCGGCAGCCTGCCAGAACTGCAGGCCTGGCATTTTTGAGGGACACCAGCCCCCCATGATCTGGGGATGCCAACCCGAGCATCTGAAGAAGCCGCAGGCATCTCACCTACTCGCCTCTGCGGCTCCTGTCAGCACACAGGCCGTCTGGAGCGTATGTTTTGAGGACGGCAGTGGGTTCCAGAGTCCCACCGCGGGTTAAACTGAGTTTGAGTGTTTCAAGGTCGGGAAACTAAAGCCGCCTGCACGGAAGGCAGGAGAAGGGGCGCGGCAGGGGCCCGGTGACGGGGCAGCAGGCGTCAAGCTTTTCTGCTCTTTACGAGGGGATCTTCCTCGGGGCCCCGGAGGAGCCGTGTGCGCCTGCCCCTCCCCCCGCCCCCTGGGCAGCAGAGGCAGAGCCCCGCCGCGCGGTGGGCGTCCAGCAGCTCAGTGTCTGACCCCAGGGGAGCTCGGGGTGACACAGCTTCCCCACCGGCCTGGGGTCGAGCAGCATGGGAGTGGGGGTGGCGGTGGGGACCCCAGCAGGTGGGTCTCCGCCAAGAGCATGGGGCACACGGCCAGGCCAAGGCCTGGGGGGGGGGTCGGGGGTCCAGCCACTCTCCCTGCGATTGTCACCCGGGGTCGCTGTGTCTGCTCCAGGCCCCCTCCTCTGGCGGGAAGAGTGGGCGGGGGTCGCGGGGGCGACGGGCTCTGGGCAGGTGTCTCCTCGGCAAGCAGGGCTGGGTGCTGGTCAGCACGCCCAGCCTCCCCCCACCTGGGAGTGACCGTCTGGACTGCAGGGATGGCAGCGGCTGGAAAGCGGCCAGGATCTCAGCTCTGTGCAGGACAAGGGCCAGCCTGCTGGACAATCCCAGAGGCCCCTTGCGGTCACTGCAGGGGCTCGCTCCCGCCCCCATCTCGTACCAGGCGTGAGACCCTGAGAGGCGGCCCCCGTGCTGGCTCCCAGACCACACGCGCCCCTGGGGACACACGCCCTGACCTCCTGTCCCCCTGCAGGTCAACAACGAGAACGTGGTGAAGGTGGGCCACCGGCAGGTGGTGAACATGATCCGCCAAGGAGGGAACCACCTCGTCCTGAAGGTGGTGACGGTGACCCGGAGTCTCGACCCCGACGACACCGCCAGAAAGAAAGGTGCCTGCCCGGGGCCCTCCAGGGGCAGGGCGGGCTTCCCTCTGGCCTCCCGTGCCCTCTCTCAGGCCCTTGGGGTCAGCACCCTCGTAGAGACGGCCAGCTGGGGCGGTGCTCTGGGGCCATGCAGGCAGCGGTGCCAAGGCCAGGGCTGTGCTTGGCAGGCCAGGTCTGGGGCCCCCGCTGGCCCCCCACCGGCCCCTGGCCTGGGCCTCGCCAGCCTGCAGCCTGTGCCCATGGAGGGCGAGGTCCAGGGCCTCACATTTGCGGAGCTGACCCCGTGACTCGGGCTGACCCTCCTCCTGAGGGAGGCGGTTGGGGACCCTGGGGGCGAGCGAGGGGCCCAGGAGCAGGCCACATGCGTCCCCAGTGTGTGCCCAGCCCAGGGCCCCCACCTGGCAGGCAGCACAGCCAGGCGGGCCACTGGGAGGGGGCGCAAAGGTGCCCACCGCTGTGCCCGCCCGCGGCACCCGAACGTCCCTCATTAGTCTCAGGCAGGCGGCCTCCCTGCTCTGGTGCCTCCCACGGGGTATCTGGCCTTGGGGCCCCCCAGACAGGTGGGCAGGCACCCCAAGTGTCAGGTGTGCTGCGGGGGCTGACGGCCTCAGGGCAGCGGCCCCCCCCCCCAGGCTGCAGGCACCGGCACGTGGCCGGCCAGGCGACCGCCCGGGCCCTGGGGCGGGGGGGGGGGTGGCGGGGCAGCCAGCCGGGGTCTCAGGCCTCCCGCTCCTGCCTGCCCCCAGCTCCCCCGCCGCCGAAGCGGGCTCCGACCACAGCCCTCACCCTGCGATCCAAGTCCATGACCTCGGAGCTGGAGGAGCTCGGTAAGGCTCACCCCTCCGCCGCCGCGCCCGGCCGGGACCAGCGGGCGTCAGGAGCGCCCTGGGCTCCCGGGCAGCCCGCCGGGTCCCTGGCCCCGGGGAGGGGGCAGCAGCCTGGGCCTGTCAGTTAATCTAACATTGCTTTGTTTTGAATTTTTGGGCCTCTCACTAGTGGACAAAGGTAAGCCGCCCCACGGTGCCCCCAAACAGCTCCCTGCTGTTTAGGGCACCCCTCAAATCGGCTTGACCAGCCCTCCCTCACGCCCAGCTCAGTCCACAGCGTGGCCCGGGGCGGGCACCTCCCATGAGACCCCCAGGGGCAGGGCCCCAGGCCAGCCTGGCCCTGTGGAGGGGGCCACCTGGCTCAAGCGCCCGGTGGGGGCACCCCAGGCCCTCATCAGCCGTGTGGGAGCGACGCTGGCCCAGCCGAAGACGGCTCCCGGGCCCCGCCCCCACCGGCCTGAGGGCTGGTTGGCAGCTGGGCGGGCAGGGCCCCCCCCCCCCCGCCCTGCGATGGGACTCTGCAGGGGGGCGCCTGCCTACGGCCAAGCTGCCCCCACCCGCCCTCGCCGTGGCCACGCCGGTCAGTCCAAATAGGACGCCGTGCCCGCTCTGCCCCCGCCCAAGGGCACGCGGCCACGGGCAGGCCCTCCAGGAGGGCTGATGGGGGGCAGGCGCGGCCCCACCGCCTTGGGTCCGACCCCGTAACCTTGGAGCCGGGTGGGGTGGGCTGAGGGCTCCCAGCGGCGCGGGGGGCACGGCCCTGTGGGACTCACGCCCCCCTTTCTGTTTCAAGCCTCCGTCCGGAAGAAGAAGGGTAAGGGGCCACGTGTCTGTCGCCAGCCCCCGCCCGCACGCCATGGGCGGGAACCCTCTGTGGCCGTCGCGTCTCGAGCGCGCGTGGCCTTGTCTCGTGTCGCCCCTGCACAGCCCGTGGCTCGTCCCTCCTCCCGTCCCGTCTGCTTCGCTGCCCGGTCCCTGTCCTCCCGAGTCGTGCTGCCCCGTCCCGAGCTGTGTCCGCGTCGCCCCCTGCGCGGCCCCGGCTGTGCTCCAGGCTGTACGCGGTGGGGGGTGGGGTGCGGGCCGCGGCGCTGGACACCCAGAGAGCGGCATCCCCGCCCGCCGTCCGCTCCCCGGCTGGTATGAGGAGCTCGCTGCGGCGAACCCCACGGGGGGGGGGGGGGGGAGGAGGGGCAGCGCCGTCATCAGAACGGTGCCCCACACGGCCCCAGCAGCAGGCGGGGGAACCAGGCCGGTGCCCCCGACGGTGGCCTGTCCCGACGGCCTTCTGGGGGAGCCACCCTGGCTGGACCCCCAGGGCTGCGGCCACACCTGCGGGCTGCTGGGGTCACAGTCGGGTGGCCATGAGCCTGCCCCAGAGCTGGATGTCGGGGCGCACTCAGCGCCGTCTCCCCTCCCCCAAAGGCGGCCCCGCAGCCGGCTGGGGGGTGGGTGGCAGGTCCCGGCCGGAGCTCCTCGGCATCCACCGGGCCGCGGCTCCAGAGTGTGGAGACCCCGTCCCCGGATGGCAGGCGTGAGGCGCCACAGCCCAGCCGTACCTGCCGGGCTCCCAGGCGTGGGCAGGGCACGGGCATCTGTGGGCACCAGCCCGGCCCACTTCCGGCTCCATCCTCGCCCGGGTGGGGAGCAGGGGCCGCCGCGGCCCCGGCCCTCCTGCTCACCTGACCTCCAGAGCCTCAGGGAGACAAGACCAGGCCTTCGCGGGTGTGGGGAACCAGTGTCCCCCAGATCCACGTCCACCTGGAACTGGGGAAGTGCCTCATCGGGAAGGCGGCCTCTGCAGTGTGATGAGGGGGGGACTCGGGGGTGCTCGTGAGGAAAAGGACGCGGGGAGGCGGAGACCGGGGACGCGGCCACCAGCCACGGGATGCCTGGAGATGCCGGCATGTGGAATTGGCGAGGGGATTCTCCCCTGGAGCCTCCCGAAGGACCCCACGCCCCCCTTTGAAATTCCAACTCCAGCCACAAGGGAAGAAGTTCCTGGTGTCGAGAACGCCCCCAGCCACTGGCTCCAGGACACACGGACCACGGCCAGGCGGCCCCAGTCTCAGCTCCGCCCGCGAGCGAGGCCAGGGACCCCCGAGGCTGCCTCCTGCATCTCTGAGACCTGCCACGTTTGGCCTGGTGCTTCCTGGGACGCCTCCGTCCTGACACGGTGCGGGCACCAGGACGACGGTGACCTCCGGGGACCTTGCTGGCTGGCCCTGGGGAGCTGCTGGCACCAGCTCAGACCAGCAGGGTGGGACCGCCCTGACCCTGGATCCTGGCCCCCGAGGGCCCGCAGCCGGTCCCTGGGAAGGCGTGTGACTCCTCAGGGCCCGCGCGCACAGGTCAAGAGCCGCCCTCACGCTCTCTGGGAGGTGAAGCCCATGGTGGGCCTGCTGCGTCGTCCTGCCAGCCCTCGTCCGAGGCTGACAGTGTGGCCGGTGCCACCGGCTCAAGGCCCCGGGGAGAGCAGTCAGAGGAGGAGCAGGGTTCCCGGCCATCTCGAAAAGCTGAAGAATCTGGGACCCTCGATCCCGGGCCCCACGGACATTTCCGGAGCCTCCCAGATGCTTCCTCGAGGAGTGGTCGGGGGCCTGCTGCCAGGCTGGAGACCGCCGCCTGGGCCGCACGCCAAGGGGCACAGGACCTGCGGCCCAGAGCTGGGCCCCGCACGGCCTGGGGCTCGTCTCGCCCACGGGCACGCAGCCGGCGTCCAGCCTGACGCCGCCCCCCCTTCTCCCCCCACACCGGTTGCCGAGGGCGGGGCTGAGTGGCCCTGCAGCGTGCTGGGGGAGTCGGGGTGCTCCGGGGGCACGGCCACCTCTCACAAGGCCGCCGTGCAGACATGGCAGTTTTGGACCTGCCCGCTGCCGGCCTGCAGCTCCTCTGCGCCCCACGGCTGGGGCCCCCAGAACAGACTCGAGTCCAGCAGATGACCCCGGTCCCGAGACGGCGTAGGAGCCCGGCTGCGAGCCCTCCCGAGCCCCAGGCCGGTGAAGACCATCACGCTTGGGCTGAGCGCTGTGGTCTCAGGCGAGGGGCCGGGGAGACCCGGGTCCCCCGCTTTCCATCTGAGTCACACCAAGTAGCCCTTGCTGGAGAAAGCGCCACAGCTTCAGCCAGACCCACGAAGCAAGCGGCTGCCGTGCTCTGGCCCAGGTCATTTGGGGTCGGCCCTGGCCCGGACCCGAGCTGTCCCTGTGGTGTGAGTGGTGTGCACGGTGGCCTGACCCCCTGGGGCCACCCGAGGCCCCTGCTGCTCACAGGGGCTCCGGGCTGGGTGGCCCCAACTTGAGCCCAAGCTCTCGATTCCCACCTGCACGACTTAAGCCTCTCACTTCTCTGCAAAGCGGGGCCCGCCTGCTGCTCCCTTGCAGCCCAGCTCTCCTCAGGTGTGCGGGGTGGGGCACAGGCCGTGCGCTCAGGGGGCGTCACACTGAAGGGGGATCTGGACGCAGGGCGCCTCCGGGCGGTGGGAGCTACCCTCTGCCTCCAGGGAGAGCCTGCCACCCCTGAGGATGGTTCCTGGGCTCCCGCACTCCCCATAGCTGCCCCCCCCCCCCGGGCACAGTGTGTCCTGCCACAGCGCAGGCCAGGCCTGAGAGGGCTGCCGGGCTGTGCCGGCCGCCAGTGCTGGAAGGAGACCCCAGCTCCAGCCCACCTCAGCTGGAGCAAAGGTGACCGCAGGGGGACAGGAGGTGGGTCCCAGAGCTCCAAGTCCCGGGGGCCGCCTCTCCCTGAATGCTCCGGCCTAGGCCCCCACCACCCACCCTGCAGCCAGCCTTCTCGGGCCAGACTGCTCCCGTATTGTTGGGGCACCTGTGACGAGGAGTCCCTGTCCAGCACCCCCATCCCTTCCCTGCAGTTCATCCTACAGGGGCCTCTGGTCTGGGTACCCCAGTGGTGTTGGGGATCGGGGCAGTGAGGGGCACATGGCCACCACAGTATCCCGAGAACCGGTGTGGTGCGTCCTCCCAGCCCGGCACCCCGACTGCCCTCCGGAGTGTGGGCCGGACCCCAGAGCTCAAGCTTTGGGAGAATGGCCAGACCCCAGAACACGCTGGGGGTGTGCAGAAGACCTCGGGCGAAGGTCTGAGGTGGGGTGGACCCATGGGACCCCACCCCCACCCCGTGCGGAGTGCGCCTCGCGGGAGGGCTGTGGGCTGCGGGGGCAGGGCCACGGCTCCAGCCACCCCGGGCAGGCCCCGAGCCCGCACCTCTCTCTCCAACATTGAAGAGTTAATTTCCGCGGCGGTTAACGACCAACCCTTCGCTTCCCTTCCCGCAAAGAAACGAGGCTGTCCCGCGGTGGGGGGGGGCGGCTCCTCGCCCTCAGCCGCACTGGGTGGAGGTGGCGCCAGGCGCCGTGGGGCCTCCCGGCCCGCGCCCCTGCGGACAGCGACGGGGGAGGCGCGCGCGCGCGCGCACAGAGCGGCAGAGCCGCGCACACGCACGCTGGGCCGGAGGCTAAAGGGACTGCCCCCGGGAGCCGCGCCCTGACGCCCGTTCCCGTCACGTTGCAGAGAAACCCGACGAGCTGGTCGCCATCACCAAGCCGCCCCGTGCCGCCGAGAGCGTGGCCGTGGAGCCCAGGGTGGCCACCATCCGGCAGCGGCCCACCAGCCGGTGCCTCCCGCCCCTCTCCGACGTGACCGTGAGTGGCCCCGCCCGGGGACCGGGCTGCCGGGGTGACATGGGGGCACACCAGGTGGCCTCAGCGTGGCCGCTTGAAACCATGATCTCAGTTCCATCGCCCCCCAGCTTCCAGGGCTGACGAAGGGGCTGCCCGGCCACGCTCCCCAGCGGGAGAGACGGGCCTCCACACACAGGGGCCCACCTCGAGGCCCCAGGCCTCCCAGCTCAGGGCCCCTTCCCAGGCAGAGGGGGACAGGGCAGCCCCGTGCCCCCACAGCTGCCGCCTGCTGCCCCAGGCTCCCCACGGCAGCCTGGCCGCCGCCAGCACCGCCCGTTTCTTAGCGGCTCTCAGACTCCTTTGAATCGGCTCCCTTGTCTTAAGAGACACCCCCAAACACCATCAGCGGGTGTGCTGTGTAGTGCCCAGCAGGACACAACCACCCCGAGGGGCTCCCACCAAATCTAGGTGACCCTCCCCCCGGGCCCTGCCACCCCACGCGCCCCACCCCAACCCCGCCCTCCCGCGGCCCGGGCTGCAGAGGCACGTGCCCGGGAGAGACTGCGGGAGGCAGCGGGCGCATCAGAGGGAAGCAGGCTGCCCAGCTCCCCTCGCCCGGCATGGGGCTGGGGCGCCCGCCGAGGCTCCCACGCCCAGAGGCCCGTTCCCCGGCACACACTGTGGCCGTGTGGTCTGTTTTTTGGAGTAAAACAGGCTGTGACTCCCACCCTGCTCCCCGACATCTGTCCCAGCCCCCCACCTTGTCACCCAGCATCGGGGGGCCTGGCAGACGTGGGGAGGCTGTGTGTGCTGCGGGCCCACCGGGCCTCGCGGGGGCCGGGCTCACCAGGGCTCTGTCCGCAGTCCGTGTACGAGCGCCAGGGGATCGCCGTGATGACGCCCACCGTTCCCGGGAGCCCGAAGGGCCCATTCCTGGGCCTCCCCCGAGGTACGATGCGAAGGCAGAAATCAATAGGTAAGAAGCGTGAGCCGAGCCTCAGAGGCTGCCCTGGGCTCTGGGACCCCGCCCCGCCCTCCCCCAGGGAGCCCCAGGGGATGGACCCGCTGCCCAGGTGCCCCCAGGGTGGCTCTGCGACCTGGCCAGAGGTGCCAGGATGGAAGGCGTGGGGCCGCGCCCCTGCACGCTGCAGGAGGAGCTCAGGGGACGCTTCTGCGGGGTCGGGTCAGGTCTGAGGCCCGTGAGCGGATGCGCGGGGGAGGCAGGACACAGCCGTGTCTCGGGGCTGCCGTCGGCTGCTCAGGCAGGTAAACGCCACCTTCCCAGGCCGCCCCTCTGAGCGCAGCCGCCCCGGCAGCCCCCCCACCGGGGACAGGCGGGTCTGCAGCGCCCCACGGTGCTGCGGGGTGAGGCGGCACGGCAGGCCCCGCGCCCCAGAGCTCAGGGTCGCGGCCCCGGGGCCGAGCCCACCGTCTGGCTCGGCCGCGCGTCGCCGGCTCCTGCGCTGCTAGTGACGACTGGTTTCCTCCCGCCAGACAGCAGACTCTTTCTGTCAGGTCAGTGAGCCCGCGGCCTGGAGCCCGTGTGCACGTGCCCGCTTGGCCCTAAGGCGTATTCTTGAACCGCGGCTCCCTGGCAGGCGCCGGCCACCCACAGCCAACGGCCAGGGCATGGCCGGGCCCGCCCGCAGGAGCATGTTCAGGCCCGAATACCCTTATCGGCGCCTGCCGTGGAAACGCACGATCGCCCTTGTCCCAGGCGTTCCCTGCCGCGCGGTGACTTGCCTGCCCCGTGACGGCCCCGCATGCCCCGCCTGGCCTCTGTGCCCTGGCCACCCTGGAGTGCGTCCTGCTGAGGTCGTGCCGGGGCCCGGCGGCCTCCCTCACCCCGGGCTCTTCTGGAGGTCCGGTCCCAGGACGGTCCCTTGTCCTCCTCGACCACGGGGGCCCCCCCCACCCCCCCGAGGGTCGCAGGTCGGCCCAGGAAGCCGGCTGAGGGGTGGGCTCAGGCCCCTGCTGCTGGCGGGGCTGGACACACTCCCCTTGCAGGCGTGGTTCGGGCCAGGGCGCCGTTGTCCGAGCCGGCCGCCGCCAGCCGCCCTGAGAAGTCAGGACACCAGCCGGGTCCTGCCACATGGGCCAGCCTGCCCCGGGGACTCAGCACGAGGGCAGAGGGGCTCACCCCCGCCCCCAGCTCACCACCTCACAGCAGCAGCGCGAACCCCAGCGCCCTCCCGCTCCCGACAGCCCAGACCTGAAGCCCCTGGGGACTGACTGGGCCAAGCCTGGAACCGGGTCCTCCTGGCGCAGCCCGGCCCCAAGCCCCCCCACCCCCGCCGGGCCCGAGGACGTCTCCACAGCACGCACCCCGCACCCCGTCCTCTCCTCCCTGCTCGTGCGTGTGCATGCGCGTGCCGTGCGCACCGTGGCCGAGCCGCGGCCTCAGCTGACCCGTGCTCTGCTTGCAGGGATAACAGAGGAAGAGCGACAGTTTCTGGCCCCTCCGATGCTCAAGTTCACCAGAAGCCTGTCCATGCCCGACACCTCCGAGGACATCCCCCCCCCGCCGCAGTCCGTGCCCCCGTCCCCGCCGCCGCCGTCCCCCACCGCCTACAACTGCCCCAAGTCCCCGACCCCCAGGGTCTACGGCACCGTCAAGCCCGCCTTCGGCCAGAACCCGCCGGCCAGGGTGGCGCCGGCCGTGCGCTCCGACACCGTGGCCGCCCTGGCGCGGGACAAGGGGCCGCTCTACCGCCGGGAGCTGGACCGCTACTCCCTGGACTCGGAGGACCTGTACAGCCGCGCCGCCGCTCAGGCCAACCTCCGCGGCAAGAGGGGCCAGATGCCCGAGAACCCGTACTCGGAGGTGGGCAAGATCGCCAGCAAGGCCGTGTACGTGCCCGCCAAGCCCGCGCGGCGGAAGGGCATGCTGGTGAAGCAGTCCAACGTGGAGGACAGCCCCGAGAAGACCTGCTCCATCCCCATCCCCACCATCATAGTCAAGGAGCCGTCCACCAGCAGCAGCGGCAAGAGCAGCCAGGGCAGCAGCGTGGAGACCGACCCGCAGGCCCCGGAGCCGCCGGGCCAGCTGCGGCCGGACGACAGCCTGAGCGCCAGCAGCCCCTTCGCCGCCGCCATCGCCGGGGCCGTCCGCGACCGGGAGAAGCGGCTGGGGGCCAGGAGAGACTCCCCGGCCTTCCTCTCCACCGACCTGGGAGACGAGGACGTGGGCCTGGGGCCTCCCGTCCCCCGGGCGCGGCCCTCCCAGTTCCCCGAGGAGGGAGGGTTTGGCGAGGAAGACGGCGCCGAGCCACCGTCCCCCACGCCGGGGGCCCCGTCCAGGGAGCCCGAGAACCACCTCGCGGGCAGCGGCGAGCCCGGAGCTCAGGGTGAGGCTGGCAGGCCTCTGAACCCCACATCCAGGGCCAAGGGGCCCGAGGGCAGCGCTGCCGGGGCCCCCAAGAGCAGCACTGCCAGCGGCTCCGAGAACTACATCCACCCGCTCACCGGGAGGCTGCTGGACCCCAGCTCCCCGCTGGCCCTGGCGCTTTCTGCAAGGGACCGAGCCCTAAAGGAGGCCCAGCAGGGCCCCAAGGGGGAGGCCCCCAAGGCCGACCTCAACAAGCCTCTCTACATCGATACCAAAATGCGGCCCAGCGCCGAAGCCAGCTTCGCCGCCGCCGCCAGGCAGAACGCGCGGGGGCCCCTGAGGCGGCAGGAGACGGAGAACAAGTACGAGGCCGACCCGGGCAAGGACCGCAAGGGCGACGACAAGAAGAACATGCTCATCAGCATCCTGGACACGTCCCAGCAGAAGTCGGCCGGCCTGCTGATGGTGCACACCGTGGACGCCGCCAAGTCGGAGGACTTCCTGGAGGAAGAGGACGAGCCAGCCGGCGAGGACGCGGAGCCCAACCACTCGCCGTCTGAGGTGCCAGAAGGCGTTCCCGACACCGAAGGTGCTTTACAGATCCCCGCCGGCCCCGAGCCCGCCGGCGCCGCCACGGGACCCGGCAGAACCCTCGTGGCCACGGGCTCCGTGGAAGAGGCGGTGATCTTGCCATTCCGCATCCCTCCTCCCCCTCTGGCCTCCGTGGACTTGGACGAGGATTTTATTTTTACAGAGCCATTGCCTCCTCCCCTAGAATTTGCAAATAGTTTTGATATTCCCGACGACCGCGTCGCCTCGGTCCCCGCCCTCACGGACTTGGTCAAGCAAAAGAAAAGCGACGCCTCCCCGTCCCCCTCGTTGAACTCCAGCCAGCCGAGCAACTCCGCAGACGGCAAGAAGCCCGCTGGCCTCTCCAACTGTCTGCCCGCCTCCTTCCTGCCTCCCCCCGAGAGCTTCGACGCCGTCACGGACTCCGGGATCGAGGAGGTGGACAGCCGGAGCGGCAGCGACCACCACCTCGAGACGACCAGCACCATCTCCACACTGTCCAGCATCTCCACGGTGTCCTCCGAGGGCGGGGAGGCCGTGGACACCTGCACCGTCTACGCGGACGGACAAGCGTTTATGGTGGACAAACCCCCAGTCCCTCCAAAGCCAAAAATGAAGCCCGTCGTCCACAAGAGCAACGCGCTCCTCCAGGACGCGCTGCTGCAGGACGACAGGGACGGCTTCGTCACGCCCCCGCCCGCGCCCCCGCCCCCGCCCGGCGGGGTCCAGCCCGCGCTCGCCAAGGTCATCCAGCCAAGGACCTCCAAGCTGTGGGGGGATGTCCCGGAAGTCAAAAGTCCGGCGCTCTCAGGCCCCAAGGCAAACGTGATCAGCGAGTTGAACTCAATCCTGCAGCAAATGAACCGAGAGAGATCGGCCAAGCCGGGGGAGGGCGCGGAGCCGCCCGCGGGAGCCAAGCCCGCCAGCCTCGCCCCCAGGTAAGTCCCGTCGGGCCGCCCAGGCCGCTCCGACGGCCCCGTCCCCTCAGGCTGCCCAGGATGTGGCCCCGGGGAGCAGCCCAAGCGCAGGAAGGGGCGCCGCCACCGCACCCGCGCCACGGCAGCAGCACGGCCGCGCGCCTCCGAGAAGACCCGGCGCAGAGCCGAGCCCGGAGCAGCCCTCCCGCTCCACGCCTCTGCCGGGTCTCGGTAAAGGCCTCGAGAGCCTCGGACCAGTCGAAGCGGACTCCGACAGCCGGTTGGGGGGCAGCCTGCCACGGGGGGCCTCCTGCCCCGATGACTGGTGTGCGGCCAGAGGCAGGTGGGGTTTCACGGGTGAGCCGGGCGAAGCGCCCTCCGCCCCGGCCTCTGACCCCAGTGGGCGGCTCCCGACAAGTTTCCCCTTCCCCGGGGGCCCTGAGGTCTCGCTGGGCCTTGGGTGACTAGGATGCCCGGGGCAGGATGGGGAACCCTCCCAGCTGACCAGGAGGTCACCCTGCCCACGGGCTCCCCCTGTGGACGCCCGCCGCCGGGCGCTGTGCCCTCACTGCCACGTCTTCCTGGGGCAGGGCCCTGCCCTGCATGTCCCTCCAGGGTGGCCCCCAGCTGTGCTGTCCCCCGCCAGGCGCTGCGCTGGCCAGCAGGACATGGCTCCCCAGCGGCCGGGCCTCCACACCCCCCAGACAGCAGCGCGGACTGCAGCGGTCAGGGGAGGGGGGAGCCCCTCCCCCACCCCGGGCAGGGCTGCCCCCGACGCTCTCGCAGCCCGGCCGGGGCCCTGCGCCGCCCAGGTCCCTGGTGGCCAAGGAGCCTCGGCTGGTCCCCGGCAGCACGGAGCACCCAGAGGCCGGGCCCCACTCGTGGCCGCTCGCAGTCACGGCCCGACCCGAGGGCCCGGAGGAAGGCGCTGTCCCCGGCGTGAAAGGGTCTGCTCTCCCCTCTCTGACGGCCCGGGCAGCGCCGGGTCACCACCTGTGACAAACGGGGCACCTCCCCGTGGGCGAGTCAGACCAGGGATCCTGCAGCTCCTTCCGTTTCTCGCTGCGGCTGCTGTTTTCCCTCCAGTTCCAGCTGAGGTGAACCGGCTGACATCACAGGGGCTTGCGCCACAGCGGAAGCGGGTTCAGGTGGCTCTCGCCGCCGGGTGTCTGCCAGCCCAGCTGAAGCGAGACAGGGTCCGCTGCTGGCCAGACCCCAGGAGCGGGTGGGGAAGAGGAGCAAGCGAGGGCCCCGTCCCGGACCCGGGGCCCCTGTGCCAGAGCACAGCCGACGCATCCCCGGCCGCGCGGCTGAGGGGCTTGTCTGCAGAGACGCCGGCGCACAGCAGACCCAGCCATGCCCCCGCAGGACCTAAGCGACCCAGCCGCGTCTGGGTCCGGCTGAGAACCCCCTGGGTGGAGTGCAGGCCGCCCGGCCTGGGACTCGGGTGACCAGGAGGGCAGCTACATCTGGGGGAGAGCGGTGGGGGGGTAAGGGGTGTCCATCCACAAGTCGGCTGGCTCCCCAGCTTGGCCACACCCGGCTGACCCGCCATGCACTGTGGCTGGAGGCCCCCATTCCATGGAGGCCCGCCACCCTGAGGCCCACGGCCAGGAGGCCGGCTCTCGCAGAGTGGACAGCTGCTCCGTGCTGGCAGAGTGCGTGGCTGTCACGACCAGAGGGGGACAGGAAGGTTTGATGCCCAGGGCCAGCAGCCACACAGGCTCCTGGTGGGCTTGGACGCAGCCCTGTTCTGCGGATGCCACGTTCACCGCTGGGGGGGCCCCGAGCCACCCAGGCCCGGCCCGTGGCAGGCAGGAAGAAGAGGATCACACAGCGGAGGAGCCTGGACACAGATTCAGTCACTGACTGTCCACTCTGCTGACACGCCCCGTCCTGTGCTGGGCACCGAGCATCCTCCCAGGACCAACGGCCGGACAAGGAAACATCCAGCCTCTCCGCCCTTGGAGAGCTGTGCTCTCGTGGAGAGAGGGAAAAAACGCGCCACACCCAAGTGCCACTGCGGAGGCCTCCGGGCTGACCAGAGTGAGCCCGTACAGGGAGGAGGTGGCACTCTCCAAGGAAGGGACAGCTGAGCACCTGAAACGCAAGAGGAACCAGCTGTGCGGGGCACACCATGAGCTCCTAAGGCCAGGCAGTGTACTCCCTGCTGAGCGGGGGCGGCGGCGCGCCCAGGGGCCAGGTCAGAAGTCCCTCGGGCCCCGGGAAGAGCCAGCACCTGTCCTGGGCTGGCGCCATTTGACCTCCCTTTCAGGAAGACCAGGCAGCAGCTTCCAGGCAGTGGTCACAGGGTGAGAGTGGGGGTCAGGGGTGCTGCATGCAAGCAGAAGTTCAAACAGACTCGGGCACAGCTGCCTGCCTGCCACCTCTGGCCCAGAATGCCAGGGCTGAGGCCCAGGGAGCCAAGAACCACTCTGGACTGAGACCCTTGGGCCCCTTGCGTCAGGAGGAACGGGGGAAGGTCCGCTTACGGGGTCCCCCCAGGACTCCCTCTGGATCACCCAGCTCTTCTTGTTAGGTCCAGAGCTCCTCCTCCCGGTGACCTTGGGGGCTACAGCTGCCCGAAGGTAGGGTGCGGTCAGCTCTCAGAAGGCCAAGCCTCAGGCTGCCCTCCAAAGCGCTGCACCTGCTGACCCACGGCCTCCGGCTACGCCTGGCTGGTGGCCCAGTGCTCTACAGCGTGACCCTAAGAGCCTCATGGTTTTGAAATAAATCAGTTGTGGTTATTAAAAAATGACCTCGCCCAGCTGGCTCCACAGTACCGAGCTGGAAACGGAGGGCAGTGGACACCGCTGGCGTCACAACCGCGTGACATGCGCGGGAACGGGCAGTGGCGCGGGGAGGGCCGGCGGGGCTGGAGCTGGCTGTCGGGTGCTTTCAGCGCCCGAGGGGCGCGGCGCTTTATCCTGGCTCTCAGCCTCGTTCCAGTCTGATTCTCGCGTTCTCCCCGTCTGGCCCTTGGGCCCCCGAGCCACAGTGTGTGGGTAAACCCTCCCGAGAGCTGGCGCCTCCTTGAGCCGCCTGGATGTGCCCGGCGGGACGCTGAGATCAACCCACCCCTCACCCGGGGCCCTCCTGGGCCCCAGTTCAGCTGTCACTCCACCTCCTGACCGGGGACGTGAGGGTGAAGACAGCCATGCTGCCCCCCGGGGTGGTCCCGCCATGGGAGCCGCAGGGAGCCGGGTCCCGCGGTGACCCCCCCCCCCAGGCAGGGCAGCGTCACCAGGAGGCCACACGCGGGCCTTGGTGCCCCTCCCCCAGAGACGCCGCAGAGTCAGTGCCCCGTTACGCTTGAGAAAGGATTTGTCACCAAACCCCGTGGCAGCCGCAAGGCGCGAGCTGACGAGGGGCTGGGCCCGCGCGGGGACACGGCCGGCGTGGCGGGCTCCCCACCTCACTGCACGCGCCGCACCAGTTTCGTGCACGATGAAAAGGTCCCTCGAGCACCGACGGCCCCACGCCCTGTGCTGGTGGAGGAGCCGCCCCCGAGCGAGGTGAGGTGGCTGCCTCCCGCGTCTGTCCTCATGCTCACGCTGCCACGTGGGTTGGCCCGAAAGGCTGGCCGGAGCGCCGGAGCGGAGGAGCCCCATCTCCGAGGCGCGCCCGCAGCAGGGCACTGGATTCCCAGGCGCCGCCCGGCGGCTGCTTTACCACGCGACGACCTGGCCCCAAGGGTCCAGCAGATAAGTCGGCGTGAGCAGCCAAGAGGAAGCCCAGCCGCCGAGGAGGACACCGGGCCAGCCCAGGGCAGGCCTCCTGCCGCTGCCCAAGCTCCGGCTCTTCCTCGCCGCAGGGACGTTCCCCAGCAGAGCGGCGGCCGCCGGCCCTCAGCCGGCTCGGCTGCCCCCGGCCAGAAGAAACGCAGGCAGATGGGTGGACGGCCGTGCCCGGCAGGAGGGCCGACTTGTCCTTCCCAGGGGGCCGGGGCCGGGCCAGGGCCTCGCTGGTTCCGGAGCTGCGGGCAGAGGCGGGGCCGCCCCAGCACTGCCCTCTGCCCTCGCCATCTTGCCCGGGCCGGCTCCCCGCGCCCACGTTCTCCCAAGCCGGAGGCGGCAGGCTGCGCGAGCCCCATTCGAGCCCTGACCGCGGGCCGGGGGATGTCCCTCCCTCAGTGCCGTGGCTGCCACTCACTGCCCCGCCCGGAAGGGCCCCGGGATGGCGCTCAGCGGGGCGTGCTGCTTCTGTCTCGCCCGTCAGAAGAAGAAGCTTTTTTTTTTTTTTTTTTTGGGCGAGTGTCTCCGCGTCGCCTCAGCCTCCATTTGTCGTTCCCCTTTGCTCCGGGTCCGCAGAAGTAAGTGCCCGCGCTGCCCGCTCTGCTCCTGCTCCCCCGTGTTTGCAGCGCCTCCTCTTTGCCCTGCCAGCAAACAGTGCGCCCACACAGCCTTCCTCAGAAACAATCCCGACTTCGGGGAGCAGCTGGGGCACGCAGAAGGGGTGGCGGCCACCCACGTCCGGCTCAGAGGCCCTGCCGGCGGCCCCGGGGGGCAGCGGAGCCCGTGGCCGTGGAGACAGACCTGCCTCTGCCCGGCAAAGCCCCGTGAGGAGCAGGGTCACGCCCACAGCCCTTGCACGCGGGGCCTCGAGTGCACGCTGCCTCCTGATTTTGACCATCTTAACTTCCCTGTGTCCACGCGGAACAAACGAGCCTTTCCCAAAACAGATGCGCCTCTGCCCGCTGCAGCGGGAGGACAAGGTCCCTGACCACGGTAGCCGGAGCAGGCCCGACCCCGGCTGCCCCTGTGCCTCTGCCCCCGCAGGCCCCGCCCGCTCTCCAGAGACCCTGGGTCTGCACCCCAGAGGTGCTGGCTCTGGCAGGGGAGGCCCTGGCACCAGCTGGGCTCCCACTTCTCAGTTTGGGGTCGCCGCCCCCCCCCCCCACAGTGGAGGCCCTGCCTCCCCGGGGCTGCCCGGCCTGCTGGCTCCCCTGTGGGGATCCCTGCTCGTAACAAACACCCCCCAGGCCCCCAGCCAGCAGGAAGGACACAGGCCTCCTGAGAAGGCCGGGCCCCGCACAGGGATGGGGACTCTCGCCAGGCTTCTGAAAGGCGGCAGGTCCCACCCGCGGGCCTCGGACATCGCCTCCGCCAAGGCTGGGCACGTGGCCGGCCCCGGGCTGGTCAGGCGGACGGGGCTCGGTGCAGCAAGCCCTGTTTCCCGAAAGGTGGCTGGCGGTGTCCCGCAGGAGCTCGTCCAGGTCAAAAAGCCACAGGCCCGGGGCAGTGAAGGGGCGGGTCTCGCGGCCGCTCTACCTTCCGTCCGGAGGGCGTCGGACGGCACCTCTGGGGGACAGCGATGCCCCGGGCAGGCCCGCCCACCCACCCAGGCGCCAGCCCCGAGCCCGGTGGGACCCGCGCCCCGCCCCACACCCCGCACAGGCCCGCGGTGACGCTGCTCTTTGTCGTTGCCCTTTCAGAAGCCCGGAGGTCATGAGCGCTGTCTCAGGTGCGCGCAGCACGACGGTCACCTTCACCGTCCGCCCGGGGACCTCCCAGCCCATCACCCTGCAGAGCCGGCCCCCCGACTATGAAAGCAGGACCTCAGGAACCAGGCGCGCCCCGAGCCCCGTGGTCTCACCCACGGAGATGAGCAAAGAGATGCTGCCCGCCCCTCTGGCGGCCGCCGCGTCCCCCACTCCCGGCCTCCCCGAAGTCTTCAGCCTCCCGAGCCAGCCCCCGTCCGGAGACCTGTTCGGCCTGAACCCCGCGGGGCGCAGCAGGTCGCCGTCCCCCTCCATACTGCAACAGCCACTCTCAAATAAGCCTTTCACGACTAAACCCGTCCACCTGTGGACCAAGCCGGACGTGGCGGACTGGCTGGAGAGCCTGAACCTGGGCGAGCACAGAGAGGCCTTCATGGACAACGAGATCGACGGCAGCCACCTGCCCAACCTGCAGAAGGAGGACCTCATCGACCTGGGCGTGACGCGCGTCGGCCACCGCATGAACATAGAAAGGGCTCTGAAACAGCTGCTGGACAGATAAGGGCGGCCCCCGCTCTGGCTGCGGCGGAGCCGGCTCTCCCCGAGACGCGTGGCGGCCAGCGCGGGAGCGAGCCCCGCGCCCTGGGCTCGTCTCCTGGTCCCCCAAGAAACGCCAAGTGTGTCCGCGGTGTGTCTGGGCCCCGGCCCGGAACCGCCCGGCTCCTCGTGGGTTTCTTGGGCTGTTTCTGTCAAGCAGGCGACCAGGGGAGGGAGTTTTTCTGAGCTGGACCCACGGCTGGCCTCCCAGCATGTGGGGGCCCACCCTTCGCCAGGCCCAGCCCACCCCGTCCATCAAGGGTGGCGAGGCCCTCGCGCGTGTGGGCAGACACCGCGGGCTCCAGATACCTCCTGAGACCTCTCCTCTGCCTTGGGGCAGCCGCCACCGGCCAGGCCCGGCTCCAGCCCCTCCGTCCCCGGCCTCTCGAGGCCACTCAGGCTCACTCGCTCCTTTCTATCCTGTGGGCTGCCCCCAGGTGTGTCTGCCAGCGCCCCTCCAGGGCCTGGAAGGCAGAGAACCCCTTCTTTGCTGTCGATTCTCTCCCCCTGGCCTCCTGCCACGGGCGACCTTGGCTCCGGCTCCGGCCGCAAAGGGGCATCCGAACGGGATCGTGTCCGGCTTTGCTTAGCTTTCTTTCTTTCTTTCTGCACATCTATCAGCATCCTTCCAGAGCGGTCCCAGACGCCACGCGGAGTTAGTCACAGCATAGGGTCACGATTCCGAGGCGGAGCCTGGGCCCCGCCTCCTGCAGGTCGGCGTCTGCCAGGAGCCTCGCCCGGTGGTGAGGGCCCCTCTGCCCGCTGCAGGTGTGGCGCCGCCGCGGTCAGAGCAGGTGAGCCCCCGCGCTGGCACGAAGGGCGAGGTGTGGGTGGAGGCGGGGGGGGGTGGGGGGGCTGCGGCCCAGGGCCCGAGCCTGGCTGGGGCACAGCTCTGCCGGGATGCCCGCGGCCCGGAGATCAGGGAAGACGGTCCGTGGGGGCGTGCCCCTTCCCTCTGAGTGTCCAGGGACCCCGCCGGCTTGTCTTAACAGCACCAGCCCCGTGGGTTTGGAGGGTGGGGAGACCCCGGGCTGCGCAGAGCAGGCAGCTGCAGGCGGAAGGGAGGGAAGCGCGGGCTCGGGACCGAGCGTGGCGCCTGCTCCAGGGCTCCAGCGCCCCGCCCGGCACACCACCTCTGGGCTCCGAGGAGGTCGCCCGTGGCCCGCGGGCCACCGCGCCCCCAGCACCCCCCCCACCTGGAAGAAGCCGGCGCGGGTGTGGGCGCTCACCGGGACGGGACCGCAGAGCCAGCCCAGCCCAGCTCCAATTACAACACGACTTTTTTTCCTTTTTTTCCTTCATGCTCACAACCGAGGGTGATGAGGTCAGGGACAGCTCTAGAACGAACACGTAAAATTTAGCAATTTAAAATCTTTCTTTACTGCGAGTTTAAATAGCTGTACAGATAGTTTATAAGCACAATATTTTAAGGGAAAAAAGTGGCTGGTCTACTAGCCTTTGCGCCACTTCAGTGCTAGAAAGTGAGAGAAAAAAACTTTTGTGATTTAATAATAGTTTCTGGGGGGTAATTATAAAAGTCTGACCTTTTTAAGAACCAACCTTATTTGGATGCACCTGAACCAGCAGAGCTGTGTTATATTTTCTACCTTTGCTAGAGTTTCATCACCGAAGGATAATTATTTCTTCAAAAGCGGCCACAACCCGCCACGCAGCAGTTCCTTCTCACACACACACACACACACACACACACACTCACTCACTCACTCACGCTTTCCAGCCACAAGCCCTGACTCAGAAACCGAGTCCTGGACCTTTTCTGGCCCACGGCCCCCTGCAGGCCAGCCTCTGTGTCCGGAGGACCCAGCCCGACCCGTCACTGACTAGCGAAGCGCAGGCCCGGCCCGGCAGCCCCCGCGCCAGCGCAGGCTGCGGCTTCCGGAAGGCCCGGCCGGGGCGCGGGGCTGCCCGGCAGCTCAGGCGCCCAGCGTGGAGGCCGGCGTCTGTCTTCCATGAATGCGGGGAGCCCGCCTCCCCGTGGCGCTCCCCTCAGCTCCAGGCAGGCTCACCCCCACACTGAGCGCCAGGGAGACGCGGGACAGCGAGCCGAGCGGAGGCGCCTGCTGGGGGGCGACCTGGTGGCTTTGGGTTACTGAGCCGGGGCGGGGAGCCCGAGAGCCAGAGCAGCCAGGCAGACAGCAGGAGAGGCCGAGGCGCGACGCCCTTGGTGCTGCCAGCGCCCGTCAGGCCTGGCAGACCCCACCGACCACCAGGTAAGCCCTCGGGGCCGGCGAGGCCCCCTGGCTCCGGGGGATGAGTCCACCCCACACAGCAATAGTCCCTCACCCCAGCCGTGCCCCTGCTCGCCCTCGGACGTGTGGGACCAGGCTCTGCCCCCCACCCCCCGGGGCGGAACCCACGCCAAACCGCTCGTAGAGAACACGTCCCCACTCTTCCAGGTTTTCAGATCCACTTTTGTTATATACTGTAATTTAAATAAATTGCATTTACACGCCTAGTTTCTGTAATATTGTGTATACAAGACCAAAACCCCTCAAGATGTAAATTCTGTACACCTGCCGAGGCCCCTCCCCGGGGCCGCACACGACGTTACCTTCACACACCACCAGATGACGCGATGTGACTGTTGACCTGCTGAACACAGCACAGAGTAAATTACTTGTGGTACTTTGGTTAATAAAATGCTGATCTCCCCGCGTTCCTGAGCGAGCAGGCACCCCCAGGCCGCCTGGCGACGGCCTGCGAGGGGGCCACAAGCACTGGTTCTTCTCATCAATGATTTTTTTTCAGATACAAACACGTTCCACGCTCTAGTTCGTGTAACTCACGTTCGCACTCTCTCTCTCTGTTGCTGTTACTTTTGTGCTTTTCTTCTTTTTAGACTTTATTAAAAAACAAAAACAAAAAAAAACAAGCTCCTGTAATTTGCACTTTCTCCCAATCCTTAAATCTCTTGTATGGCAACCAAAATTACTGTAAAAAATAAATATACTCTTGCACTAAGGTTGTGGTTCTGATTGCAAACAGTACAAACTGAACTAAACAAAAAGTTGCCAAACTTGCAATCTGCTGCAGGCCGTGTGGCCCTCACGGCCAGCTTTACCTCTAAGACTGACCAGATCTCCCGCCGAGAGTGGACGCCTCCTTTCCTTGCACTCATCTGCCTCGCTCCCCTCCTCAGAGCATGCCAGAGGTCAGCGTGAGCTGTGAGCGCTACGCCTGCAGCTGCGGCCTGGCTGGCCGGGTCGGGGCGACGCAGGGGTGGCCAGAGGGCGAGCCAGGCCCGGCCCCTCCGGGACAGGTCTCCCTGACGCGCCCAGACGGCCATCTTCTTGCTGCCAGGCCGTGGGGGTGGCGGGCCCAGCAGGCCCTCTGGCCACTGTAAAGCGGCACACTTTGGTCAGCGACACCCACTCAGGCTCGGGGAGGACTCGGGCCACTGGGCCAAGAACTGAGCCAGGAAGACACGGCTGCCCTGCTGCTCCAGGGGCGTGTTTTGAGCTGAAACACGGAACCTCTTTGGCCTCCCCAGTGACACCTGTCGCCTCTAGCTCCCGAACAGGTTCTTCTATCCTGGCGCTTTCTCTGCCTGCAAAGCAGCCAGTGTGTCCACATGCACCACATTCTGTCCCTCACGCCCGCCACTGGCCTGCCCGTGTCCTCCGGCTCAGCGTCCAGTGCTCTCTCCCAGCCGGAGGGCCCCGACTTCCTGGCCCAACGGCTCCTTCCTCATCTCTCTTCCCAGACGCGTGTGTCGGCCTGTCTCGTTAGGGGGACCGTCACCGGTCAGCTTTTTTTCTCCTCGCCCTTTGCTAGAGGTGCCTGCGCAGCCAGTGAGCGGGGCTGTCTCTGTGCGAGGGCGTGCAGGCCCGCAGCAGGGGCCGGGCGACCTCACGGCGGTCACCCCCGCGCGCCTGAGACGCCGCGGCCTGGGCGCGGGGCACAGGCTGTGTCTGACTCTGTTTCTCTGCTGTTCCTGTAACATGTTTCTACATTTCACGTTGTTACTGTTCTATGTTTAAAATGACACCAATCACTGTCCACTGCTTCTACTCTGGAACTGTTTATAGCGACTCTGAAACTTTAACACGAGCCTTCAAATAAACACTGAAAAGGAAAAAAAGGAAAAAAACGAAGCGTGTGCCTTGGGCGTCCTGCAGCGGAGCGCGCGGCCGTGCTGTACCCAAAGCTGTGTGTCCCGAGAGGGCGGCTCTGCCTTCCGTGTATCAATGTAGCCGACCACATAGTCATAGTGCCTTGTCTTCCGCCCGGAGAGCCCCTGGCAGCGCACAGCGGAGAGCGGACACGCCCGAACGAACTGTCCACGAGACCCAGACACCCCTCCGGGGCCTCCCGCCCAAGGCGGTGGGACACACACCCCTTAAGTCAGAAAATAAAGAGAACGTTGAAACCGCACACCTGCGTGATCCATTCATTGTCCCCGCACGCGCCCCCAGGCCCCGCGGGGCAGGGCGCCTCCCGGGAGTCAGGCAGCGCGCACGTTCACCTTCTGGTAGAAACAAACGAAGTATCGGCTCCCAAGGGCCGAGCGGCCGCCGCTGAGGGACGCCGGTGCTTCTCAGGCCGCGGGAACGGCAAGAGCGGGTCTGTTGTCCCTTGAGAGGAGAGGGCGCAGGCAGCACGAGCCCGGGACCGCCGCCTGTGCCCACCCGCGCGGGGCTAGCCTGGGGGCTGGGGCCAGGGCGGGCGGCGGCCCTGCCTTCCCGGACACAAGCGCACGGGGCTGCGTCCCTGCCCAGCGGCCTGTCTGTGCCGCTGCCACCCCCTCCCCCCGCCGCTGAAGTGACGAGGCTGTGGTCAGCGTCGCTGCTGCCCAGGTCAAAGGCAGCCCGACAGCTGGACTTCGCTTTCAGGCAACAAACCCAGCCGATACTCCGAGAGTCTGGAGGGCTGCAAGGGAGAGAGGGCGGGGTCTCAGGGAGCCCCCCAGGGCACGCACTGTCCCCGCTGGAGATGCAGGAGGGACGCTGGCCACTGGGGCCACCTGGCAGCACAGGCGGGCCCCCCCTCAGACGCCGGTGAGACAGGACCAGGGAAAGGGCCAGTTCTCCCCCACAGAGCCAGGCCGGTGCACCGGGGTGCGGGTCACCTGCGTCTGGGGGCGGCACCTTCCTAGCCTCCCAGCGGCCAGCCATCCTGCCCCGCCCACTCGCGGCCCTCCTTGCCAAGAGACTCAGAAGGGCTTACATGTGTCCTTCCAGAACCCGGAGGCTCCAGGGACGTGGCCAGGACGCCAGGCGGAGGTCAGTCATTTCTGTGCAAGCTCCCGAGAGCTAGTACAGGCTAGAAAAGGAGGGACTCTGTCGGGCGCTCTCCATGCCGGTGCCACCCGGAGCCCGGTGCCCGCTGAGGCAGAAACAAGTAGCCCAGCGTGTCCCAGGCCTCCAGGAAGGCACAACTGGGCTCTGCCGCGGGCAAACCCACCCGGAGGAGAGGAAGCCCTGTGGGCGCCCCGGGGCCCTGTTGGGAACAAGGACGCAGCCCTCGTGCTGCCCTCGTGCTGCCCTCGTGCGGCCCTCCTGCCAAGGCCAGAAGGCAGGCACAGTGGGGCTCCTCCCAGCCAGTCACCTCAGGGCGTGAAAGGGGAGATTTCATTGCGAGGCAGCCGGTGACCTCATGCCCCTCGACCTGGACCGGGAAGCCGGGACCGCCGCCCCAGCTCGCAGATGGACGTGGTCTGTGCGAAGGGCCCACTGCCTAGGGGTGGGCAGCGTGTCCAGGCTTTAATTCCACGTGCGCCCCACGGGGTAAGTATGACAAAGGCGACACTCTTCACCAATGAGGAAACTGAGGCTCAGAAAACCAGGGGTCACCCCCAGCCCCTGTGGCCTCGAGGCACCCTGGAGACAGCAAATCCCTGGCGAGGCAGCAGACCTGCCGGGGTGCAGCCCAGGCTCCCCAACTCCACTCTTGCTCTCATGCCACTCAGCAGACCAGAACACCCCGCCCACGTCCTGTGCAGCCACCACCCGCAACCCAGGCCCACTGACAACTCCCACCCCAGCGCCAGGCTCCCTCCACGCCCTCGGCCTCCTCCCGCCAGGCAGCCCTTCCTCTACCTTCAGCACCGCCCTAGGCAGCTGCGGCAGGGAATGAAAGGCAAGTCCAGGGCCTCCCGGGGGTTCAGGGGTGAAGTCTCAGCACTATTAAGCCATCGCCAGCCACTGCAGCACAAGTCCCACCCCGGCCAGGGAGCGACCCACAGGGGCGCAGACCTCTCCCGCCGCCCGCTGCTCCCCTCAGCAGTGTCCTTCGGTCCTTCTGCCTGCTCTGCTCCCCGCTCTGGCTCTGGTGCATCCTCTCACCCCCGCACCTCTGGCCCTTGCGTGCATAAATAAATGAATTTTTTTTAAAAAAAGAAAGGTAAGTCCAGGACTACAGAACGGGCCTGAACGCCTGCGCCCCCAGCGCCGCTCCACCGCGAAGGGCCTGCAGGTGCCGCCGCCCCACAGAGCGCACCAAGGGGGGCCCTGCGCCCCACGGCCACCCCCAGACGGCCTCAGCGCCGCAGGCTCTCGACAGGCTCCGGACCCCGCCCCGGGCTGCTCCTGCTCCGGCCCCTCCCACGTGCCCCGGAACATTCTCGCCCGACGCGCACGGCCCCCCGGGCTGTAGGGCCGGGATTCACCCCCGCGCCCGCCCCGTCTCCCCGGGCGCTCTCCCGGCAGGCGGACCCGGGGCGGCCGACCCGGCCCAGAGGACGCCCGCCCCGGCCAGGCGAGCCCCCGCCGCGCGGCCCGGCCCCGGCCCCCAGCACCGGCCTCCTGCGGGCACCGGGCCGGCGCCGTCTGGGCCTCAGGGACCCGCAGAGGCGGCGCCCAGGCCCGCGAGCACCGCCGCCGCGCCCCCGCGCCCCCGCGGCCCGGCCTCTCCCCCCGCCCCGTCCCGCCGCGGCTCCCCCGAGGCCGCCGGGGGCAGCGCCCCGACCGGGCCGCCGGGCTCGCTGGCGACGCAGACGCCCCGGCGCGGCGGGCCCAGGCCGGGCAGAGGCGCCCGAATCCCGGCCGGCGGCTGCGGCCTCCCCTCCCCGCGCGCGGTGCCCCGCACGGCCACGCCAGGCGGGCGCTCGGCCGCTTACCTCGTCCCGGCTCCCGGCGCGGCGCGCGAGGCTCTGCCAGCGCCTCTCCAGGGGCGGCGCGGCCGCGGGGCGTCGAGGGGCGTCGGCGCGGCCCCCAGCCGGGCACCGCGGGCTCCCGGGCGCCGCCCTCGCCCGCCCTCAGCGCGCAGCCGCGGCGGGGAGCAGGGCGCGGGGCACGCTGGGGCTGCGGTCACGTGCCCGGTGCGCGCCAATCAGGCCGCGCAAATCCGCTGATCACGTGCGGGCGTGGGCCAACCACGCTCGGGCACAGGGCCCTGGTCGCGTGCTGCGTGGCCGCGTGCCCGCGCGGCTCCTTCCGGGCGGGCCGAGGCGTGCGGGCCTCTGATTGGCTCCGCTGGGGGGCGGGGCGGCCTCAGCCAATGGCCGCGCGCCAGGGCAGGCCGTGGGCACGTGGCGTGCACGCTGTGCGCGGAGGGCGCCCGCCCCAGCGCCGGACGGGGTCGGGGTCGGGGTCGGGGTCGGGGGGCGGGGGGGCGGCGGGGGCGCGGGAGGGGCCGGGCCTGGGCTGCAGCTCCGCGTCGGCCTCCCGCGCCCGGTCCTCGAGGGGCGCCCGCCTCCCGCGAACAGCCCGAGCGCGCGGCGGAGTCGGCGGCGCGCGCAGCCCCAGCCCCGCGCGCCCCGCTCCCCGCGGCCCGGCCCGCCGCCTCCCGGCTCGAGGAGCCCGCGGCCCGCGTGTCGGGGCCTCGCCCGCGAAGGGCGCGCAGGAGCGGGCGCGGGGCTGCCGGGGCCCGGGGGCGACGGGCCCTGCTCCCCCCGGCCCCACGGGCCCCGCGCGCGGGCGGGAGGCTGGGGCGCCAGGGCGGCGCCTGGGCCCGGCTCCGGCGCGTCCGCGGGCGGCTCTGCCCGGCCCGGCTCGGCCTGGCCCGCCCCGGGGCGGGCTCCGCGCGCCCGTCGTGGCTCCCGCCCGAGCGGGCCCGGCTGCCCCGCCTGGCCGAGGAAGGTGGCCGTGAGCCGGCGGCCCGGGCCCGCGCCTTCCCCGCTGCCTTCCCGACGCGCGCTGGGCTTGCGGGGGCGCCGCCAGGACCTCGGGAGCGGGGCCCCCGCGCGTGGCCGAGGCCGCGCCGGAGACCCTCGAGGGGGGCGCGGGCCCCAAATGCCGTCCGCGCGGGGTGCCGGGCCGGGAGCCGGGGGCTCCCTGCAGCGGGGCTGGGCCGAGGCCACCGTCTCGCGCCGTGGGGGGGACAAGCCCGCTCCGCCCGCGGCGGTCTCGCCCGAGCGAGGAGCCCCAGGCGCGCCCCGCCCGCCGCCGGCAGGCGCAGGGGCCGCATCCCCTACCCGCCGCCCTGGTGCGCCGCCGAGTCTGCAGAAGGAAGCCGGGCGGTCCGGCCGCCCGCTGTCTGGGCCCCGCGCCCGGCGGCCTGCTCCGCGCCGTCCTCCATCTACAGAGCAGGCGCGAGGCCGCGGCTCCCGGGGCCACCCGGGGAGCCCTCTCTGCCCAGGACGTCCAGAGACCCTACGGGGCGCCCCGGCCTGCTGGCTTCCGAAGCCCCTTCTTTAAAGCAACCTCCGCAGAACAGGCCTGCCCCCCCCCTCCAGCCTCGGGGCTCGCCCCCACACCCCCGGGGCTGGGCCACAGGTGCCCGGCTCGGCCTGGGGATACCCCTGCCGGCAGCTCGCCTGGCCACACTGCGTGCCCAAGACACCGTGGGCCTGAGGCCCATTCTGTCCTTCTGCATCAAGGAGGCACGGTCGGGGCGGTGGAAACCCCCTGCACCAGCTGCCGGTCGCGGGGCCAGGCACACTCTGGACATCAGTGCTCCCTTCCGGAGCACGGGCTGAGTGAGGCCCCCCCAGGACCTGCGTGGGGAACTGCCAAGCACAGGGGAAGAGCTCTGCTGTCACCTGAGTCACGGTGAAAATGTTACAATATTCAAAAAGTATCCGGAAAAGCCCATCACCCCTCCCGCCAGCCGCGGGCTGCCGGGAGCCTATCAGGGGTGCCCTGGGGCGGGGCCTGATCCATGAGCACGTGGATCATGAAAGACCCAAGTAGAGCTCGCACCACACGCTGCTCGGGCGGGGCTGAAGCTGCCTGTGCCCCTGCAGGTGCCATCTCTCTCAGGTGTGTGCTGGCCGCGGCGCGGACACCGGCAGTCGCCTAAGGGGGCTAATCCTCACGCTTCCTCAGATGGAGAAACGGGGGTGTCAGGCCGGGCACCCTCATCTCTGGGGCTCACTGGCCCCACGATCCCAGAGCCCTCCTTTCCCTGCACTGACGTCGGAGGAGTCTACACAGTGCTGGGACCACCCCAGCCCTCGTACCTGCTCGGGGGCCCACCCAGCGGCCCTGCCACCCCAGGCAGCCTGTCCTGACCCGGCCTCCGGCAGCAGCGGTCACGGGGCCGGGGCTGCGCAAGGGCGTCCACAAGGACCGACGGGATCAGAACGAAGAGGCCGAGTGCCGAAGCTGGGTGAGCAGCAGGTGGATCAAAAAAAGTTTATTTGGAATATTTAATTTAAAAAGTCATACCTCTGAGGTGTGCTACGGAAATCATAGTCATTGCATATAAAACCCGCCGGGACCAGCAAAGCGAGGCGCCACGGACGTCCTCGGGGAGGCCCCGGCGCGCCGGCCCCCAAGCCCAGCACCGGCCACTGCCCTGCCACCTCCCGGAGACCCCGCCAGAGCGTGCGCCTGACGCCCCGGCCTCTCCGCCGGTCCACCCACCGGTCCACCCACCGGTCGGGGGTCGCCGTCCTCTACCTCCCCGCGGAGGACAGGCTGCCGGAGCAGGCCGCGCGTCCCCCAGGCCAGCACGCCCGCGGGGCCTCAGCCCCTCCCCCGCCACCAGGCCAGCGCCCCGCCTCGAGGCTCCATGGGGGGGCCGAGGCCATGACCTGGAGAGACCGGAGGGGCCCACAGAGCCCCCGAGAGGTAAGGAAACGCCTGAAGCAGTGAAGAGAAGGGCCAAGCCCCGGAACGCGGGGACAGCGGATCAGCGGGTTCTGCGCGTGGACGTGCGGGCGGCGCGGGCGCGGCGGGGGCTACTGCCGCAGCTCCACGTAGTTGGCGGGGAAGAGCCCGTAGCTGCCCTTGCACAGCCCCCGCCACCAGCCCTCGTCGATCATCTCGATGTTGGTGATGACGTCGTCGGGGTCGAAGGAGATCTCGTCATCGCCCGCTGGGGGGGGGGGGGGGGGGGCGTGAGCTGGTCCCGCTGGGGCGGGATGGGGCTGGCGCTACTCGCGCGGGCGGCCCCCACCCGGTCCGCCCCGAGGTCCGGGGACTGAGGCGCAGACCCCGCGCAGCTCGGGTGTGCTTTCTACGACCTTGAACACGCGCCCAATAGGCTAAGTCGGCCGGCCCCGAGGTGGCCCTGCGCGCGGCGGGGTGGGGGCGGGGGCTGCGGGTTTCCTCACCAGCCTGGTAGTCGTAGAGGGCGATGGCGGTGACCCCGAGATCGTTCTCATACTCGTCGTAGGTGTTCTCCTCTAAAAATACAAAGGGATCTGAGAAAAGGCCACAGTGCGCAGCCGCGCCCCGCCCTCGCTCTGGCCCGCGGCCTCCTGAGGGGTGGCGGGAGCGGCCAGGGGGCCAGGCAAGCGGCCGAGCATGGGAACAGCAGCCTCCAAGGCAGCGCCCCAGCCCCACCGCCCCTCGTCAGGGATTCTCCACTGTCAGGCGGCCGCCTGCAGGGAGGGCCATCCCTGCCTGAACAGAGAGCAGGGCCCCGGCAGGGGGCCTACCAATACCAGCCAGGCCCAAGCGACTCAGGTGAGGACATCCACACCCACCAGCAGGAACCACAGCTCTGGGAGGACCAAGTTAGGGCTGGTGCAGCCTTCAGACGCCTCAGGACTGCCTGACGTCCTGGGGCTGGGCCCTCTGACCCACAGGCCTCCCTGGCACAGCACCCCCTGCACAGAACCCCGTGACTGGAGCCACTGCCCCAAGGGAGGTGGGGCCCAGCTGCCTGGGCCTAGAACCTGCCCACGAGAAGGACCCCAGGAGCAGACGTGGCAGCAGGTCCACCAGGGGAACAGGGCAGGGGCTGACGTGGGGCCCGTACCAGCCTGGTAGAGGCCCGGGGCCTCAGTGGTCTCGTAGACAGCCTCCTGGGCGTAAGCCGGGTCGCGGAGCTCCTGGTACTCTGCAGCCTCCACGCTGTGCACAGGTTCAGGCCCGCTCCCATTCTCGGTGTCCCGGTAGCCTGGCTCAGCCTTGAACGGAGCCGTGTCCTGGGGAAGCAACGAGATGACCCCCATGGCCGCCTCGCATGCCGTGCCGGTTGCAGACAGCAGGGACGCACAGCAGAGCCTCGCTCCTGCTGCCACGCCCCGCACGGCCGGCTGTCAGGAGAGCCGCCTCCACCAGCCCTGTGGTGACAGGGTCCCCCGGCCCATCTCCTCCTCAGGCCCCGGAGTGGAGGCTGCGGAGGCCTGGCCACCTTCCTGACCAAAGACTCTGGGGGGGAGTGGCCAAGGCGGGACCGTCACACCAGGTGTGCACGGGCGGGATAACCAACCGCAGAGCCCCAGCAGGCTCTGGACTACTTGTCAGCAATGGGGATGACCCCACTGGGGGGCGTCTCCACCGGGGTCCCTCAGGGCGCATGCTCGGAAATGCTCCCAGGAGCCGGGGCAGCCCAGGAGGGCGCGGGAGCAGTTTCGAGGGTTGTGGCCAGAGCCCACGCAGCAGAGCGCATGGACAGCGCCGGAGGGCAGGCCAGGAGAGGTGGTGGGAGGCCAGCATGCCTGCCCGTTCTCAGCAGGGCTGCCCCAGGGCGGCCCCTCTGGCGGGCACCAGGCAGAACAGCCGACCCAGGGGTATTTCTGTGGACACCAGACTCCGTCAGACCGACAGCACCCACCTCGTAGACGGGGCTCGGAGGCCTTTCCCGGGCCGGCTGGGGGCTCGGCGACGCAGGGGGCGTCTGCTTCTGGGCCCGGGCTTGCTCCTGCGGGACAGAGAGGTGGCAGGGAGCAGGGACCAGGTCCCAGGCAACCAGGTGACCACGCCCGGGTGCTCCGAGTGAAGGTCACGCAGTCAAGCCAACCCGTCTCACCCAGGCCCGACTGAGGGGCCGAGGCGACAAGGTCTGGGACTCCGAGTAGAGGATCCATCTTAAAATAGGGTGCACTTACTCTGCACATAGGAACTGAACCTTTGAGGACCTGAGGGGGGACGTGGTGGGAAGAGTAATGGCCCCACGAGGGTGTGGACGGCCACTCCCAAGGCCAGTGACGATGTCTCCCTACAGGGCGGGGGGGATGACGCAGGCGAGCCACTGCAGGGCCTCAGGAGGGCGGAGACCCGGGCAGGGGAGAGGTCACCCCAGGGCTGCTGCGAGGGAGGGAGGAGGGCAAGGGCCGAGGAGGCCGTGGATGCGGCAGAGGTTGCTGGGCATCGGCAGCCGGCCGCTCCCGCTCCACCAGGCGCCAAGTCACCTCTGCCTCCGCCAGGCCCCAGCACAGCCCACGGGGCCGGGACAGAGAATCCCTCTCCTGGCTGCAGGGTCGCCCCTAGTGGAGCCTCCCTGCATATCAGACCCTCCCATATGCCCCCTCAGGGCGCCACGTCTGATGGCCAGGGCGGCAGGGCTGGGTGGGAGGAGAAGAGCCCTTTACCGCTCACGGCCGCACCCCCCCATCCACTTGTCTGGGAGAGAAGTGCAGAAAGAACCCCGGGGGCACACAGGCAGACGCCCAGCTCCTCCTCCGGGCCCCGCAGGGCAGTGAGGACAGAGACAGCACGTCTGCCTGAGCGAGCTGCCCGGGGTGCTGGGCGCACCAGCGAGGCTGGGACGGACGGATCCGCCAACTCTGGGAACAGCCATGTGGGCTCAGTGTGGCCCAGAGCGAGGCCTGGGAGGGAGCTGGACGAGCGCCACTCACAGCCAGCTGTCGCCGGGCCTGCTCCTGCTCCTGCCGCTCCTTGGCCATGCGCTGCGCCCGCTCCGCCTCTGCCTTCCGCCTGTCCTCCTGCTCCTGCTCCTTCGCCAGGTTCTCAAAGTTGGCCCGGATGCTGCTGGCCTTGCTGTTCGCTGCAGAGGGCAGGAAACGCGGATCTGGCTCCCCTACCATCTCCCCAAATCACAGCCGCACACGGGGACAGACCTCTCTCAGGACCAGCCCACCCGGGAGGACCAAGAAGGGGCCCGGGACCCTCCCCAGCAGCCAGCTCCACCGCCCACCGGCGTGAGCCCCCGCCCCGGCCGCCCAGCGAGGTGGGGAGCATCCTTGTGTCCTGTCTCGCGCTCCCTGGCCACCCACCCTCGGGAGCAGGGCCCTTGACACAGCAGCGGAGAACCCGGCATCGCTGGCAGGCCAAGCCATGGCCCGCGTGACAGACGGGTGCCGGGCGGGCTGCAGTGCGGCCGCTGTCCCAGCTCGCCGGCTGCGGTGAAAGGACACCCGAGAGACCACGCTTGGGGGACGGGCAGGCGCCTCCTCCACATATACAGACCAAGCCCATCTTGGCAAAAAAAGTAACTGGGAGTTTGGAGTCAGCGGGACAAGTGCAGCTCCCAGCACAATTAGAACTTGGAACCCTCGCATCCACCGCCAGCATCACCCGGACACCGACGCTGGTGAGTCGAGGGGATCTCTTGGGCCTCGGGTGACCACACGCGGCAACATCTGACATCACCACAACTCAGCGCCCCGGTATGTTCCAAACGGCCCATCGCTGGCCGAGGCCTCCGGTCACGCTGCCTGAGCAAAACCGGCTGATGGCCAGGGAACTGCCACCCGCTGGCGTGGCCCCACCCGGACCCAAAAGAACTGCTGACCAGGCCCCCCCGCGGCCCGCGGGCCTCCTCGGCCACAGGCCACAGCTTCACGACCCCTCAGGTGAGCCAGAGCGGCGCTGAGAACCTGCACTCTCACGGCAGGGCTCAGCACAGCGACGCAGCCCTCCCGCGCAGTTGCCGCGAAACCGTACTTTTTCACAGAAAACGCTATTATGCTCCAGGTGACAGCCTCGCGAGCTCTGAATAACCTGACGTTGGATCCTTTTCTTTTAGTTTCTAACAAAGCCCGAGACGCACCCCACATGACCAAGAGCTCCACAGGTACTGAGGACCCCCATGAGCGTGCCAGCATCCTGAGCTGCTGGGGCAGCGCCCAGGTCAAAGGGGAACCTCTGCGCCCTGTTTTCATCTCCCAGGCTCCAACACCTATGATATGTGCCCCCCTAAAGGTCCTCTGCAGGGGGGCCCGCTGACAACGGTGCCCCGCAGCCACCAGCCGCCTGGACCAGCGGGCAGCTGGTCGGGCCTGGGAGGGGAGAGGGGCATCTCCTCGGCCTAGAGGTGGAAGATTCCAGCACAGCCAGCGGGTAGGCCCCATCAACCACCTCTAGCAGCAGTGAACTGTGGGCAAGGAACCTTCCAGAACCTATTGCCGGCAGAGAGGAGGCCACGCAGCTGTGCAGTTATCCTGTCTCTGTACCCCCAGAGAGACCCCCACAGTCCGAGAGCGGCTATGTAGGTCTGACAAGTGCTTCCGCAGGGACAAACAGGACCTGCCACCAAGGGGGCCATCAGCGGCCACCAGAAAACACGCTGGACACTCTCCATCCCTGCCCCGTACTGGCTCACGTGTCCCCACACCAGCTAACATGCCCCCACACCAGCTCACGTGTCCCCAACAGCCTTTCCCTCAGCATTTCCTGGGAATCTTCCCAGAAAACCAAGTTGGTCGGGCACGTGGGACCCACCTGCCTCAACAGGGACTGTCTTCTGGTAGCTGGAGGTCACCTGGGCGCTGTCCTCAAAGGTGGCCGCATTCTGCAGAGATGGGAGGGAGCTCAGCAAGTGCTTCTCCACTCAGGGCCCCTCACCGAGCGCCAAGCCCACCCAGAGCCCCAAAGGGCAACCCATGAGCACGGCCCACACTTGCTGGAGCCCAGGCAGCCACGCAGAGGACAGCAGGCCGGCCAGAGGGACGGCGGGCAGCGGCTCAGGGCAGCGAGACTCCCGAGTGGGGCGCCATGCTGGGGACACATGTCCCCGGGCTGTGTCCAAGCCCGCAGAACAGCAATGCCTGCAGCGGCCCTGCCCCCTGGGGGCTGCGTGACAAGGCCACCCTCGTGCACTGTGCCTCTGCTGTCCCCCTGCTCTCCGGGACCCTGGCCAACTCCCACCCACCCTTCAACACAGCATCGAGACTCACTTCCTTAGGACCCTCCCCGAGGCTCGAGCCCTCCCACGTTCTCCCGGGGCCCACCCGGCGAAAACCCAGTCCTTGTGGTCAGCAGTTAGCAGACTCCGTAGGCCTGGCGGCCAGCTGTGACCCCAGTGACACTGGACCAGGGCCGGCAGCGGCCTCAACCCCTTCCACAGAGCTGACAGGAGGCAGACCTCATCCTCAAGCCCAACGTGGGAGCTCAGCACTCCCCTAACCGTCCCTTCCCCTTAACCTCCCCCCAAGGCCGTGGCCATCAGTCCACCTGGCAGGTTTAGGACTGACTCATGAGGATGTGAAGCCCACGTGACAGGGCTGTCCAAGGCCTGCTGCTGATGCGCCAGAAGGCAGAGCATCTCCTGGAGGAAGGAGTGGCCTAAGAACTCAAGCTCCCTTCAGCTGACTACAAGTATTTCAAATCCAAACGGCCAGCCACCCTCGAGGGCTCCTGTCAGCCCAGGGGCCATACATTTGTATGGCGTGGCAGCCTGGCCACCGCCCACAGGCCTGCCTGGCCTGGGTGCTGAGTGCAGGGTGGACAGGGACAGCGCAGGGAGGACACCGGACACGCATGAGGCCCAGGCCGGGAGGCTGGTGGTGGCGCCATGGGCCACATATCGACTCAGACATCTGGGACCTGGCATGGAGAGGCCGGCGCCCAGGGCCTCGCACACAAGCGCCGGCCCCTGCCCCTTAGCCAGGGACACGGACGTGACGGGCTGGGAAGACTTGCCTTGTCCATGCGGTCCTTCTGCACCCCGTATTTCCCACCGAATCCTTTGGAATAGTCTGAAAAGCAGCACAACAGGACATCACTCTCACGGCAGGGACGGCGTGGAGCCCGGCAGACATGCAAACAGCCAGGACGAGCCCGAGAGAGAGAGAGAGGTGCAGAGCAGGAGCCAGAGCCGCAGGAGGGTGCATCTCGGCTTGCAGGCAGGCGGGGCAGCCTTCCCCAGTTCTGGGACACAGGTGGGGGCAGTGTGCAGACAGTGGGTATGGGGCAGGTGGCAGGCAGGGCCTGGGGCGGGGCGGGCGGCAGGCAGGGGCCGGGAGACCGGGGCAGGCCCCGCAGGCGCCACTTCTACAGCACAGTTTTCACCAGCCCCGGGCAGCGCTGCCCGCCAGCCGACGCTGCAGCAACACACACGCCACAGCCCGGGAGCGCACGAGCACCGAGCTGTCCCCACACAGCCACGGGCCCCATCGTGCCTTCCCTGACCAACACGGCCACTGTCTTGCATGGCCTGGTGCCTCCATGCTGCCCAGCAGACTGGGGTGTTTGTCACAACCGTGCCCAGGTTCTAAGCCCATTTCTGAGTTTGGATGGTAATTCAGTAATTTGCTCCCAGGAGGTGTCTGCTGACACGCAGACCCTGGTGCGGGCCCACGAGGGCCGTGTCTCTCGCTTGTGTGCAAGCTGAGCCGGGCGGAGAGGTCGCGGAGATGGTGTCGTCAAAAACACAAAACAAATAAGACGCCTAGAAAGACCACCGCGGTGAGACACAGACCGCACGGGACGCCCCCACCCCCTGCCAGCGGGCCTCTGGGCAAGGCCAGGGGTCCAGCCCGGCTGCCACTTCTGTCTGGGAGGCCGGAGGCGGCTCACCCTGAGCTACAGTGGCCATGGTCAACAGTGGGGCCAGCGGGGCATGCTGGGGGTCAGAGCCCATCTCCAGAAACTGCCCGTGGTGCGAGTGGAAGGGCGTTGCCTGCGGACTGCTGCCGCGCTCTGCCGGCCAGAGACCCCGGGGGTTGTGGGGAGGAGTGAAGGGGACAGGGGCAGGTCGACGTCCTCCAGCACGGCCGGGCTGAAGGACCGCGCCCGAGTCTGTGCTAGAAGTGCTGCGCTGGGGGGCACTGTGCCTTGCTGGGACTCGTGCTTGGCCAGTCTCTCCTTGTAATCAAACCCCACAGCACAGGAGTCCTGCCTCTCGGACTGAACACCAAATCTGCCTCCGAAACCAGCCTTATAATCTGCGCATCCACCAGCGACGTGGGGAACAACCGAGAGAGGAAACACAGTGGTTAGGAGGCCGCGCACACGCCGGAACCCAACACGGGAGGGGCTCCCAGCTCGGGGTCCAGGGCGCCCCGTCCCAGCAGCCAGAGGTGGGGTCGGGGGCAGGCACACACCAGGGGCTGGGACCCTCCGGGAGAGCCCTGGGTGGCCGAGGGTCTCGCCCACGTGGTGCGGGCAGGGAGGCATGGGGCAGTCCGGCTCTCAGCCTGAGCGGGCCACACGCCCAGCCTTCTTCCCACATGCCACTGGGGGGGGACGAGGGTCCTCTGCTCAGGGGGTGTCCCCTCCCGTGGCAGCAGTTGAGCAAGGAGAGCTCCTGGGCGGGGAGCAAGGTCGCCCCAGCAAGAAAGGGCTTCCCAGAGCAGGGATGAGGCGGAGCCGGGGGGCCGGCATGTAGCGCCTGCCCGGGGTGCAGACGACTCCCCACAGGGCGCATGAGACGGACACAGCACGCAGCACAGGACTGGCGCTGAGCGCGCGTGCAAACAGATGCACACACACACGCACGCACACACACATGCATGCACGCCTGGAGTGAGCACGCCTGGAGTTGGGAGAATGTACCTTTTTGGGATTCATGCAGCTGCAATTTCTCCTGGTGGTCCCAGCCAAGGGCACACTTGTCTTGTCTGTCTGTCTGCACACCAAACTTCCCTCCAAACCCTTTCACATAGTCTACACGTGTGACAAAAGGCCGTGCCGGCGTGTTAGGCGTGCTTGGGTAACAGGGAGAGAGGGAGATTTCAACCCTGTTAAGCATACAGCTTGCTACGAGCTCTGGGGAACCCCCGACACCCCATCCATCCCCTGGATCTGGGAAACAGACAGGCCCAACGCAGGAAGCGCCCAGCGGGGGTCTCCGCAGCTCTCAGAGCCGCCGCCCGCAGGGTTGTGACAGGCGCGAGCCGGGCCACACGGGCACGAGGCGGGCGCACCCGACAGCTCTGCCTGGACTTGCCGCCTCAAAGCTCAAAGCCAGCCAAAGGCGACGTTTGCTGCCAGGGGTGCCCCGCCCCGACCCCAACGACAGAGGCGGGCACCTTTCTGCGACTCGTGCTTCTCCGTGCGGCCCTGGTACTCGAAGCCCACAGCGCTCTTGTCCACCTTGTCCTTGTCGATGCCGTACTTGCCGCCAAAACCTTTGGAGTAATCTGAAAATTAAAGAGATGACATTCACACCAGCAGCGGCGTGAGGGACCCACGTGGGACCGGCAGCCCTGGCCGAGGCGCGCTGGCCACGCGACACCACCAGGGCCAGGCCACAGCCGCTGAGCACACCCGGGAGCTTCGAGGCGCCGCTGACGTGAGACAGGAACACGAGCCGCAGCCGGCAGGTCGGCAGCGTCGCCCCTCAACTCCCGGGACTGCAACCGCTCACACGACTGCCAAGCAGAGCCGACCTGCCTGTGCCCGCGACCCTAGGCCGCCCTGCTCTCAAGGCCAGGCAGGGCGAGTGAGAGCAGCATGGTGGCTTCCGGAGATGCTGGGGCCACGTGGCCCTGAGCCACCTGAAAAGCCGCCTCTAAACTGACACCTAGCTCCCCTGTGGACACACTGGGGACCAGGACGCAGACCTGATCCCTCGTGAGCAGGCACGGGGCGGGCATCCTGGGGCGCAGCCGCTCTGACCCTCCGCGGCAGGTCCAGCAGCAGCTCGCACGCCAGGCGAGGGGAGGGCAAGAGCCGGTGACACCTGGAGCCCCCCCGCAGCTGGGGAGGCGTGGGAGAGTCCATGGCAAATTGGTGGGGGGCTAAGAGTCCCCTGGCATCCACTAGCCATCTCCCTGGGGAAATGCCAAACGGGTATTTCTAGAGGTGATTTTTGCTTTGTTGTTTTTTTAAAGAAATCTAAATTTTTAAACGTTGGCAACTGTTTGAAAGAATTTAAATGTCCAAGCCGAGCAAAACAAAACAAAGAATGCAGAAGAGTCAAGCGCTGGGACTCCGCAGAAGGCACATCCTCAGCGCCCCCACCCCCGCTGCTGGGCAAGGCTCGTGACCAGGAGCCGCCGGGGCACGTGCGGGGAGGCAGAGGCCAGCCCAGCTTCCCGGGGCAGCGTGGCAGCTTCCATTAAAAATTTAAATTGGGCCTCCCTGGTTGTGCGAGGGTTAAGACGCAACCTATGAGGCTGTCTGCAGCCGCTGCAGCACGAGATCGCTCCCCGGCCTGGGAGCTCCCCACAGGTCATGGCGCAGCAGACCTCTCCTGTCTCCCCGCTGCTCCCTCAGCGGTGGATTTCAGTCAGTCTGCCTGTTCTGCTCCCCGCTCTGACTCTGGTGAGTCCTCTCACCCCCCACATCTCTGGCCTGTGCCCCAGTTCTTGTATGCGTAAAAAAATAAAAATATAAAAAAATTAAAAATTAAATTCACATCCCTGGTCCCACAATTCCGGTTCCAGAACTTCCATCCTTGGAACAATCCCGTACAGGAGACGCAGGTGCAAGCACAGCCGCTGCAGGCTCTTCCCCAGCCGTTGGAACAGGCAGGCAGAGCGGGCAAAGGGCTCGCGCCCGAGACACGCACCCGCACACCTGAGCCCCCGTGCTGTTATGCCCCCAGGTGACCGCCACTGGAAAACCCGAAGCAGCTAAGCTCCACACCCCCAAAAAGAAGTGTCCTGCAAGCGGAGACCTTGACCACGGCCCCGTCCACAAGGGCCGGGCCACCCCACACTGAGCTGCAAACACCAGCCCGACACGTGAAGGAAGGGAGACCTGGAAGGGAGACCTGATTGCTCCCGGAACATCACCGGCGTGCGTGTGAGCGTGTGAGGGGCGAGGTCGCCCCGCTGTGGACGGTGGGACCCACCTTTCTGCGACTCGTGCTTCTCCGTGCGGCCCTGGTAGTCGAAGCCCACAGCGCTCTTGTCCACCCGGTCAGCCTGCACGCCGAACTTGCCGCCAAAGCCGCTCGAGTAGTCTGAGGAGACAGGAGCGGCAGCGGCGCTGGGGGCAGGCCACCCGCGCTTCCCTCACGTTAAGCCACACGCAGGCGTTGGGGCCCCACGCGTGTGAGCAGCCTGCTCCCAGGCACGGCCAGAGGGCTCCGCTCCCGGAGCAGCGAGGCGCTGTGATCCTGTGAGCCGGCGACGACGGTGAGCTGGCAGCCGCACAGCTGCACTCCCCTAGCAGGACAGCACCCTTGGGTGCTGGGGGCAGCAGCCACGCTCCCGGGGTCACAGAGAGGAAGGGCCCAGTTTGAGGAAGTGAACAGCAGGAATCTGGGGCTCCATGTCCATTCTTAGGGTAGACATTAGCTTTGTGCCACCAAGTCAAAGACTCTTTCCCGGGGCTCGAAGGAAGAGGGGGTGATCCAGGGATGCCAGATGCCGGCCCCACACCCTCACCCACGACCCAGTGACCAGGGTCCTCGCAGGAGAAGCCCCAGGAAGAGGCACCCCTGCTGCCAGGGGGGCCTCCCTCACGGTCGGCAGCAGCCACGCTCACCTTTCTGCGAGGCATGCTTCTCAGTCTTCCCCTGGTACTCGAAGCCCACGGCCGACTGCGGGTACCGGAAAGAAACATTTTTGAAGGGAAACACACCTATCAATCCCGCAGACAAACACACTGAACCCGCAACCCGCGCAGAAGTTCTGAAAACACACGCCCCGCCTCTCGGCCACATCCAGGGCTGAGGAAGCCAAGGGTCCCGGTGACGAGCGTTTGCTCACCATGAAACCCCTGACAGAGCCGGGCGAGCTGCCCAGGCCAGCTTCAGCCGGGCACCCTGGCGGGCAGTCAGCTGACAGGCCATGAGCGAGCGAGGCAGCCGCCGCAGCCCCTGCCCCAGCGCGTCCCCACCGACACCCCCAGGGAGCTCAACTGGGGCAAGGGAGCCTCAGGGGCGCAGGCATAGCCACAGGCTCCATGCCGGGGCACACGCGCAGCCGCAGGAGACAGGCACCACACAGCCCATTTCATGGACAGGGGACGCAGGATGCCTCTAGGCCCGACCCCACATCTAGCTTCTGGATGGCCGTGGCACAAGCAGGGCCGCAGCCCAAAGGCCCGTCCTGGACGGCATGCACGCTGCATATGGCAGCCACGGCGATGCCCTCCGGGAAACCTCAGGCCAGTCCAGGTCCAGCCGACGACTGGACTCCCCAACACGGGGCCTTCTACAGCTTTCTCCTTGAGCTGGCAGGGAATCACCCTAGAACATCTGGGGGCCCTGTGGTCCTTCGAGGGGCACATCTCTGATCCAGACAGCCGGGCCCGCCTCCCCCAGCCCTGGGCTCCCGCCTCGCAGCACTCACCTGGTCAACCCTGTCCACCTGGACACCAAACTTGCCTCCGAAGCCACGGACGGAGTCCACCTGCGAGCAGTGCTTGGACAGCTTGGACTGGTACTCGTGGCCCACGGCCGACTGCAAGGGGTACAGCGTCAGCATCAGCCACCCCTCCCAGCCACGCCCTCCAGGTCAGCACAGAGGCTCCTGGGAACACCCAACATGAGATCAGCCCTGCAGGAGCTGACTCCCGGACGCGTGACGCCAGGGCTGGGGGCGGGCTGTCTCTGCATGTCTCCATCTGGGGCTCCACAGAAGTGGCCCGAGAACCCCAACTGCTGGTGGAGGCTTCTGAATGAAGGAGCACAGGGCCAGCCCCAGGCAGAAGCCAGCACCACAGCCTAAGATATGGCTCCACGACCCACAGGAGCCCTGGACAGAGTGCTCAGCACGCCAGCAAGGGGGCCTGTGCCACGGCTCCTGATGCACTCTGAGTGGGGCCCGGCGCATGCCACCCGGCCTGCTGCCAGGATCCCCGGCTGACGGAAGGAAACAGGCCCTGCCACACACCCAAGGCACATGGGCATGAGGCGGCGCTGCAGGCTCCCCACCACACCCTCACGCCTGGGCCAGCAAGCAGGCCCCTGGGAGCCACCCACTACCCCGGTTCTCTAACCCGGAACTGGGGGCGCAAGTTTGTAATGAGATTATCTTTGCTTTCACCCCCCAAGCCCCACCAGCACAGCCGTTGTCAGGGAGGGAAGAGTTTCCGTGGACTCTCACCCCTAAAACACATGGGGCTTTGGGGCACTGTTAAGAGCTACAAGCCTTTTTTTAAAGAATCCAAAGATGAGTCTGCTCCCCACTTTCCTGTTTCAAAGTATAGATGTCCCCGCGGGTGACAGGATGACACTGCGGTATCCCTGTCTCTTTCCTGCAGCTGGCTCCTCACCCCACTCCAGCTCTCGGTTAATTCTGGACATGGTTTGGGGTGTCCGCCGGGCCCTGTGTCTCCTCGGGGGTGACAGTGGCACCCTGGGGCACAGCTGCATGGTTCCTGCCTAGCCCAGACGCGGAACCGAGCCAGGCGAGAGGACAGTGCGAGAGTCAGGCCAGAGCCGACACCGCTGGCGCGTCCTCCTGAGCCAAGATGCCAACATAGGTGGGTTGGGGGGGCAGGCAAAGGTCCGCCTGACTGGCCAGGCGTGGCGGCCACCGCGGCCTCCTCTCCGGGGAAGGTGAGCCCTCCTGGCCGAGCCACGCCGAGGGGGGACCCCGAGTCCTGCCCAGGGCTTGCGCTCAGCCAGGCCCCACGCGCCCACATCCCACGACAGGACGGTGGCTGAGGCTGCCGGCTCCGCACCAAGCACCCCTGCCAGGCCCACCCGAGGGTGAAGGATGCCGACTGGCCTGGGGGTGACCCTTCACCCATGCTGGAAACACGGCACACCAGGTGTGATGCTGGCCTAAGGGCGGGGAACGCTCGGCTGCGTGCTCAGCTGCGGGCAGGGCGGCAAGGACCCCTGTGGACGAGCCACTTCTGGCCTCTGTGCCAGCCACCAAGCCCACCCATGGGAGCCGAGCCCTCCGGCCCCTCCCCAGCAGCCTCCCAGCCGGGTCTCACCAGCGCAAAGGGCTGCTTCGGGCCAGGCTCAGCCCCGACAGACACACGCAGAGCCTCCCCGCCGAGGGGCAGGCCTGGGCAACCCCCTGCCAGCCACGGGACGGGTGGAGACGCAGCGCTGCCCGCCGCCACTCACCCTGTCCATCCGGTCCTGCTCCACGCCGAACTTCCCCCCGTAGCCATGCGACGCTTTCGGGCCCGTTTCAAGTTCCTTCTCCTTGAGGGTCTGGTGTTCTTGAAACACATTCTCCCTCAGCTTGTGTATGCTTGCAGGGGACAGGGGAGAAAGCACAGGGCCAGTCAGCCACACAGACGCCGTCCCGCTCCCAGGAAGGGGGGCAGGATGGGAGCCCCGCGAATCTGGAGGCTCCTAGTCCTGCCTCGTGGCCTGACACTGCTCTGCCAGTTGGCCGTGGACGCAGCGTTCCCAGAATCAGATGCGAGCGTAACGGGAAAAGGGAAAGCATCTGAAAGTGAACATGAGTCATCCGAGCACCCCCGGAAAGACCCGAGTGCATCCGAGCTGCAGGCAGGAGAACTGCTCTGGGTGCCGCCCCCGGGGCAGCTGCACCCACCCCCCTGGGGCAGCGCAGGTGAGGGGCCTCACCTACCACCCCCTGGGGCTGTGCGCAAGCCAGGAATGCAACCCCCCACTTCTTGTGAAAAGGAGGCGCTGCCCACAGGCGCCGAGGTGGAAGGAAAGACTTGCAGCTTTCACAGTCGAAGGACCAGGCGTCCTGAAGGGATCACAGGACCTGGTCCGCCCTGACAGGCCTGGAAGCTCTGCCTGGTCACAGTGAGCTCAGATAGGCCCGACGACAACCCCAGGGCCTATTGCCCGAGGAGACGCCGCCACACCTGGACCACAAGCCAGAAACCAGTCAGCGCCAGGAGGAAGACCACCCCCAGGGCCAGGAAGGCCAGCTGGGTGGCACCAGCGACTGTCCAGCTGGTCCCGCAGTGCTCGCTCCGGCCCCGCCAGCCCGGCGCCCAGGAGCTGCACCTGCGCTGACCCGCCCGCAGGCAGCTGCGGGACAGAGGGAGCAGGAGGCGCAACCAGTCCGGTCGGCCCGGCCCCGAGCAGGAGAGGAGGGCAGCGGGGCCGGGCCCAGCCCCGGTGCCCACGCTCTCCAGCGGCTCCCGGGAGGGCGGGGGCGCGGCAGGGAGAGGTCAGGGCACGTGTCCCGGCACCCGCACTGCAGACGTGGCCCTGCTTTCCGGGCGATTTCCCGTGTCTTTGTCGGCCAAGAACAGCCTCGTTTCACCTCAAAGACACCGATGCCGGCTCAGACACGGCGTGCGAGTGACCACACGGGCCCCCCGGTGGGCGGGGCCACGCCGGGCACCCAGGAAGTGTCCGAGCACATTCTCGACCACCTCCACCTCTGCCTCCCACCCGAGCGGGCCTTGCCAGAAGCCCCGGCGTTCCCAGCTGGCGCGCCAGGGTGAGCAGCACAGCCCCCTCTGAAGGGCAGCGTGCCCGTGCCCGTGCCCGGGCCCAGGTGCAGACCCACGCTCGCCCGCTCGTGAGAGCCAGCCGGGCCCCGCCGGGCCGCTCACAGCACACCCCACACCGGCAGGAAGAGCAGCTCTTACTTGATGTGCTCCTGGTGCCCGGACCCCTGCACGGTCTTGGCCCCCCATCGCTGTTCTTTCTCACTCACGTCGTTCTGGGGGAGAAAAGAAGCGCTGAGCAGGAAGCCGCAGCGACCCACGCGCGGAGCCCAGGACACGGCCTTCGGGAAGCGCGAGCGGCCGGGGCTGGGACACATACCACAAAATCGGGGTCAGTCTCCCAGTCGTCGGCTCCCCCGTCGTCCTGGGTGATGGACACGGCGTGGCCTGCCGAAGCTTTCCACATCTGCGATGAGGGCGCGGGGCCGTGACCGCCAGCCCCCGGCAGCACCGGCACTTGGGCCCTGCACCCCCCAGGAGCGGCTCCGGCTCCAGAGGTCACGTCGCGGGGGCGGGGTGCACCAGGACCACGCCCGCCCGCCAGCCCAGGCCGCTGCGCTATCTGCGCAGAGACACCCGCCGGGCCGCACCGGGCGCTGGTGGCGCTTCAAGTCACACGACTCGGGGGAGATACCACGCGCTCGCCGTCACCCTCGCGGGGCGCCTAAGGCCCAGGCTCCGGCAGGTCGGTGAGAGCCGGGCGCACGCCGAGGGCGGCTTTCCCGCGTACGTGGAGACTGCGGGGCACAGGGGCCTCCCACGCCAGCCCGTGGCGGCTCTCCCTCCGCACCCCTCTTCCTCCGCACCCCGCACAGGCGGAGCCTGACGGAGAGGGGCCGGGAACAGCCACGTCTCCCCCAGGGTGCTACAGAGCCCCGCCCCCCGGGGGCCCGGAGGGGCCTGTCCCCGCTTCCTCTGGCAACGCTTGGGCTGTGCCGAACGAGGACAGGACAGAGGCCCTCCCGGGCCAGCGACCTCCCAGCCACATCCGCCGGTCTCAAAGCCTGAGTCAGGCTGCAGTGAGTGGCCAAGAGTGAGCCCCGGGGCGCAGGGCTCTCGCGTGCCCAGCGGCTGCCACAGGAACTGGGCAGGGGACCCACAGCCCTACGTGGCCACCGCAAACCTCAGTCCCCTCAGTCCAGGCGTCCCCAAGCAGGGCAAGAACATGCCCGCTGCGACCTCCTTTGGGACACAATTTTTGTGCAAATGAACTCAAATCCCAGCCTGGGAGGCACGACAGGTGCCCGTGCCAAGCGCCCACTGACGCATGAAGGGACAGCGTAAAATGACCTGGTTTGCCCCACGGCGCCACCCTCTCCTAGAGAAAGGGTTCCCTGTCCTTTGCCGGTTCCAACCACGGGGGTGGGGTGGTGCCTCAGCGAAGGCGGGGCTGTTGGGCCAGGCCGACCCTGCCCGAGGCCAAGGGACCTCCTGTCTGCCGGTGACGCCTACAGACCCATGAGGGAAAATGAGCAGTGCCCGACCCTCATGGATCTTTCTGGAAGCCTGACCAGCTGGCAGAGCGAGCACTCTGTGCGCCACAGCCTTGTGCTTCCTGCTAGAGGCTCCTCTCTCCACAGAACACACAGGTCAGGCCAGATCCCTCCAGAGGCTTCTGAACCCGTTTCTCAAACCACAGGCCACAATGGAAATTTGACTTGGTTTTTCAAACAAGGAAACTTCCTTCCAGAAAATCACTGTCCTGACTCTGCGCCCCTTGCCGTCCAGGCGGGAGCTCACCTTCCAAGGGAAAGACGGCTGGAACAGAGCAGCACAGACCCTCTTCCTGCAGAAGACAAACCCGCTCAGAAAACTCCGCTTAGAGCCCGGTCATGTGAGGCGGCCTCCGGGCACCGGGGGAGTCTCTGCAAGAGGACGGAGGAAGAGAGCTGGGGGACAGCCGCGGGCGGGCGGGCGGGCACAGCCTCCGCGTGGGAGCCCTTCCGCCACCTCCAGAGAGCCGGGAAGGAGGGCGGGAAGGTCTGCGTTTCACTAACAGAAGCTGGCTGAGCCCCAGGCACAGCCACGGCTGGGGGGCACGTGCCAGCAAGCTTTTCCAGAGGGCGCGGCACCAGCCTCGCCCGGACACCAGCCCCAGGCACGCAGCACCTGACACGGACGCCCCTGAGCTCCAGGCCCTGGCCCGCCACAGGCACGAGCACCGGGAAGCCCGGGGGGCCGGCACCCTGGTGGCCGGCTCGCACCACCGCCCTGCTCCTTCCCGAGCCCCAACCCCACACCCGCTCTCTCCCCGTCCCCTCAGGAAAGCCTCGGCTGCAGGTGCCAGCGACCCGCAGTGCCACCGGAGCACTGATTCAATCCCAGGCCAGGGCGACGGCCCCGGCTCTCACCTGCCGCCGCACGGTCCCTGCCTCCCCTACAGCGCAATTTTTTTAAAAAATCACAAAATGAGTTGGCAAATGACAAGCACGGCCACTTTATGGCTCCAAAGAGAACACGCCCAGATGCCTCGCTCCGCACATACAAATTAACTCACAAACGGCTCAAAGGCCTCCACCCTGAGCTAAAAACTAAAGCGCAGAGCAGACCGCGAGCGCACTCTCACGGCCGTTGCGCACGCTGGCGCCCAGGGTGCCCGAAGCGCCGCGGAGGCCTGGCTGAGCGGGACAGACTGGACTTTGTGCTCCAAAACGGACCGCGAGGACGTGAAGACGGCACCGAGGGGGCCATTTCCAGTTCTGCACGGAGCACACACGCGCCTTCACAGCACGCAAGGGCACTCGGACACATTTCAAAGTGGGGGGGCATCTGCGCAGTCTCACCGCCCCCCCCGACAGCCCCCTTCCGGGAAGGCCCGGGAACCCCGGGGTGAGAGCAGGACGGTCAGAACCCCCGACATGGAGAAGTGGCTGCAGGTCCGCGGAGGTTAAACAAGGAGGTGCCGGGGGGCCCAGCCGCCCCACGCTTGCTTACAGGCCAGAAAGGAACACGCTTGCGCACACGTGAACACTGGTGCAGAACATTCCAGCATGTCACCCCCAGCAGCCAAGAGGGAGGCCCATGAAGCGGGGCTCATGCGCACAAGAAGGACCACTGGGCAGTGAGGAGGGAAGCTCCTGCCTGCGAGGATGACTCGAGAGATGCTGACCCCGAGGGACACAGGCCGCGGCCCCGAGACACCAGAATGGATAAATCTATGAGGTCGAAACCAGTTTCATGGCCGCCATGTGGGGTGGGGTGGGGTGGGGTGGGGTGGGGGGGTGATAAAAACAGGGTTTCTCTCTGAGATGATAAAATGACTTCAAATTGCGGCGGCGCCTGCACAGTCCCCCCACGACTGCTTTCCTGGCAGCCGCTGACCTGAGCTCTACAGGGGTGCCCGTACGAGTCCCATCCGCCAAGTCACGAAAGACAGACCTCAGGACAGTGATGACGGCTCCCTCCAGGCCCCGCACGAGGCCTCCCCGCGGCTGTCACCCACACATCGGGCCGCACGGGACCCACGAGCACGAGCGACGTGGGCAGTGACCACGCAGGGCTCGCGGCCTCGGGTGCCCACGGAGCAAAGGGCAGCCCCCCAGCCCTAGCCACACTACCCTGGGAGCCGCTCACACCCCCCTCGGCCGGCACTGGCCAGAGCTTTCAAAAGGGCCTGGAGGGTCAGTCCAGCCGCCCCGGGCCTGCCGGGTGGAACGGCCGAAGGGAGAGCTACGGGGTCCCCCTGGGCCGCCCCGCGCCTGCTACCGGGAGGCTTTCCCGACAGGGCCCGCATCCGCGCCCCGGCCCGGCCCCGGCTCAGCGGGCCCCGCGCGGCCGCCGCCCGCGGTCCAGGCCGGGCGGGCTCATCCCCGCCCAGCGGCGGCGGAGGCGGGCGGGGCGGCCGGCCCAGGCTGCGCTCCCAGAAAATGGAGCCCCTCCCCGGGCGGCCCGCAGCGCGGCTCGGGCGGGACAGGCCGGACGGCAGGGGCGCCTCTGCGACGCCCAGCGCGGCCCCCGGCGCTCCCGACCCGCCGCGCGCGCAGCCGCCGCGCTGACCTGGTTGCCGGCCCGCCCGGGGCGCCGCAGGACGCGCCCCAGGCCCCGCGCGCCCCCCGCGCCCCCGCCCGCCCCAGCCCCGCGCGCCCCCCCCGCGCGCCCAGGCCCCGCGCGCCCCCCGCCCGCCCAGGCCCCCGCGCCCCCCGCCCGCCCAAGGCCCCGCGTGCCCCCCGCCGCCCCAGGCCCCGCGCGCCCCCCCGCGCGCCCCCCGCCCCCCTGCCCGCCCCAGGCCCCCCGCGCCCCCCGCCCGCCCAAGGCCCCGCGCGCCCCCGCCCGCCCCAGGCCCCGCGCGCCCCCGCGCCCCCCGCCCGCCCCCGCGCGCCCAGGCCCCGCGCCCCCGCCCGCCCCAGGCCCCGCGCGCCCCAGGGGCCCGCCCGCCCCCCGCGCCCCGCCCCGCGCCGGACCCCGCGGCCCCGGCCCCTTCCGGGCAGGCCCGTGCGCCCCGACCCGGGCCCCAGGCCCCGCGGACCCCTCCCCGGGCCCCCCGCCCTCACCCCCGGGCACCCCGCGCGCCTCCCCGCGCCCCGCACCCCGGCCGCGCTCGGGCTCCCGGCCCCCCGGCCCCCCGCCCGCCCCGCAGGCCCCGCGCCCCCGCCCCGCCGGGCGCCCCCCGCCGCAACCGCAAGCGGAAGCGCGGCCAGACCGCCGCTTCCTTCCCGTCTCGGGGCGGCGGCCCCGGCGCCCCAGCACGAGCGCCCGCCCGCCGCGCTCACCGTGCCGGGGTCCCCGCCGCTCCGCCGCCCGCGCCCCCCGCGCCAGCCCCACTTCCGGTTCCGCGGCGGGGGCGGGGCCGCATCCGGGCCCCGCCAGGCCCCGCCCCGCCGCGCCAGGCCCCGCCCCGCGCGCCAGGCCCCGCCCCGCCGCGCCAGGCCCGCCCCCCCGCCGCGTGCGCCGCCCGCGCTGCCCCGGAGCCGGCGGGGACCCGCGCGGACGAGGCCCGCACCGGGCGGCCCGCGGCGGCCCGGGCGCGGCAGAGGCACCGGCAGCGGGACGGGCCCGCCGTCCTGCCCGGGGTGCCGTGGGGGCGAGCGCGGCTGTCGTCAGCCCCTCGCCCCGTGTGCGCCGGCCGGCCCACCCCGCCCCGCCCGCGCCCGCCGGGACCCCCCCCGCGCCCCGCGCCCGCCGGGACCCCCCCCGCGCCCCGCGCCCGCCGGGACCCCCCCCCCGCGCCCCGCGCCCGCCGGGACCCCCCCGCGCCCCGCGCCCGCCGGGACCCCCCCCCCGCCCCGCGCCCGCCGGGGCCCCCCCGCGCCCGCGCCCGCCGGGACCCCCCCCCCGCGCCCCGCGCCCGCCGGGACGCCCGAACCCCCGTCGCCGCCCTCGCACAGGGCCGGACGCGGGACAGGGGCCCGGAGCAAAGACTCGGGCGGCCCCCCAGAGGGGGTGTCCCGCCAGAGGGGGTGTCCCCCAGAGGGGGTGTCCCGCCAGAGGGGGGCGGCGCGTGTCGGAGCCGCGGGGAGCGTCCCTTCCCGGCGAGGCCCGGGGCGGGGCCCGAGGGGGGCGGGGGCACCGAGGCCCGACCCTGCCCCGAGGAAGCTGGGCCAGGCGGGAGGCGGCGGGGCCGGGACAGGCGCGGGCGTGGGGTGGGGCCGGCGGGGCGAGGATGGAGGTGCGGCGCCCCAAGGTCGCGCAGGAGGCCTGTGGTCAAGGTCGAGGACAGACGGGCGCGGGGGCAGCTGGAGAGCAGGTGCCCCGCGTCGGCGTCCGCTGAGGGCCCTCAGTGGCAGAGGACACCCGCCCGTCGGCGAGCGCCCCGGCCCCTGCGTCCCGCTCGGCCTCTCAGTGGGCAGCAGCGTTTGGCATGAGGCTTGGGGCTGGACACGCGGTCCCCAGCAGGGGCTGTGGCTGCTCCTCCCCTGAGAGGCGCGGGCGTCCCAGGTCTGCCCAGGAGGCCCGGCAGCTTCTGGCCTCGCGCTCCTAGAGGACGCCCCCACGGAGAGGCCGCCTCCTCCGGGCCCTGTGGGTGCTGGAGCCCCCGGGCGCCAGCAGCTGCCGTGCCCCTGGGGGGCCATCTTGGGCCCGGCCCCCCCCGGGCAGCTGGGTGGCCGCTCTCCAGGGCTGCTCCTGGGACACACCTGCAGAACCCCCAGACTGAGCTCATGGCTGCGGCCCTCCGGGTGGGTTCTTACATGGAAACCGATCGGAAAACAGCAGATGGTGCTCCTTCTGTGCGTGGGGACATCGGGCGGGGGGGCAGGACGAAGGAAGGAGCAGGCAGCACACGGCGGCGCTGTCGTCGCGATAAGCCACCCCAGAGCTGGTGACCTGGTGGGTGAACTTCCTGCCGGAGTTCTGGCTGGGGGTGCGCGCCTGCGTCCCTCACACCTCTGTGGGTGCCGCTCAAACGGCGCCACGGGGCGGGCAGGAGCCAAGCGGGGCTTGGGCCTGCGCTTGGTCTTCTCCCCGTGAGCGTGGGCCCGGAATGGCTAAACTGGCTCATTTACTACACGCTAGGCCCTCACCATAGGCTGTTGCCGGAGCCCGGGTCGGGCCGCTGGGCGGCCAACACTCAGGAGACGAGAGCTGGGGAGGAAATCAGGCGTGCTCAGGGCAGCCCCGCAGAGCGGCCACCCGGCTGCCCCCGGGGGCCCCTTCCTGGGCACACGGGCACCCTCCCCCCGTCCTGCCTTGTGTGCCCCACACCCGCGCCAGGCGGGTTCCCGGTGGCTGTTTCACCCTGTGACAGAGCAGCCGCCCCGTGGGCAGTCGTAGCCGGTAACGCTGTGCACGCACGAGTTGAAAATTAACTGCCCGATGAGTCAAACCCATTTGTGCGCCCAAGGTCGGTGCTGATGGTTTAAAAATATCTTCCTTCCACTTCCTCCTGGTCAGTGCCCGCCCCCGCCCCCATCTCTGGAATGGCCTGGAACGCGCCCCGCTCCCCCACCCTGCCCCAGGCGGCGCCGGCTCCAGGCTCCCGGCTCTCAGCCCTGCTCTTTTTGGGAAAGTCAAGTCCCTGCCGGAAAGCGGGTGTGTCGGGGCAGCCAGTTCTACCCGTTCTGGGCGCCCAGGGGCAGGGCAGGGCGCTCCAGAACGTCACCTGGCGGCCCACAAAGACGCCTCTGGAACTGGCATTGCGACTCTATTTGGAAAAGAGGTCCTACGGGCGAAGCTAAGGGTCTTCAGAGGAGGGCGGGCCGGGACAGGAGAGGGACGTGGCGACCAGGGAGCTGGGGGAGGCAGAGAGATCCTCCCTGGAGGCTGCTGCCTCCTCCCACCACGTGGTGGCGCGGCCAGGGGAAGAGGCAACCCAGGGCTGACCCATCAGCCGGGAAAAGGCGCGCGGTCGAGTCAAGGACATGCACTGGCTGCTCATCCGCGCGGGAGAATTATGGGGCGAGTGCAAGAAGTGATGGTGCTGGAGTTTCAGGGCAATGTGCCGATTTGTGGGTACAGCAGCGCGGCCCTGGCCAGCCCCCCACCCACGGAACACAGCCAGCAGACCCTCCCCATGGCCAGGAAGCCCATCCCAAGCAGGACAGGGCTTAGCCAGCAAAAAGCAACCAGAGCCCAGACCCCACACCTGCCTTCAACTGCATGATGGGAAACGTGGAAGAAACCTCAGGGCAGCGACTCGGAAGCTAAACGGAACCTGCACCGTTAATAAAGGTGGGACATCAGGAGGCGTCAGACGGGCGAACACCAAGGGTCTGTGCTACGCGCGAGCCAGCGCCCCTGCAGGGTCCTGGGGGGCAGATGGGGCTCACCACACCCAGCAGGGCCCGGAGCGGTCACGAGCGCCGACTCGTGGAGGGAAAGAGCCGCTGCCTAGTGGGTGCTCGGCCAGATGCTGCCGGGGCCGCCATCCTGTGAGCTGCCACCCTGCACCCTCTTCCCCACTACCCCCTGCCTGGGAGTCCGCTTCTGACTTCCGTCTGGGAGGGCCTGGCCCCCGCCCTGTCGTGCTGGACTCGGGACATGGGCTGAGCTGTGAGGTAACCAGGCGCCGTTCCCTAAGGGCCTTGATCTGGAAGGCGGCCCCTGGGGCCACTCCGGGCTGTGTGGACAAGCCGGGGGCTGAGCCCACAGGGAGGAGCAAGCCTGGGCCCTGGAGCCGGGCAGGCCTGCAGGCAGGCAGGGGCCAGCCACCCTCCCGGACGGCGTCCCCTCCACCCGGTTCCCCCCGGCGCCGGTGAGCCGGGCCTCTGGGCTTCCAGAAGCGCGGGCAGGGACCCCTGGTCTTCCTCTGGGCGACACCCTGATCCTCGCCGCTGGTCTCTGCGCGGGACGGCCCGCCCGCAGCCGGCCGGCCGGGACGGGAGGGGACGCGGCTGCGGTCACTTTCCAATGCAGGCACGGCTCATTCTCGGATTCTTTATTGGCAGTGGAAAATGCTTCAGTACTTTATTGAGAGAAAGCAATAAATAATACTGTGATAAAAATAGTTCAAAAGTAGACTGTACATATTTTGTTACATAATCTGGAAGTTCACAAAAGATTAATAGAAAAACAGAAAGGTAACCATGAATTGTACAAGTAAATTCGGAGCAGAAACCTCTACCCGGCTAAGGGTCAGCTGCATAATAAATAACGCACCGGGGGCTGCACACGGTTCTTGCTGGCTTTTTAATATGCCATTTAAAAAGTAAAAGTTACAGTTTCTACTTATACAATCCAAAGTGGCTCTATCATTAAACTCTAAAAATTTCTGAGTAGGTCCATTCAACATGTTTACAAACGAATGTAAAAAGATGATTTAAGTAGGGAAAATAAGGCCTTTGTTAGAGTCCAGGCGTTTCCAGCCAGGCTGCCAGCGGGCGCCCTCATTGGTCCTCTGCCCCGGGGGCGCCTCTGGGCCCTGCTGCCCCAGGCCCCGTCCTCCCTTCCCGCCAGGCACTGACCAGACAAGCGGCCCAAGGGCGGGGCGTCTCCCAGCCCAGCTCGCTGGAAGCTGCTCTTGAACTCCAGATGTTTTTTCATCTGTTCACGCGGTAGAATAAAGCTTTTTTTTTTTTTTTTTTTTTTTGCTAGAAAAAGGACAGTTAAGGTCAGTCACTGAAACACAGCATTAGAGTCGGCTCCTCTCGCCACGGTCGTGGTGGAGCCAGGACGGGCCCAGGGGGCTGCGCGGGGCCGGGCGCGCCCTCGCTCAGTCCCGGCGTGTCGTTACAAAATCAGACAACCGTAATTACAATAATGCACAATTTACAAAAGCCCTGTATTTGTTCATAGAATTTATACATATAAGCATTACAGTATATTCATTTGAAAGACTAAAATTAGAGTGTAAGAACATGGGTTGATTTGAAAGGATATTTATAGCCTGGATAGACATGAAAAAGTAAGGAACTATATAAATGAAGCCATAAGTTTACATAAATATAAGAAACATTAAATTCTAAAATATTTTCTCTATGGTATTCATGAATTTTTCACTAATTAAAAACTCTGTAATAAAATATCTTAGGGTCCATATAACAAGTATTAACAGATTAAAGATTCCACTGAATTCTAAAACGTAGTCCTTGTAGGGTTCAGAATGCTGCATGATCACCGGTAGAAGTAGTGTGGGTAAACTGGAAGAGAAGCAGACATGAGGGTCAGTCTCACGGGTCCCCACACTGTCGCCCCAAGTGCCCCAGCACCTGCCTAGAGGCCCCGGCGCCTCCCGACTGCTCCTGCGGCCTTGAGTGTTCAGAGGACATGCAGGCCCGTGCCTGCCAGGGGCAGGGCCTAGACCGGCTTCCTTCTAGTGTGTGTGGCAACGTGGCCAGTTAGGAGAACAGGTGACAATTCCCCCAATGTTCCAGCTGCGCAGGAAAGCATAACTGGGCCCAGGAGCCGTCCCCAAGCCTGGGGGCGTGAGGTGAGGGCAGGGCTCCGGGCTGAGCCACTCGGAAGGCCCACAGGAACAGGAGCCCCGACTGGCGCTGCGCTCCTTCCTGAAAGCAAGTCTCGGGCCTGAGAGGCCACCAGTGCAGAGCAGGTGAGCCTCACGGAGCTCGGGGCTGTGGGCCCACCAGGGATGCACCAGGTGCCCAAGCGGGAGCGTGGGGCAGCCGGTGAGAACTGAGCTCGGTCACGTATTGTTCTCCAGCCTCCGGACCCGAAACAGACGTCAGCAGACTCTTAACATAAGCCGGCAGTTTAGGGTCAAAGGAAAAGTAGAAACAGGTGTTTTCCCATTAACACTTGAGGCCACACTAACCTCCTCATGGCCGAGACACGGAACACTGGGACCGTCTCCCTGCGGGAGGCTGGTGTCTCTGTGTTCTCAGGATTCCTAGGGTGTCGCCAAGGCCCAGCTGAACCTGGATGCCAGGGCGGGGCCTCGGCAACCTCGGGGACGGTGGTCGCTACTCACCCGCGGAGGCGCCTCAGCAGGAGTAAGTCCTGACTGTCGCAGAATCCAGCCTCTGCGCTCCTGACACACTGCCTGTTCGACAACCACAGGAGGAAGCGTGCAAACACAGCGTGCGGTTAGTCTTAGGTCGTCAGACACACTCACACCTGCCTTCGGCGTCCTGGGGGCCCCAGGGGAAGCTGCTGAGGGGGCTGGGCGGCCCAGGGGGTCACTGGTGTCCACCCCACGACAGGGTGTCACAACCCCCACTTGAGGGTGCTGTGCTGCTCCACTCCAGATGGGCGGAGCGGCTGGACTGGCCCTGCAGCCCTGGGAGCTGTGCGTGTAAGGGGGGTGGGAGGCGGACCCCTCAGGGCGCTGCAGGCTGAGCCCCCCAAAGGCTAGGAAGCGGAGCCCTGGAGGAGGCAGAAGCTTCTTCAGGGTGTGGCTGCAGGGTGGGGGTGGACGCTACATGCCCTGGCCTCAGTTTACACCCAGGGAGCAGTGTGCAGCCTGGCGCTCTGGTGGGTCACGAGACCCGCGGGACGAGGGCTCCCCAAGCCCCTTGCAGAGTGCTCAGAGGGTCTGCAGGGCTCTTGCTTCCTGCAGGCGCGGAGGGAACACACTGCATCCGTGCTCTGCCGCGTCACGAGGGTGGAGGCACTGAGGACGGGTCACCTTCATAAACCCTGGGATCCCAAGATGGGGAGGGGAGGGCTGGGAGTCACGGCTTTGATTTTCAAAGCGGTTGCAACAGCCCACTTGGCCGGGTTCCTGCTGCCGTTGCTGCACAGGGCCGGGCTGCCTTCCACGCACGCTGCGCCCTCTGTGAGGGCGGCTGCTCCTAGCCAGACTGCGCGCGGTGCGCTGCTGGCACTGAGGCAGCAGGGAAGTAAGCGCTGCCGTGGGGACCTTCCCATAAGCGGAAGGTTCAGTTCAAAGCTATGAACATGACCTGCACGCTCCTCGATGGCAAAGCTGCTCCCCGTCCAGCACGTGCTAGACGCGGGCAGAGAGGCAGCTCGTTACCAAGCGCGGCCTGCGGCTGCCCAGGGCCGCCACGCACAGGCGAGGGGCCAAGTCAGGGCTGCCACACAGCAGGCGAGGGCCAATTCAGGGCAGGGTGATGGCAGGAAAATGTAAGCGCCGCATCGCTCTCAGTCACTAGTGTCCTCTAGGCTGCCCAGCGCCCGTGAAGTGAGGGCATCTGGCAGGGACGCCCCACCAGGACAGAGACATTGACAGGGGCCACTTTTCCAGAGGCCCCGGATGCTCACCACCGCCAGGGCGGGGCGGGCGGCCAGCACTCTGCAGTGGAGAGTGAGACCCGGGCTCCTGGCCCTGGCCTGACTGGGGGGACTCAAGTCCTACCCCCCGGCGCCAGCTGGGCTCACCTCTTTCTCCCTGACCTTGCCTGGGGGCAGCGATGGGGGCTTTGCGGGCAGGGTGAGAAGAAAGGGAAGGCAGAGCTGGGGGGATGGAGACCAGGGGGCTTTAAAGCAGACGCCAGCACCTCCCAGCGCGGAGGGAAGTGGGCCTGGGCTACGGGCCTGTCTCTCAGAGCTTCCTCTGCGCCCTCCACACGCACCCTGGAGTCGGAAGGCCGAGAACACACGCGCGGGGCGTTGTTAGCTGGACGAACAGGCCGACGCTCAACCAGACAAGAACGCGACACTGAAGCCTGCACTGCTGTTAGACGCTCACAAGCGGGTGTTAGGGTCACACGTACGCACTGAGACGGGAGCAAGCGGAGCAAGCCCGGGCTGCCCAGGAGCCACACCCGCAGCCACCTACCGTCCAGCTGCGTCTTCTTTGGCTGCATGGAGGGGGAGGACAGAGAGGACGTGACCCGGAAGTTTGCGGGGAGAGTCTCTGCTGACCCAGCAGCTAAGCCACGGACGTCCTTGGGTCTAAACTTCTTCCTCCAGGAAGGTGCTCTCCTGAAGCTCTTGTCGTCGTCCTGGCAGACCAAGGGCAGACAGGAGATGCTGCAAGCGGAGGACACAAACCCCGCGAGCAGCCTCCGAGAGGGCGCTGGGCGGCCCCGTGTTCTGCTCGTGCTTCGCCCCGTTCCTGACAACCACCCGGTTCTCGGTCCCAACTTGCAGGTTGAAAGGGGCGTGGCAGCCCCTATGCTGTGACCCCAAGGGGTAGGTTCCTCCTCTCACCACATCCCACCTCACAGGATCTGCCCTGCTGTGTACAGCATAAGCCCTCGGGTCCGGAAAGGGCAGCCCCGCTGTCAGCAGCCCCCCGCCCACCCCACACACTCCTGTCTGCTGTCACGTGCAAGTGTTCCTGGCTCCAGTGCAGTGACAGGTGGCAGCGCGGGAACACCTGAGTGACGTCCTAACAGCAAACTAACGCGGTGTGTCTTCAGCATCCTTCTGAGGTGTGCCCCCAAGCATGGGCTCTGGGCCAGGCAGACGCCGAGGTGCCCACAGGAGACGCCCCACACCCCCTCCGAGGCTGCAGCAGGATCTGAGGGCTATCGAAGCTTGAACAGCAACGAATAAAAAGGGCAGCCACCTTACTGAGGGTATGTTTCTTGACAGCTCTTTTGCTAACAAATTTTGAGCACGACTTCATCTGTAAAGATCATCTCCACACCTGGAGAGATACCCCCGAAGGGCTCATTCGAGGGTCACGGAAGAATTCACGCTTGAGGCGCAATTAAGACCACCAGGTGAAGACTCACCTCATCGAACCTCCTGTCAGTCCCCACGACCAGAAGGTTGTTGAACTCTCTTTCCAACACAGCGCGAGCCTGAAATCAGAGGCAAGCCCTCAGCCGTCTCCAGCCATCAGCCATCAACACTGCTCCTAGCCGAGCCTCCTGAAACACGCCCCCAGGCAGGCCTCAAGCTGTGATGGCAAACCCGGGGTTTCAATGTGCAGCGAAGGACAGGATTTGGGGAGAGGGGCCCACGACCTCTTGGGATCACGCATGAAAGCATGCTGGGTGGGCTGGCGCTGGGGTGGTCAGGAGTCTTGGCCAAAGGGGCACAGGATAAAGGAGCAGAATGAAGCACCCGATCCTCCCGAGCACCCGCAGGCCAAGGAGAACGACGCGGGGCCGTCACCCGCAGAAGCAAAGCCAGGGCCCCGTCCAGGCCCCTCCAGGACAGAACATGCTCGGGGCAGATGGGCCTGCGGGCAGCTCCCTGGCTTTGCAGACTGCAGGCCTCCATGCTGGCAGCGGGACCAGCGACGAGGGCGGGCGGGCACTGCTGGTGCCGGGCCACGACTCCAGAGCGGGGGAGAAGTACAGGCTGCCCGAGCGGTCTTCGGTCTGGCTCCGGGGACGCTCGCTGCACCGCGGGAGAGCCAGCTGCAGGCGGGGCGGGCCCTCACCTGCGTGTTCTGCGTAGGGATCTGTAACAGCAGGGCCAGGGCGTTGAAATCGAAGGTCTCGTCCAGGGCGATGAGCGCGCCGTGCACGCCGCTCTCCACGAGGTTGTCGGCATACTCCTTGAGCCCGATGGAGAGGACCCAGCGCACCACCCGGTCGTTGCTCCAGACGAGCACATCTGCCCGGGGACAGAACACGGAAAGTGGCTTCGGGGGCATCTGGGCCGTGTGGCCCGGGGCACAGGAGGGCGGTGCCTCGGGCTCCTGGCCCCTCAGCACGTGGGGGACGTGCCCTGCACCAGGGCAATGGCCATGGCTCCAAGGGCAGGTCCGGGCCTCCAGGCCCTGGCCTCCCCATGCTCCCCCTCAAGCAGACCCAAGCGGGTGACGTCACCACGCACACTTAAGAGCAGAGGGACGGAAAAGGACAAGGGTGGAGGGACGGGACACAGGAACCTGGAGGCCCGGCGTTCACAGGTTTCTGCAGACATCAGGGCCCTGGACGCTTTCTGTCCTGCACAGGAGACAGCACCGATCTCCTCTGCACCCTACTCAAACCTCTCGTGCATGATCCTGAGGCCTTTTTATCACTTTACAAGGAAACTTAAAGACACTCTCCAGCATGGCAGAGACGCTGGGAGAGGGTCTCCTATCACACAAAGCAGGGGAGTCATCAAATTGCCCCGGTGGAGGCCTGAACGTGGCCATGCCGAGCAGACGCCGGGCCGTCGCCCTGGGGAGTGTACAGGCCAGGCACCGTGCTCGCCGCGCACGTCCACGCGGGTGACCAACCACACCAGCCTCAAGAGGCCTCGCCCCAGCCGCTTCCTCATCTTTAGTTTCTTTCTAAGTCAAACCGGGATGCAGCGACCCCTGTGCGCGTGGGACCCCGGTAAGGATGAAGTCAGTCAGTCTGCGGAAGTGCTTGGCGCCAGGGGCCTCCGATGTTGGTGCTGTTTCTACGTCCCGGAAATTCCAGATTTTGAGCTTCAGCATTTATCTAACGACAAACTGCTCTGCTGATCCCTAGGGATGGGCTGTGTGCGGTGCCCACAGAGGAGAGCACCTCATGCCTTCCGACTGGACCCCCATGACCCTCACAGTTGGTTGAACCCCCATGTCCTCTCCCCCTGCCCTACCTGTTTTCTACCTGAAATGCCACCGTCTTCCTCCCCTGCGTGGCAGCCCCTCCCTGTTCGAGGCCGTCATGGCAGCTCTGTGCCGGCCTCTCCACCTGGGGCAGAGCTCCGCCGCTCTCTCTGTGCCCCTCTGGTCCCAGACCTACTGGCAGAACAGGTCCCCTCAGCCCAGTGCGCAGGCCCACGCCCGCCTGCTGGCCTCGGCTGGCAGCAGCGCCTCTGAAACAAGGTGTGGCAGCACCACAGCAGAGCTCCCGCCTCAGGAACACACCCCCGCCGGCAGGGGACAAGCACGGCAGCAGGCGCGCGCTCCTGGCCATGGGGCGCTCACGGCACCTGTCCCCCTCTCCTCTGGGCCCAGGCCAGGCTCGCTGTCTACACGCAAAGCCTTTCCTGCTTCTCTCTTGAAAACAGGCCCTCGCCAAGGCTGCAGATACGTCAGGAAGCAGAAAGGGGCTCAGCCAATGAAGCCCGCGGTACTAGCCTTTGACCTCACTCTGGCTTTCGTCTCGTTTTCTTTCCAGCTCTTTCCGGTCATAATTTAACTTTCGCAGGCACATGATTCCACACTGGAAACTGTTTCTATGGGGAGAAATAAAAAACAAGTGTTTTAGAGATGGCAACAAACAAAAATCTCTTAGTTGACTGAAAAGCATCCCAAGGCGCCACCTGTGGAAGCTGTCGACCATCTTCAGCTGCCCCCGCAGGTCCTTCTTGGTCAGGTGGTCCAGCATGCGCGCGTCCACCAGGCACTCCATGAAGTAGCTGCGGTACTGCGGGAGGCCCAGGCTGGGCAGCCACTCGTTGCCGACCCACTCGTGGTTCATGTCTCCGTAGGCCAGGGTCTGCTTTCAGGAGCAAAGCATGACCGTCAGGAGAGGCACCGCGGGGAGAGACGGCAGCTTCAACAGCCCCTCGGCTGCAGCGTCGCTGCGTCAGTCTCCACCGCTAAGCTAACATCGTTCTTTATCTTCTCTCAAACCAGTTCGGTCTTTTTCACTCCCTTTCAATGCTAGTAAAACTTAGCAAAAGGAATTATGCCATAAAAACCTGTACCTCAACTGTGCTTATAAATTGAACCTATTTACCCAAACTACAACCAAACGGTAGCTGATCACACATTATCTTTCTAAAATAGTATTTATATTTACAACAAAAAAAGATCACGACTCATGAACAAGTTTGAAGGATCAACCCAACCCTAATCATTAAGAGTACCTCTGGCTGGTTTTAATTTTATTTTTAACACTTAGTTTTCCAAATTTCCTTAATAAAACAGATGTTCATTTCGAAATCAGCTACAAAATAAACGAGAAAAGTGCTAAACAAAGCAGCACCCAGTAGGACCGGAAGGAGTAAAAGACCAGCCCACAATCAGGCACAGGGCCCGCGGCTCCGCCAGTGCCCGTAGTAACTGCCCAAACAGGGACGCCTGCAGGGGCCCGCTGCCGCCCCGCCCCCGGCAGGGACCACCCGCTGAGGAGGCTGGAATCTGCAGGCTCGTCTCCCCCAGGAGCTGAGCTGGGACTCAGCACGGAGACGGTACCGGGAAAGCGCCCGGTGGCTTGGGCGCCGGCGCGCTTCTGGGTGGCCCCTGCGGCAGGGGAGCAGTGGCAAGAGAAACGGTAGGAGACTGCCAATCAAACGAAAGCGAAGACACAGCGTGGTGGAACGCCGGGGGCCCCTGAGCGCCTCCTCCGAAAGGCCAAGGGGGAGCCGTGACGGAAGTCTAGTTTCAAGCACTGACATTATAAATGAAGAAAAGCCGCAAATAACTAACCTGAGATTCTACCTTTAAAAAGCAGAAAGAGAGGAAATAAAATCCACAGCAAGCCGGAATAAAGAACACAGTGAAATAGGAGAAAAATATTAGCAAACAATGAAACCAAAATCTGTTTCTACTTGTCAAGATTTACTGGCCCTGGTCACAGTGGTCAGGGAGAAAGACACAGACGGTCACGTCACAGGTGACAGAGACACCAGGCCAGGTCCTCTGGGCGCCGAAGGATGGACAGGGGAGAGCATGGCCGTCCCCGGGCCGCCCAGAGCAAATGGGCGAGTTTCTCGAAAGACAGTGATGACACCACTCATGGGAAAGGCATGACCTACAATTACTAGAATCCAAATTTTAGTCATAAACTTTCTCAGAGGTAAAACCTCTGCCTGAATGGCTTCCCCAACGACCTCACCACTCACTCAGGAAAGGCATCAATTCCACACAAACGACCCTCGCTCGTTCTGTGAGGCCAAAACCAGACAAACATATCGCAAGAAAACTGCAGAGCGACATCCTCGTAGATACAGATGCGACCCCCTAACAGACCATCTGGAAATGACACTATCAGCTCCTTGGCACTGGGCTGAACAGAAAACCACACCACCTCCTCCAGGGGCGCAGCGAAGGCATTCGAAGGGCTCCTCCTCCCTGAGAGACCCCACCGCCCAGGGCACCTGAGCCGCTGGTCACGGGGAGGAGGGTGGGGGGGCCGGGAGGGGACACCCTGAGGCGCGCCCTCCCGCGAGCAAGAACCCAGCAAGCTGGTCTCTCGCCGCGGGACTCTGCCCCTGCCGGGAGGCGCGGAGAGGAGTCGGCGGTGCGGGGCCAGGGACACGGCCCGCTTGATTCGCAGGTGGCCGTTCTCAGTGCAGAGAACGAAGCCGCAGACACCTCAGCAGAGCTGCGGGATACAAGGTCGGGAGCCGTACTTCCAAATACCAGAGCCGAACCGGGGATTAAAAATGTCTAAAAACTATTCACAGCACATGGAAACCCACGAGACCCTGAGCGAGAACCCCACCGGCCGGCGGGAGGCGCGCGGCGGAGACGAGCCGCCCGCGCACACGGCTCCCGCGCAGGCCCCGGGGCAGGGCAGGCTGGCGCGCCAGCACACCCGCTCTCGGAAATGCAGCCCAACCACGCTGGAGCGAGCGACTCAACGTCAACAAATTCTTTTTTTCACACAACTGAAAGGACCGGCTGCGGGAAGGGGAGGAGAGGCCCCCGCAGACCAGGCGGAGAAGCCCCCGGAGCCCGGCCCGCTGCAAGAGGAAACGAGCGCGTGCCTCCGTCTCTGGCCGCCACGCGTGAGGGGGCCGAGCCCCGACCGCCCGCAGAGGCCCTGCTCGGTCGCCTGTCCACACCCACTCCCGCCTCCCGGCTGATCACGTGTTCTCAAACAGACACGAAGGGCAGGCGCCCCTTATCGGCTCTTGGCTCGGACATCTGTCCGCGGTCTGTAAGCGGCCCCGACTGCCCACTCCTGAGGGTCATCGACCCCCATATCCGTCTCCCGCACCGCCGCCGCAGAGGGCAGGGCCAGCACAGGGCTCGGGGAGCACCTGGGCCGAGCAGGCCTCACTTCCGGCTATGACAGAATCACAGTTGCACCTCAGCTTGGGGAACTCTGCAAAGTGGGGGCCGCAGTGAGGGCCTCTGCTAGTGAGGGCCGCAGGGCCTGGATCACACCCAGGCGACTGACACCCCTGGGCACAGCCCGGGGACGGGGCGCTGAACTTCTGTCTGCCCCAGAGGCACCCCGTGGTGTTAAGGACACTGGAAGCCCCTTCCTGGTCCTCTTGCCTGGAGGGGGGGTCTGGGGCCCAAAGTCAGTTCTGGCTGACTCTGCTGCCGCCAGCAGGGCCCCGGCTCACCCGCCCCACTGGGAAGAGGCAGGCTCCCTTCACTTAACAAAGGCCTCGAGCCCGTCTCAGGGAGGCTCACGTGGAGGTGCTGACAGCGTTGGGGGCTCATCTGAGTAACACGAGGGCCCTTTAGAATCAGCGATGCCGTTACTGGCCCTGTGGAGACACCTGGCCAGGCCGAGCAGCAAACGAGGCCACTTCCCTAGAGCAGCAGCCGGGAAGGGGCCTCCAAGACCCCGACAGCCTCTCTGAGGGCGACACCAGCGAGGCTAGCTCAGGGCGCAGGTGGGGGGGGGGCGTTTCCTTCTCTGGTTGTGACCAGGATGACTGACTGGAGCTATTCGGACGCCGGCAGAGGTACAGTTAGGTCCCTGTGCACGGTGTGCCGCTCAGGAGAGCCCCGAGGACACCAGCCCGCGCAGCCCTGCGGCTCCAACGTGTCGCAGACACCTGGGGCAGGCAACGCCCTGGGACTGAGGCAAGGCTGCGCATGCTCACATGGCTGTTTGTGGGTTCCCCTGGGAGCTGCAAGCTCAAACACATATTGAACAAGCAGAGGCTTGACTTCTAGAATTCCACCAGTAAGAAGGCCTGGGGGCACCACAGGATGAGGACAGGCCTCAGTCAGCGAGCAGCCCAGACCTGGGGTAACGGCTTTTCCAGCTCCTGGGCTGGGAACTTCCTAGAACGCAATTTCCGGCACGGGAACCCCGCCAGGGACTCACACACATCACCTTGGGGCCTCCAGCGCCGTGGCTGCATAGGAGACGCCGTGAGCTACGCCAGCTGGCTGCCATGGCCCGGGGAAGGTTCAAGATTGTCCATGAGACGTGCTCTTTATTCCTACGCTTTGCTTAGACCAGCACTTTCAAGTCATAAACAGTATTCTGATAAATTAAGATGTTAAAGGTCAGGAAAAGTGAACTACAAGTTTTCATGCTCCAATTGCTGGCTGTACATACAGTGAAGAACGTTACAGAGAGTCTCCAACCTGAGCCCAGCTGCCCTCCTCATCCTCCTGAGGTTACGTGGTTAGGATGCAAAAGAACACAACTATTAGTAACGGTGAGCGCGCGCGCAGGCCAGGGGTGCAGTGAGCGGGGGCACGTCTGACACCAGGACGCCATGCAACACTCATGCAAAGCTCAGCTGGGCCTCATGCACGGCGCCAGCCCCAGGCCAAGCACCGCCGGGAACCGTGGGCCAGCTGCCCAGTGGAGGGCACCTCAGCCATTCCAAAGGGCGCGGCCACACGATGGCAAGCAGAGCAAGTCTACCCCCCTGAGCTGGTAGGAAATCCCAAAACAATACAGGGGTTCTCTATTAGACATCGCATCAACCTAATACCCAAAGGAAGCGCTTATCCAGAGCGACTAAACATAAAGGGACATTTTTGTTTTCCACAAAAAGGCCAAGAACTGGGCGGCTGTGGAGGGGGGAGCGGGTGGAGGGAGGCGCACTCGGGGCCGCGACTGACCGTCTGTGGCGTGGCTGCCAGCGTCTCCATCTCTTCGTGTGTTAACCAGACATTTCCTGTGGTCTGGGGAGACCCAGTGACCGAGCACATCCCAGGCCAGGGAAGCAGTGACGGGAGGGAAGGTGGCAGACATGTGAGCGCGGGCATGCGAGAGAGCAGGCGGCACTAAAGCCACTCTTTCGCCCGAGTGGCCTGAGACGCCGTGGAGAGAAACACAGAGCGCCGCCCTCTTGGCCCTTGGAGGGAGGCCACACGGCGGTGACGCTGCACTGTCAGGAGTGCAGCCCGGGACGTCGAGGCCGCTTGACCACCTGAGAGGCGGTGGCCGCAGAGGTGGGGAACGCACTGTACTCCTGGGGCTGGGGCTAGTTCTCGGGGGACCGTGAAGCTACACGTTTAAAACCACGTCACCCAAACAGGCCCAAGAGGAGCGCAGTGCAGAGCCGAGCTCCAAGAGGCGAGGACAAGTCTCAGCAGGAGCCCCAAGGGCTGGGGCCACCTCGCCGGGAGAGGCCCCGGGGCCAGGCGACCGCGCTGGGGGAGCTGAAGAGGCGGGAGTAGGGCTGACATGACCCGCGTGGCGACCCGAGAAGGAGGCCCGTCACTGCCCTGTGTCCACGGGCTCATAAGGAGCTGCCTTCGCTAACACGTGTTAAAGCACCTCCCCTGGCAGGAAGGCCACGGAGGGTGAGACCCAGGACATGCCCTCCGGGACAAGGCTGGTGAGCAGTGGGTGGGCCGTGGGCGCCGCTCACCTCCTCACGTCTCCGAGACACAGAACACAGATGGGCTCTTAGCCCCTGTGGGAAAAGCTGCTGGCAGCCCTGAATCCGAGTGCCCCAGTCTCAGCTGTTCTCTGCAGCGTGGACGGACAGCAGACTGGGGGTGAGCCCCTCAACAGCGTCCACATCTGCCCTTATCTCAACCACCCAGTCTCTTCACTAGAGCCCTTCTTACCCTGTGAGGACTTTCAGGGTGCTCCCGGGCGGGGAGCAGTCAGTGAGCGGAGACAACAAGTGGGTGCACTTGCACACTTACAGACTGCTGACCCTGAGCAGGTGGGCCTGCAGCACCCAGACAAAAGGGTCCCAACCCATCAAGTCAAGTGCCACGAACATGGTGGCAGCGCCCCAGGAGCCAGCTTTGTCCTTTTAGTTCTGACAGACTCGTGTGTGCACGCCCTGCCCTCTCAGAGCTCCTATGAAGCGCAGAAGCGCCTCCCAGGGCGCCCCCCCCCACCCCCCCCACAACTCGCGCAGTTACACGCGTGCTGTTTCGGACACTAACCGCCGCAGCGCACGCTGGGTGCCCACGCAGTTGGAGAAGCCCTGAATGGGACTTAGCACGTACCGTCCTGGAGGTGGGGGGCGCGGAGGGGCTGGTCAGCGACATGATCTCCTGGATGGCCAGCCGCAGCTTCAGGCGGTGCAGGGGGTTGCTGATGCCGATCTCCCGCTGGATCTCCGTGTCCGACAGGGCGGACATGATGGCGCCGCTCTTCACATTTGCTCGGCAGGCAGCCACATACCAGGCGGGCATCCCGACCCAGAGCTAGAGGCGGGAGGACGCAGGTCATGCCAGCGCAGGACGCATGCGATTTCCTCCTACCCCCTCCCATGCCCAGGACATACCTCCAGCCAGACGACGACTGTCGGCCCGTCCCACTGGGCAAAGGGCAGGCCTTGCCTCCGGGCCCCCTCGAGCAGCTCGTGCCTGCAGTGACAGGGGCGCAGGGTTAAAGAGGCACCGTCACCCACAGAGCACCAGCTGGCGGAGGAGGATCCGGTGAATTTTCAAGTCTCATCGCTTTCCTGGAACCTCCTCGCCGTTCGCCTGCGCTATCTGGTCCGCACTGCAGGTTTCCTTGCCTTGCAGGATAGTCTTACCAACTTGAACAACGCCCAGCAGAGCCTCATCTCAAGGCAGTGGCCGCTGGAGGGAGAGGCCAGCGCTGCCCCCTTTCTGAACAAGGAGGCTGCGTGGGGTCTGAACAGAGACGCTGCCACCGCCAGGCCGCCCACCTCTGTGCGACGAGGAGCGAGGCTGGGCAGCAGCTGCCATCTCCACCCTGCGCCGCCCCGCTGGTCGCTAGACGTGGCCTCCTGTGGATGCCGCTGCGGACTGCACATCCTAACAGCTCCTACCAAGACGCAGGAAGCGCGAGCCAGGACACAATCCCATCACCACCACAGTGAGCGGGAGGCCCAGCAGCCCCCGGCTCACAAGCCGGGAGCACACTGCCCCACAACCCTGAGCACTCCAGCCGGGCACAGACATCACGCTTTAAAAGCGATTCTGCTGCTCGTGACAGCTGTCAGAGGGGACACACAGCGTGACGCATGCCTCCCTCCGGTGTGCCGCCTGTCGCAGACTTTCCAGAAGACACGACCCCTAAAGACGAAGGCCCGGGAAGGCAGATGGCCAGACCGGATAAGACGGCCCATGAGCTCGGGCGCGGACGCCCCACGTCATTCTATAAGTCCTGAGCCTTTAAGCCTTTAAGCCCGCAGCGATTCCCGCAGAAGGCGTCGGTCTCTGCCTTGTAGACGTGGCTTGTCAGTGTATCTGAGGAGCGCTGGGCTTCTCTAGTGTCTAAGCTTGAAGCGCCTCAAGTGAAAACGGCGTGTCTAAATTCAACTGAGGCCTCCAGACGACACCGGGGTTACCTGGAGGAACCGTGCCGGAGCAGGCAAAGCAAGGCTTCATAGCAGTTAAAGCAAAAAAGACAAACTTTGGGGTTCAAATAAGCAGAGCTCCTCGATCGTGAAGAAGAACGTGGGTGCGTCAGCGCTGCCACCCTCTCAACCCAGAGGGGCAGGCCAAGGGGAGCAGGGCCTGGCGGGACGGCCGTGCCCGTGCGCCAACTCCCACGCTCAGCAAGCCAGGCCTGCCGCCTCGGGGTGCGCCGCCACCCACACTCCCAGGCCGCAGCAAGCGCCCAGCCAGCGGGGACTGTCCCACGCAGCCCGGTACACACGTGCCCAGGAATTGGGAAGAAGCCAGCACACACTCCCGACGCGGCAGGAAACCCAACTTGTGTGGCGGGCATGGACCGGAGGCAGCAGCTACAGGGGGACGGCGCCACGCATCTGTGTCCAGAAAGGATGAGGACGGGGCCCAGCGCCAGGCCGGTGTCCGAGGCCCAGGGCTGCCGACCACACCGGGAGGTGCACAGCCAGGCGGCAGTCGCCCACACCACATGACAAGTCTTACACGGCGCGAGGACCTGCTGCAAGGGTCTCCAGCATGCCCCCGGGCAGGGAACCAGAGCACTGGGCTTCCAGCAGTTCCATGAATGTAAGAGAAAGGACAATGTTTGTTGCACCCCGAAGAGAATCAACGGTGAGCCAGCGAGATCGCTTCTGTGATTGCTGAGAAGCGAATGAAGCAAATTTCACAGGAGAACAATCAACGGGCAGCTCTGGGGCTAAAGACCAGCAGCCCTCTGCGGAGGGGCCCTGGGCTCACGGCTCTCAGCCCGGGCCCCAGCCAGTGGGGGTCTCACGCCACTGAGGCATGTCCAGACGACTGTCCCCAAGTCAGACGAATCACAGACCCCACCAGGTGCGCCCAGGTCGGCGCCCCCAGGTTTCCGTCTCCTGGCCCACTCTCAAGTCAGGCTACACACGGCCTCCTCTGTGCACAGAGGGCTCGGCTCGGCCAGTGGGGTCCTGGGCACTGTTTCGGCCTATCTGGGACCTACTGGCTGGCCTGGGGCGCGGCCAACTGACACACACCGCTTCTGGGTCAGACAAGGCCGGGAGGTGCAGGCTGCCCCTTCCTGGCCTGATCCCAGCACACAGCCGGGTTCCTCTCAGGAAACCAGTTTCACGGCTATCCCTTGTTTTCAGATTCAAGACAACTCAGATTTAAAACTTATCTGGTTACAAAGTTAAAGAGTCCGCGCACAGCATGAAGAGCAAATCCTGAAAATTCCAGGTACTGGCCAACATTCTGCGCTGGAGGGAAGCGGGGTTCCTGCCTGATAGGGTGCTGGCTGCTGACTGCACTGTGCCTGGCGATGCAGACACAGACGGGAGCCCAGGCGGGACGCCCCAGACAGGCCCACGCAGCTCTGTGCGCAGCTCGCTCAGGGCCCGAGCCCCTGCTGTCTGCCACCACCGTGCGGTCAGCTACAGGCGGACCAGGCCCACACGCACATCCTCGGGGATCGCGTGAGCACACCAAGTCATGCAGAAAGCTTAGTGAGCCCCAAGGCTGGTCTCTGGGAGGACAGCACCCACGCAGCTGGAGCGATGCTCCGCGACGGAACATTGGCCAGAGGTCAGCCCGTCCGGAAACCATCAGCAAGCAGGACAATAATAAGAGAATGACTTTTTTCGGGCCTCCCTGATGGCGCAGGGGATAAGTCTCCACACTATGAAGCTATCGCCAGCCACTGCAGCCTGAGTGCGAGCCCCAGCCAGCCACGGAGCTACCCACCTGGCGCAGCAGACCTCTCCTGTCTCCCCCACTGCTCCCCTCAGCAGTGGATTTCAATCAGTCTGCCTGTTCTGCTCCCCACTCTGTCTCCGGTGGATCCTCTCACCCCCCACACCTCTGGCCTGCACCCAGCTCTCATATGCATAAATAAATAAACCTTGAGAAAAAAAACTTACTTTTTTTGAAGTTTACGATTTTTTTCTGCCTGTCCTCCCAATTTGCTGAGTCCCAAGGCATCCTGAGATGAGTTTTCTGTCTCTGAAATGCCACCTACAAGGAAGCAGAGTGGCTCAAGAAAGGAGAAAATCAAGCTGGCCAGCCAGGCAACCAGTGTCCCCTCCACAGGCTCTGCCGGGGCCTCAGGAGCGCTTGGGCACAGGCCTCAGCCGCTCACCAGGCGTGAAGCCCCTGCCAGCAGGCACCCCGGCATCAGTGCAGGCACTCAGGTGGCGGGAACCACCCACCTTGTCCTAAGGACTCCTTGCCAGCGGGTCCGGGCCGGCCCTTCTCCTTCTTGCCAAACAAGCGGCCAATGGAGGACTTGATGCCCTTCTTCTTGGGGGCCTTGTGCAGCGAGTCCTGGCTGCTGTTGCTGCTGCTGGGGTTGCTCACGGGGCCATCCTGCGAGCCTGTCGAGCTGAGGACAGAAAACCACCTGAACAAGTGCCGTCGCCCACAGCTGTCCCCGTCGCCCCACGCTGTTAACACGCCTTCCTCAAGCTCCCGGTCACATGAGCCCCGACACAACCACGTGGACGCACAGCAGGGCCCAGGGGTGCGACGCTGGGTGCTATTGTGGGAAGCAGAGGGGCTGATGGATCTGGTCCTCAGGCAGGCCCACGGCAAATCACCCAGTGTGGACAGCACGGCCACCGGCCTAGGCGCCTCTCGTGAGCAAGGACGCCCATCTGCTGGCAGCCGCGCCAATGGCCTCCTGACTGGCCATGACAGAGCAGGGCCCGGCGCAGGGTGTCCACTCTCACCGACCCAGGCGCCTCTCACTGGGCACCACTGGGACAGCACAAAACCTCAAGAGGAGGCAGCTGGAGGAGCAGCAGAGGGGACAAGACAGCGATGGGTCCTGGGGAAGCGCTCCACGGCAGGGCGGGGAGGCAGCGCTCTCGGCTCACAGGAACCAGGCTGCCCAGGGGCAGGGGTCTCTCGCAGAGAAGCACCTCCGGGCCAGCGCCTGGCGACGCTCCAGCAGGAACAGAAGTGGGCTCTCGGGGGACTCAGGGGCTCCGAGAAGTGACATTTTCCTAGAGCTGCAGCCCTGGCCAGACACGCGTCCTGCAGGACTTGGCCGCGCTGGGTGGGGCAGGCGTCCCGAGAATGCCCTTTTAATAAGCTCAGCTGAATTCTCTGGGACCCCTTGAAAATCTCGGTTCTGGCTTTCTCCGCCAAGGGAGGATCAATGCCTGGGAACAGACCGCCACAGCGGGGGCTGTGCAGATGGCCGCGCCCTGCTCCTTACTTCCGGACGTCCCTGATGTCCTCGTGGCTGACCGTGTGCGGCGCGCCTTTGTGCAGCCTGTCCAACCTCAGGGGCCGCGGGGAGGCCGGGGGGGAGGTTTCACATTTGATGGTGGTCTTGTCGTCGCGTACCTCGTCTCGGGAAGCCGGCAACTGGTGGATGGAGGCAAGCAGAGGATTAGGCAACCACAGACCGTGCCCCCAAAATCACAGGCTTTACATCATTATCACACACTGCTTCGAAAGCCCATACGCCATGCTGTGCGCCGAGCCTTTAGTCGAGAGTCGCCTGAAGGGCTGTCTCGTGTGAGCGGGAGCCTGCCGAAGCCCGCGGGCCGCAGACGGGCGCTGGGGGTGTGCTCGTCCTGAGCCAGCTCTGCACCCAGAATCCTCTGCCACCGCGGGGCCCCACGGAAGGGCCAGCCAGGAGCTGCAGCCTGCCTGAGAGCACACATGGGGCTCCTGCAAGGCACGTGGGAGGACCAGCGCCCCTCCTCTGGAGAGAGGCCAGCGAGGCAGAGCCTCTGCACGGGGGCATGTGGGGTACGGCCGGGACCCAGTATCTTTTCTAATAATGGCTGAATTGCTGTACCTATAAGAAGTCCGAGAGTGAACCGGGACAAACTCTTTACCCCAAACAGATGTGTCTGCCTTGAACTTCTTGATATTCCTTGAAAATGACTGACCGAGGTACTTATAGGCAGTTGAGAAACGAATTTGTTCAGTAAGGCCTTGACGATGGAAAATATGGCCAATCGTCCCGGGTCTCATGAAAAGGTGATCTCCTCCAACCTCTCTTTTCTTTGGGGGGGGTGGGGGTGGGGGAGGGGCGGAATGTGAGGGTGGAATGGACGGAGGCAGTGGCCACAGAACTGCTGAGCAGATCAAGGCCTCCGGGGTCCAGGCAGGGCGGCCTGGTCAGCTCCTCATGGAGATCAGGCTGGGCTGGACCCTGGGACAGGCCAAGCAACCCCCACAGATATGGGGCTGGGAGAAGCTGCCGCAGGCGGCGAGTATGGGGGAGAGCCATCCCTGTGGTGGGCATGTGGGTGCTGTACCCCCTCCTGGCTCCCGACCCCAACCAGACAACAAAGGTGCCTGCCGAGAGATCCCCAATGTAAACTCCGCGGGGACAGGTTTCAGACTCAGGTTAAAATGACTATGTAAAAAATGAAGCCCACACGGAGCAGGCTGTGGGGCACGCTGGAGCAGCCACAACCTCGATGCAGCCAACAGGTGGCAGGAGGTGGGCCCTCCCCAGGCGCCTCCCTATCCTCGCCTGCTTCACCACGACAACTCCCAGCAGGCCTGCAGGGGCCAGGCAGTGAGCCAGGTGGGTGTCGGGCACAGGAGCAGGCGGTACTTCTGGAGGCAGCTTCTGCCCCCTGCCTGGAGGGGGTGCTGCTGCCCAGGAAGCGGCCAGGGCAGCCAGGCCCTCCGGAGCACACTGAGGGGCGGCTTGTCGTGCTCGTCACTGCACCAGACAGCAAACCAGGGGGCAGCCACACACCCAGGTGACCGTCACTGCCAGCGCTAAGTGATCCAGCAGTCGCCACTGCCGCTGGGTGCCCCCACCCCCACGCTGGCACACACGTCATGGCTCTGGCCAAGGGACAGGGCCGCAGCACTGTCCTGGGAGCCTCTGGCTGGCTTGGGATATGGGCCTGACCTGTGGGCCAGAACACAAAAGTTAGAGGCCACTCTGGTGAACAGCGCTGTCCCTGCACTGCGCTCCCTCAGAGGCCAGCTCACTGTCTCCTGGCCCTGCCTCACTGACAGGGGTGCTGGGCAGGGGTGAGAGCACCCCGAGCCACAGGCGCTAAGTGCTCACCGCCCCCACCTCGGGGCACACAGGTGGCCCGAGGCTCAGGGTCACGTCTGGGAGGTGTTCTAACAGGGGCAAGGCGGCAGGTTCTGGGGCTCTCGGCACAGCCAGCACACCCCACGTCCGTACTCAACGCTGCTGGCAGGGCCACTCGCGTGGGATCCCCAACACCACACCACGGCAAGCTGCCAGTTTCTCGCTTCTACAAACCCAACGCCTGGGCAAACAAAGCACGCAGCCAGGAGAGGGCAAACGAGGAGGAGGGTGGAGGCCTGCCCCGCCCTCCATGAAGACCACCAGTGGCTGTCCCCTGTGCGGCCGCCCACAGAAGTGGCGGGAGTGTCCCAGCCAAGGCGCGCCCCCTCTGCATCCCCATGGGCGGCAGCACCCGCGACGCGCGGTAAGCAAAGGGGCGTGTAAATCACCAGGTGTTTTACCTTTCTGCGATGCTTCCTTAAATCGCTAGGCTGATAGATGCATGCAAAGAAATAAAGAGAAACCAGATTTACTGCACACTTTGAAGTTACAAGTTCAAGAATCAGTACAGGCAAATATATTTTTTAAATGGCAGGACAGATGTAAGGTACTATTTAGAAGAGTGTTTAACTGGAAATAGAATATTTTTTCATCGCACAATTTTAAACACAACGTGTTAGCATTTCATAGAGGAACAACATAAATTACTCCCCAGGGAGATAAACCCTATTACAAAACAAACGCTGTCAGTACACACGGCGTCTCACCTAGCGGAGGGCCCTCACCTTGTCCATGCCAGGCCACGCCCCTCACTTTCTTTCCTCAGTGAGAAACACGTTATACTTTACAATGTCACTCTGGTGAGGAAGCCGCTGCAAGTCCCCTTACACACTCGTGTAAGATCCTTACCTAGAATTTGACTTACAACGTGCCCAGCATAAGGGCGCGGCTGGCTGGGGAGCCCTGGGAGCGCGTGGAGGGCAAAGGCCAGCAGAGCAGCAAGCAGGGTGGCCGCGCTGTAGGTTCCAATTTTAATTTTTTTAAGAAAGTCGACTACAGGCGTGGGTGCAGGGGTTCGGCACGGCGGAGACCTGGCCTCGGCCACAAGCACCAGAACCAGAAAGCGCATCGCCCTGTGAGGCTCCGGAGGGGTGGCAGCAACGGGCTTGTTTTCTTATGTGAGGCGCTTCCACCCACGAGTCAGCCAGACCCACGCAGAGAAAACCCCCTGGACAAGCCAGCTGTGTCCACAGCGGGTTAAAATCCGCCACTAGTAGGGAAGAACCACTTTCTAATGAGAAATGAAGATGAAGCCAAATCCACTCGTGAGCGGTGAGCGGTCAGACACAGCCGTGTCCACACAGTGGCCATGGCCGAGTGCGTGGCAAGGAGGAAGGGGCTGGAGGAGACTGGCCGGGCAAGGCTGGACAGCAGCGAGCGAGCAGGCGGGCGGGAGGCAGACGCGGCAATGGAAAGCGAGACAGAGCGGATGCACCGGCAGCCCCGCAGGGAACGACAGAAACAAGGCCTGGAGCCTCCGCCGTGACTGACTGTCCCGATGGCACCGGCACGAAGCCACGGTGACAGTCACAGAACTTAGCACATGGGCTAGTCAGCTAGGGTGTCAACTGCAGAAAAGGTGGCAGACGTCACGGTGGGCCGCAGCCTGTGCGCACACTCAGGCCGCCCCTTGCCACCGCGCGGATGTGCAGGGGACCTGGAGTTGGGCCTTCCCCTGGGCTGCAGAGGCGCCGGGCTCTCTGGGGTACTGGCACGCCCGCAGCTCCCACAAGGCACTCGGCCCACGGGCGATCCGCTAAGGAGCACCGAGGGCCATGCCCCCGGAAGCAAGCTGGACTGTGGCCCCCCGTGAGAGCCGGGGACCGCCCACCTGCATTGGGACCCCACACCTCATCAGGACACAGGCCCAGCGCCCAGCTAAGGCTCAGGCGTGGTAAGTGCGTCTCTCCTAGAGCCTTCCCCCTGTGCCGGGACAGGGCCCTCTGTGTGTCAAGGAAGGTCTAGAGCTGCCACTTCGTGCCGTCACTCAAACTCGCGGTTGGCTTAACCACGTGTTGGGGAATGAAGCGACTGAAAATGGAAGTTGAGAGTAAAAAATGACAACAGAAATTATAGCTAAAAGTGGAAAACAGGCAACGGCCTCACCAGTAAACAGGCGATCAGCTCAGAGCACCTAACCAGAGGTGACAGACCACACAGCATCCCTTCGGGCTAGACATGTTGCCACCAGCAGCCCAGAGGTCACTGCATTTCTAGATGCTGGGAAGCAAAGACGCGCATCTGCTCCCAAGGGGCCTGGAAGCAGCCTGACTTCTCATGGATACAGGCCTGGCCCCCCGGGCCCGAGGCCTCATGGGCCTGACCCTGCACCCGCGCCCTCCTGTCAGGCCCCAGGGTCAAGACTAAAGATGGCACTGACGCCGTCCTGTTGGCAGGCGGCTGCCTATCCTGACGTGCATTAAACCATCCGTTCCTGGAGGATGCACGCTCTCCCCTGTGGCTGTGGCCACTTGCCCGGCGCCCACGCTGCCAGGCAGTGTGGGGGTCCTCATGTCGCCCCGCTAGCACCGACGTGCTCGCTGGTTTTAGGAGCCTCGGGCCTCAGCGGACGGGACGCGCCTGATTGGGGTGGGGAAGGAAAGCACCCGGCAGCACCCAGGCCGACGCCAGGCATGCGCAAGAGGGGGCAGTGGGCGGGAGGCCGCACGTACCAACGTCATGATGCCCAGTCTGTCCACCTCCCGGGCGGGGCTGTGCGGGATCCTTCGGGGGGTGGACCGGCCACTGTTGGGAGGGGAGGAGCCAGCAAGCGAGGAAGCAGGATATGGGGGAATGGAGCTCATTGATCTAAAACGACCAAGATTGTCCAAGCTTCCGCTGCCAACTCTGCTCTCAATCTCCTCCGCCCGCTGCTCTGTGTTCTCCTTTTCTTCTTGTATCAACCTAAAATAAACGAGAGACAGGCACCCCCTTCAGAGACCAACGCCGGGTGTCAGGATAAAGCCCGCATGCATCTCTGCCAGGAAGGCCGGGGGCCAGCGGCCCACTGGGCGGGACGGCCTCCCTGGGGCTGCAGGGCTGCTCCCCACGACCCCGTGCGGTGTCCCCCAGGGGCACTGCTTTTTGAGCCCCGCTGCACAGAGACGTCAGCACCTCACAACACACGCTCCCTGCTCGTGAGCAAAGCTGCCCACTTACTGATCTCTTTTTCAATCGGAAATCAGGAACGCTTACGTACATAAAAATAATCAACCGACAAAGCAATCAGGAATTTTCAGACACTTAATTCTCCACAGGAGCTGGCTTCCTTAAAGGTTGAATTTGAACAAGACAGCATGATGGAATTCGCTAGCAGCCTCGCCTGAGGCTCTGGGTTCACGACAACTGTGCTGCACGGATGCAGGACTCAAGGCCAGGGCTCCCCTCCTAACGGGCAGTGCAGGTGCTTAAGTGCAGGTGCTTAAGCGGCAGTTTTAAAGGCCGACTATGCAAATAATTACCTGGTATTTATTACCTAGTAAATGCAACTTCCTTTCCACTAAAGTTCTGCTTATGTTCCAAAAGTAACTAAAAAAAAATCTACAAGGTGGTGGGTGCGACCTGCCACTCACACCAGTGGGCAGAACCCACCACTCACGCCAGCACAAAGACGGCACGGAAAGTGAGCTCCTCGGCCAGAAAGCACCTTAGCGGAGGTCAGAGGTGGGGCGCGGGCGGGTGGGAGAGGAGAAAGGGGCCAATGAGTAGAAACTTCTAGTCATAAAGTAAGTAAATCCCGGGAACGTCAGGTACAGAGCAACTGTAACTGTAACGCTGTAGCTGTACCGGATACCGCAAAAAAGGTCACGTGACATAACAGGATCCTGCAAACACAAAAGCTGACTGCAGGACGCTTGCACCCCTCCAGCCTCACTGGGAAAAGACCTTTCCAAGCTCTTCGGGGCCACCACACAGCCTGCCGACTGCCGCAGCCCCTACAGCCCCTCGCCACCCTGCCCGCATCACCTCACACGCCCTGGTCACTTGCTGTGGGCCCACGGCAGGGGCAGGGCTGCCCCCCCCACCCCCCATGTTGCTAGACAGATGTGCGGCCACGGCAGGCCTGACGCCACGCCCCAGACAGAGGCCTCTGGGCTCCACCGCATTGGCACGTGGAGATATCTTCTCTAACTGCTCAGAAGCACCTTTACATGCTGACGGCTGCAAAGACCCAAACGCGGATCCTTAGCCGTCAGTGTCTGACAGAAGCGCTCCTCACGGCACGGTGACAGTGCAGTGCATGTGGAAGTGGGACCTGCCTCAGCTGCTCTCTTCCTGGTGCCAAGTGACATGCCCCAAGGGTGCGGCAGGTAGGATGCCGGCCGCGTGGAGACACAGAATGCCATGTACCACCGGGCACCTCGGGTGCTTGGGGTTCAGCATTCAGGGGCCACACAGGCTGGGAGGGGTAGACGAAAGGCTCACCCTCTCACACCCAGTGACGCGCCACCATCCCTGCCTGTCAGCTGCACTGAGCTCCCCTCGGTGCTCTCCAGCAGGGCCACCAGCTCTGGGGGTGGGCAGGACCCCTTCCTCCACAGACCTCCAGAGAGGCAGCGGAGGCACAACTGAGAGGACACCCGGGTCCACAGAGGAGCCTCCGAGGGGAAGTGTGGGCCTTGCGGTCTGACCACAGGCTGAAGCAAGCTTTCCTTTCAGGGACCTGGTGATTGACCCCAGCACTCGCGGGCCTCTCCCAGGAGGGCAAGGTTCCTGCGATACCTGATCTCTTTGTTGATGGCGTCCAGCTGCTCCTGGAGCATCATGGCGAGCGTCTGGGCATCGGCCTGCCCGCTGGGTGACAGCAGACCCGCCGAGCTGAACAGAGTGTCCCTGTCCTCTTCGCCATCAGACAGATCGACGTCGCTTTCGAAGGCTTGTGCCACGTTGGCCAGGACGCTAGCTTGCTGGGCGCGTTCCCAGTCCTGCTCGTTCAGCGTCTGCACCTGCACACAAGGACGCCAGCGCTTAGCCACAGCAGAAACAGCACCGGCCACCACAGCAACTTCAAAAAAAACTATTGGAGACCTAACACATTTTGAATAGATTTTGGAAGAATCAGGTACGTTTATAAGCTGCCGACGCCGTGAGGCGATACTCAAGAACGAGGGGGCGATCATGCTGTCCTTCGGGCCTCCTGCCACCCATACCTGCCTTCCTGGGGTAGGCATTTCCCCAGGGCCTGGGCCACGCAAGCCGCCCTGCTCCCGTGACCCCTGTGCCGAGCACACCGCGCCCCTCGAGGCCCTCCCCCATCACCACGCCTCGCTGTCCGGGTGGCCCATCTGCTCCCGCGTCGCTCCCACCGGCGCCTCTCCCGTCTCCCCTCTTAAGATAGTAAGCAGGAAACCGCAGCACCTCAGCCCCACATCTCCCCCAGCAACCGCTGCCTTTCTCTGCTCCCGAGAGGTTGAAAGTTCTCCAGAGACCCAAGGGCACCCACCTCTCCCCACTGCTTCAGTGACCCCCACCCCCCGCTTGCTGAGTGGAGCCAATGAATATGCAGAGGCACAGACGCACGCCAGAGAGGTCCCATTTTACCAGAACTTTTGGTCCTAAAAAAAAAGGATAGTGGGCCTCCCAGGTGGCCTAGGGGTCAGTCTCAGGCTGTCATCACGATGGCCTGAGTTCGATCCCGGCCAGGGTGTGACCCACAGGGCACCGCAGACCTCTCCTGTCTCCCCGCTGCTCCCCTCAACAGTGTATTTCAGTGGATCCGCCCGTTCGGCCCCCTACTCTGTCTAGTGAATCCCCTCAGCGTCCCCACACCCTACACCTCTAGCCTGCACCCCAGCTCTTCTATGTGTGACTTTGAAAAGAAACCCTTGGCCAGAATAAAGAGGAGCAAGGAGGGGGAGCGAGACTGTGACTCAGCAGCATGGGCCCCAACCGTCTTGGGCCGCAGGGAGAGGACGGCCTTGCCTTGGAGGGCTCATCGCGCAGAGCGGCCAGCCGGCCCTTCTGGGGACGCCGCAACACCGCGCTGCTGCCGTAGGGGTCTGCGGGGCCGTCCGCCACCGGGAACCGGAAATCGGGGACGCTGCCCAAGTGGGGCCGGCTGAAACAGGAGGGAGAAAGATCGTGATCAGAAGTGAACTAACTCTGTTAGTCAAGCCAGGACCAGCCAATCTGGAGAATCAGCAGCTTCCCAGAAAAGGCCTCCTGGGAGGACGCCTCTCTCGCTGGCTGCGGCGGCGTCCAGTCTCTTCAACCCTGCCGGGCGAAGCTGTGAGGCCCAGGACGCCAGCGCAGTCACAAAGCTCAGGGACGGGCCTGACACCCTGGAGGCCCCCAGGGCAAGTGCGGTCCCAGGCGACCTTTCTGGGGGACGGGCCCCAGCCGGCACACCGGCCTTCACCTGCTGTCACTCCCTCTGATCAGCGGGGCACCGGTGGGTCACAGCAGCCGTCTTCATTCCACCTAATGCACCCCAGAGGCGCCCCAGCCCCTCTGAATGCAGAGGTGATGCCATCTTTAGCGCCCTGAGTGCAAACAGACAAGCAGCACCCCGACTGCCCATCAGGCCCTGGGCAGGGAACCCGCTTGAGCAGTGACAGTGAGGGGCCTACGCGCCTTCCCAGGTGACCCAGAGGGCAGGGGTGACCTGCCAGCTCATCGACTTTCAGTTCACACACACCTTAATTCAGGGCGCGTCTTCCTGAGCACCCCACGGCCGCCACCGTTTGTACTGTGACGCCTGGTCCTGGCTTACCCGCACCCTCGCGCCCGCCGCAGCCAGTCCCTCCCAGGCTCTTCTCCAGACGCCTGGTCATTTCAGACGTCCATCATCATCTTTCCCACTCCTCGGCCTCCTCCCAGCTGAGACCACAGAAACGAGGTGAGCAACGTCACCATGGAACCGTGGAAACAGCCGAGACGTTCACCAGCCACCTCCTGCCACCTCCCAACCCCATTCTGGGCCGGCTGTGACACGCCTGCTCCGTTTCTACAGTCCCAAAAGCAGACTCTGCACGTCACGGGCACAAACTCACTAGCTCTGTCTCCTGGAAACAGGTCCTTGCCGCTGACCGTGCCCTCTTCTGCCCCCCGTCCTCAGAGCAGCCACCGTGGCCTGGGCATGGCCTCCAGCTGCCTCTGAGCACCAGAGCAGAGAGCTTCTGTCGCCTCGCCTGCCACTGCTGACACCACACTCCAGACCGTAACCTTAAAAGCTGCCCGCACTCTGTCACCCCTTGAAGGGCCCACACCAGCCCCACCCATCACTCAAACTTCTGGGGTGCCGGACTCGGTGTCTGCTTCCTCGTCCCCTCACTTGCTCTCTCCCTAGGGCGGTGCCTGGGGTGGTGCCTCAGCACACCAGTGACACCAGCTTTTCCCAGGGGGGTCTCAGTCAGTCGACCGAGTGGCTCTCTGCCCTACTCCTCCTCCATGCAGCCCTCTGCAATCACAGGCTCTCCCTGACCTTCCATCCCAGAGGCCCTGGCTCTGCCCTCACTGACGTCTCGATTCCAGGTGGTGGCTTGGGAGGGACAGCACCAGGCCCCTCAGAGGCCCTTAGTTAGCAGGTATAGGTCCGTGTGCAAAGGCCCGAGGTTGTCCTGGGCCCGCTGCAGGCAGAGCCTGGCTCTACAGGCGAAGACTGTTCCAGTGAGCCACACACCCACCCTGCAGAGCTGCACTCTCATGCGACGAGAGTTTTCTACAGGACAATGAACACTGTGATCCCTGCATGAGAGTCACTGCCTCTGCAACATGAGTAAGAAAGAAATCAGGATGCTCGAGCTTGCTAGATTCATCCCCAGCCAGGTGAGTCTCTCCCAGTCAGGTCTCAGTAGACACCTAGAGACAATGTCACTCACCCTAGAGGCTCTTAAAATCCTGTGACAGGGGCCTCCCTGGTGGTGCAGGGGGTAAGTCTCAGCATGATGAAGCAATGTCTAGCCACTGCAGCCTAAGTTCCATCCTCGGCCAGGGAGCTGACCCACATGGCACATCAGACCTCTCCTGACTCCCTGCTGCTCCCCTCAGCAGTGTATTTCAGTGGATCCACCTGTCCTGCTCCCCATTCTGTCCCTGGGGAATCCTCTCGGCCCCTGCACCTCTGGCCTACATCCCAGTTCTTGTGTGCATAAAAAAAAAAAAATGCTGAGACAGGCATGGACTGCACCAAGCCCACAGATACTAAGGCCGCTCGCAGGCGGCTCCCAGCGCAAGGCCACGCCAGGGGAGCGCCGGTCCTGTGCAGCATGTCATCTCCCACCCTGGGCTGCCCCGGTCAGCACGCCCAAGCATTCACCGTTGCTTCCCACCTTCCACCTGCCCCGTGGATTTGAGTTTGTCAAGGACGGAAGAGCCACTCTCCCTTGGAACGAGGTTTTACTCCTCCCTCTTGCCTGCCACTGGCAGACCAGGAGCCGTGGCCGCAGACGTGGCCCAGTATGGTGCCGAGGGTGCCTGCCGTAGGCTGACACGTACCCGTGGTGAAGAGAGGTCCCTCTCAGTCTCACTTGGTCAAGTTCAGTCCTCAATGCTTCGATGTTCAGTACAAGCTGGTCCTACAAAACGGCAAAGGACAGACGTTGTAGCCCTGTCTTTCAGGATTTAAAATGATTTGCATCAAATGTGCTCAAAGGCTGACCGTGACCATATCCATTAAACGAGCAGTTATAAACACCAGACATCTGATTCGGAGAAAATTTTCTCCAAGAGCCCCATAGGAAACAAACTGCTCAGACGACCCAGTTAACGTGATAAACCACTGAACGCTGAGCTCTTAGTCCCAGCAAAGCTTCTAGAGGCAACGCTGGGCCATTCGGAACTGCTCTCTCATGGGGAAGCCGATGCCCTCGGAGACACCTGCTGCCGTGTGGCTTTCAGCCCCGAGAGCAGGCCCACTCGGGCGTCAGCTTTGTGTGTGCCTGGCTCTTCTCTGTCAGTGATAAAACAAAACAGAACTGCCAAAAACTGCTCTAGGTCACCCAGCACCCCCAGGCCCAAGCTCCAACACAGCCACGAGGCGGCTACGCACTGGCCGACTGGTCCCGAGCGAGGGCTGCCATGGCCCAGCATGCCACAGACGGCGGGCTTCGCATCCGGACAGCGTCAGGAGCTCGCTGATGGTCATGCTCATTAAGTGACAAAATAACATGTTCGCGACAATGGAGTACGTAAAATTAATTCTACCAGTTTCTTCTAAACGTGACCACTAGCAAGCTGCAGATGGCACTGAGGCTCACGCTGTCTGCTGGCCAGCACGCTCTAGACAAAAGGTTTATGCCAGCGTCTCCGCTCTCCAGGGAGCTCAGAAAGCTCAGAGCTGCAAACCAGACACCTGCCAGACTCAACATCCAGCTGGGACCAGGGGCTCCCGGCGCACAGTGGAGCCAGGTGCGGAGGCCATCCTAGCAGCCATGCGCTCGGCTCGGGTCAGCTCGGGTCAGCTCGGGGTGGACGTCTAAGCAAGTGAGAGATGTAACTACCTTATCATGTTGCGTTTCTTCTAGCTGCTTTTTCACATTTTCAACTTCTCGCAGTAGAGAGTTCTGAAAAAGAGAGTCCTTTGGTGTTGGTTCTTGAAAACAAGGGCTGTACACAGCAACACTGCCTCTCTGCTCGAGACAACGAAGGGCAGAGGAGGGGCTGAGCCGACGTGCCGACGAGAGCACATGCCGGCGAGGGGCCCCGCCACCAGTCATCACCCACCCACGTGACACGTACTTCTTCACGGACTGACTTTCCACGTGTTGGCATGCCAAGCTCTCAGCATTTAGTTCATGTTACACTGGGTTATTCTCGCTTTCAGGTTGCGGGTCATCAGCCACATGGGAAGACTTACGAGAACTTTCCAGATATGACGTTCCAACCTCCCACCTTGAGGCTGGCCCGCCCATCAGGGAGGAGGCCGGGCCCAGCCTACACAACCTCTAGGAATGCGCCTCACAAAGATTTTGTGCAAAGCAAAAGTGTCGCAGCTAACAGCAACAGGGAGTCTCTCTCAAATAAGCAAGACCCCGAGTGCCAACCTCGGGGAAGATTCTGCCCTGTGCTCAGGGCCTAGTGCCTCAGGACAGGGTGGACCAACCTAGTCCCACTCCTAGCCCGGAGCTGCTCACCATGGACCGGGCACTCCCCATGCTAGCCACAGCCAAGGGATTTCCACGCTGCGAGGAGCAAAAGGCCAGGCTTAGAGTTTTCCCAAACCAAATGAAAAGAGAGAAGGCGGGAGCTGGAATGTGAGAATGCTAGCTTTTGCGTGATGAAAAGCTCGGGGTGAGCTTTTCACATCCTGTCACACCACACCTGTCACATCCACACTCGGGACAGGAAGGGACTTCCAATGCAAGGACAGCCAAGGGCTATCCCCACAGGCACAGTCTTACTGGCACACCGTCACATCCATTTGTGTAAATCCCACCTATGGCCGCTTCATGCTAATTACTGATTAGTGTGAAGCGATTTTACTCAACTCCTAATAATTAGTGAAAACCTAAGTATTTACCAGCTGGCCCTCTAGACGGTTCGCCAGCTGCCCCTAGAGAGCAGGGGGAGAACTACCCCACGCACAGGACAGCAGGCACAGGACAGGCACGTGGGCTGCATGGCAAGGCAGTGCCCGCGTGTGCGTCCTCCACTCTAGGCGACATCTTCCCCCGCCACGGCGGCTAGCCACTGTCAGGCTTGTTCCGGGAGAACAGCGCCGGGTGGGGGCTGGGGCGGCCCCGTGGGGTCTGCGAGGCCCACCTTATCCTCTAGCGCGGCCATCCTCTCTTTAAGATGGAGCTGAAGCCTCTCGTTCGATTCAGAGAGAAGCTTGTCCACGGTGTCTGACAGGCGTTTATTATGTTCTTCGTTCATCTTTTCTCTCTGCCTGGCCTACGACAGGAGAAAGGACTTGGTAAGTTCACGCAGAGGCACGACCCGTATTTAAAAGCGAGGGCACCCCCCTGCCGCCTTCACTGGAGCCTGCACTGTGGCCGGAGCCGGCGCGCAGAGGCAGGGATGCCGCCACCCCACGTCTCCAGCCCTGAGGCAGGAAGATTACACTCTCAGGGCGCGGCGCAGCCCCGTCTCCACACCATCTACTCCCCGGCAGGACACTCTCCTGCTGTGTGAACAGACACTGGGCGCTGAATTCAGTAGCGGGAAAGGGAGTTTGATTTACAAAGCAGAAGATTGAAATATTCACTTTGGGAATAACTAGCGGAGAGAGACTTGGAGCTCTCTTCCTCTATACCCTCACACAACTTGAGACTGCTATCATGAACATTTATATTTAAACAATTACAAAGAACTACCGCAAGCAATCCCACAATGCAGGAACAAACATTGCTAAGTCTTGTTTTATAAAACTGCCATCAACTTCATGGTTTAAAAGATGGTCTTTGCCCCAATTCTGAAATGAACATGAAAGATAAGGTGGGGGTGGGGGGAGCGCTGATGCAGCACTGCCAGGCGGGCCCCTAGGCGGTGCCCTGAGCCGGCGGGCAGTCTGGGTGCTTCTTCCCGAGGGGCCAACCTCCGGCCTCCCACCCCCCACCTGACAGTGTCCAGGTGGGGTCACAGCCGACCGGAGACGAGGCCACGACAGGATAGAGACGGGGCTCAGCCTCTCCTGGGCCACGTACCCGCTGAAGCTCCTGGTTCTTCTCCTCCAACTGCGCCTCCATCTGCCGCAGCCTCTCCTCGATGTTGCCATGTCTCTCTTCGGCCTGGCAGCAAAAACAGTGTCAGTGCGACGGTTGGGGCGCCGAGCTGGCCGCCGCCTACTGCTGCAGCAGCACCAAGCGGGACATGCTCTGCGGGGTGGCCGCGCCAGCTAAGGGGAGGCCCGACGTCCACCTGGGAACAGGCCAGCGGCTGCACTTGTGCCCCATGCTGCCGGCCTCCTCTCACGGCGGTGCCGGGGCAAGGCTGGGGTGGTGACTGACTCGGTAAGAGACAGACGCGCCTCCCGCCCCATGCCACTCTCAGAGGGCCGTGTTCGTCCCCTTGTCAGCGTGCCTCCGGTCAGTCAGCATGGAAGCGGGAAGCAGCAGGCACAGAAGCAGGGCGCGCATTCTACCTTCCTAAGCTGGGAAGTAAGTTCCAACAGTTTAGCTTCCTTAGCGGCAGAGCTTCCAGAAGACAAAGGGCCAGACTACAAGGCCGACCAGGGACAGGAGAGACGACAGGGGAGAAAAGAAACCGAGACTTTAAAGGCAGATCATGGAGGAGAGCTTGTTAGAGCTGTTAGCAAGACACCTGCTGAAGGAGCTCCTGACCCCAGCGGATGACCTCAGGCCGGCCTGCAGGACCAGCATGCAGGGATGCCCTGCCCTGCCCCGCCCTGCCGGGCCCCTGGCCACTAAGCCGACGGCAGGTGCCCCGGGCCCGCATCTGCTCCCCTCGGCGGACACTGCCTCTCAGCCCAGAGAGACCTCCTGTCCCTCCCCTGGTGGACGCCCAGACGCCATCCCCGCAGCTGCTACATCCATCCTCCTGCCCTCACTGCCCCCGGGGGCAGTTGAAGACTGTGCGGGCAACGGCTGGGCCTCACATGTGCTCAGCCGGCATGTGAACAAGTGAATGAATGTTACTGATAAATTTACTGCAAACTTATTCTGTCTCTAAAAGAGAATGGTGTCAGGCCTCCCCGGTGGCGCAGCGGTTGAGCGCTGGGTTGTGAAGCTGCCCGCAGCCTCTGCAGCGCCGGTTCAATCCCCGGCTGCTCCCCGGCCCCCGGAGGAGGGTCCCACATGGCGCGCAGACCTCTCCTGCCGCCCGCTGCTCCCCTCAGCAGTGTGCTTCGGTCCTTCTGCCTGCTCTGCTCCCCGCCCTGGCCCTGGTGAATTCTCTCACCCTCCCGCGCTTCTGACTGTACCCAGTGCTTGTGTAAATAAATAAATGTTTTTTTTTTTAAAAAAAAGAGAGAATGGTATCCTCCCGTTGCCGGGAGAAGCCGTCCTCACACACAGACGGTCCCAAGGCAGTGAGGCGCTGACCTCTGCCAGACTGAGCGCGTTGACGCGGGGCGAGCACAGCAGAGCCCAACAGTGTCATGTCTGACAAAACTGAGGAAAATTAGTTCAGGGAGAACAGAAACAGGGGTAATGTCTGACGCTTAAAAAGCATCCACCCTCAGACAAGCCAGCACTAACAAGAAGACGGAGCAGTTTGGGGGTTTAAGCGCCGACACTGGCAACAACAAAGAAGGCATCAGAGCCCATCATCGCTGAAACCCAAGTCCCTGCACCCCGGTCCCAAAGAAACGGAGGCACCACCTTGGAGAGGGCCGCCACCCTCTGCGCCAGCTCGGCCTCCACTTCGGGGAGGGTCTCCGCCTTCCGCAAGGTCTGCTGCAGCTTCTGCTCCGCCAGCTCCAGGCGCTCTTGCAACTGGCGGTTCTTATCCTCTGTCTACAAATGAGAGAGCGTCAAATGCAGCAGAACTCTGAGCTGAACCCGCACCTACAAACTGACACAAAAGCTAAAAGCAGACACAAAGCTGGCTCCCCGTGGCCATCCGAGCACTGGTTCTCAGCCCAAGGCAGCCTGCACTCTCTCTCACCATGCACTGGCACCGCCCAAGAAGTCCTTTAAAAAACAGACAAGCAAAGTTCTCCACATGGAAGAAAACTAGTTTCTGTGGATCCTTGCTCACTCTTGTCGGCAAGCAAAGGGTTCAGCATCGATCCTTCCTAAAAACTCCCAAGGCCAGTTCTGCCACAGGCACAAGGCCTAACTGCGGCTTCACCACCTCTGACCACAGCTCTCCCAAGAGCACAAAGCGCTGCTCCAACTGTTTTTGTGAATGATTCTTCTTTTAAAAAAAACCTTGTTTAGGCCTCCCTGGTGGCACAGCGGTTGAGCGCTGGGCTGTGAAGCTGCCCGCAGCCTCTGCAGCGCCAGTTCAATCCCCGGCGGCCGCCAAGGATCCCACATGACGTGGCAGACCTCTCCTGCCGCGCCCACTGCTCCCTCAGCAGTATTATTTCGCCAGTCTGCCTGTTCTGCTCCCCACTCTGGCTCTGGTGAATCCTCTCACCCTCGCGTGCTTCTGACTGTACCCAGTGCTTATATAAATAAATAAATCATTAAAAAGTCTCAACACAGGGCCTCCCCTGGTGGCACAGGTGGTTGAGCACCGCGCTGTGAAGCTGTCTGCAGCCTCTGCAGCGCCGGTTCGATCCCAGCAGGCTGGCGAGGGTCCAACATGGTGGGGCAGACCTCTCCTGTCTCGCCCGCTGCTCCCCTCAGCAGTGTTTTCTGCCCGTTCTGCCTGTTCTGTTCCCCACTCTGTCTCTGGTGAATCCTCTCACCCTCCCGCGCATCGGGCCTGTACCTCGGTTCTTGTTTAAAATTAAAATTAAAAAAAAAAAACTCAACACAGAAATTTAGAAAAGGAGTGGGAAAAAAAAAAACCCCAAACATAAGAACCACTGTGAATTCTGGGGGGCGCACATCTATGTCCACACAGCTACCCTCCTAGCGTTCGTGGGCCCCGCTTGGCGGACAGATGCGTGCAGGCCGCATCCACAGCCACAGAGCTGTCGCCACAAGCCCTGCACCCTCACTGGCTTCAGAGCACTTTGTTTTTATTCCGGGCTTAATGACACCCTCTATGACACACCAGAGAAACGCAGCCTCCTTCCAAGCAGCCGGCGTGGTTCCTCTGGCTAACCCTGGGTCTCGCCACCCGCCTTGCTCCCATGGTAAATGCCAGCACGCAACAGACCAACGTCCAGTCACAACCACAAAGAGACAGCGCTGTGAAGTGGCTGAGCCGCGGGTCAGGTAAGCAGAGCTTGTAAGAGGAAGTAACCCACGCCTGAGCATTCTTCTAATATTCTAAGTTCATAAAAATAACATGTCGGGACTTGATTTCCGGCCTAGGAGCCGCAAGGAAAGGCCGTCAGTGCCATCAGCAAGTGAGAGGGGCCGGCGCCGCACCACTACCTGCCGATGCATAGAGTCTTTATTGGCGATCTCGTTTTCAAGCTTGTCGTTGAGGTCGTGCACAGAGGTGGCCTCCCGCTGTGCCGCGAGGTAGCGTTTCTCCAGAGTGGTGATTCGCTCTTCCATGTCTTCCTTTTGGGCCATGGCCTACAGGAGGTAGTTCAGAAGGAGAAAAGATCAGTAGTTAGTACAGAACCTATTGATGTGGCTGACGGAAAAACCTGGATTAAAACCCAAATTTCAAATCAAGTATAAAGTCCGCATTCTCAGCCTGAAGGAGACGCCAGCCTTCTCCTGCACGCAGGAAAGGCCTCTCGCCTCGGCCAGCAGAAGGCTCGCCAGCTTGCTGCGCCAAGGCTCCTGATGCCACGTCTGGCCACTGTTGACCAGTTACCTTTTCTATACCGGCACCCAAAAAAAATAATAAACATCCCAATGGCCAGGAATCCTAGGAGGTGAAGGTCGGGTCCCCACAATGAAGACAGAGAAGGAGAGGCCTCTGACAACAGCTCTCCCAAGAGCACGCCTAACAAAGCGCTCCTCCGACTGTTTTGTGAATGATTATTCTTTAAAAAAAACCTTGTTTAAAAAATCTCAACACAGGGCCTCCCCTGGTGGCGCAGCAGTTGAGCACTGGGCTGCGAAGCTGCCAGGAGCCTCTGCAGCCCCGGTTCGATCTCGGGCTGCTGGCGAGGGTCCCACATGGCGCACAGACCTCTCCTGCTGCACCCGCTGCTCCCCTCAGCAGTGTTATTTCGTCGGTCTGCCTGTTCTGTTCCCCACTCTGTCTCTGGTGAATTCTCTCACCCTCCCACACTTTTGACTGTACCCAGTGCTTGTATAAATAAATCTTTTAAAAAAAAAAAAACTTAAAAAAAAAATCTCAACAGAAATTTAGAAAAGGGATGAAAAAAATAAGAAAACCTAAGAACCACCGTGAATTCTGAAGGGTGCGCATCTGTGTGCACGCAGCCCCCCTCCTCGAGTCCACATTTGTTTTTATTAGGATGGTTAGTTTCTCAGAAATTACTACACACGCAGACCTGCTGGCCCAAAACGGGTGTATGTGTACATGCTTCACAGCATCGGTAATCTTGACGTGTGTTGTGTACGCCAACTCCATCTCACCGCCTGGCCAGCAACATTAAATACACACACCCTTCAAGGAGTCGAGGTCCAAGACTAGAGACATCCCTGACGCCCCCTCAACACGTGGGCAGCGACGCCCTGGGTACAGGAAGCAAACGAGTGGGCAGCATGGCCAACGCCCAGTCCACCAGCACAGGTACGGGTGAGTGTGACCCCGAGGAGCCCAGCGTAAGGAGGGATGCGTGCAGGCGGCCTGGAGCCCATGAGAGCAGGGGGTGCAGCCCCATGGCCGGCCCGGGGTGGGGCAGCTGCAGCAGCCTTGGCCACTGCAGAGACCACAGGGAAGGGAGGTTGGCACAGAAAAGGGCGCCTGCCCCGCCCACGGCACCCTTCTGTCCTGCCATCACCTGGACAGCAAGCCAGAGGCTGGACCTCACCGGGAGAGTCAGGGTGCACAGGACGGCCCCGCGATGCCTAGCCGCAGCAGCAGCAGCGTCACTCACCTCCCGAACTTCACGCTGCAGCTTGGTGTTCACTTCCTCGGACCGGATGAGGTCCTTGCGTGCCGTGTCCAGGTCCTCCTCTAGCTCCGCCACACGGCCACAGAGGGTGGCCAGGCGCTCCTTCATCTGGCTCTGCTCCCGCGACTGCCTGTCGATGACCTCCTGGAGCTCCAGCACTTTGGCCAGGTCCTCCTCGTGGCTCAGGGAGCCGTCAGAAGACCTCTGCGGGGGAAAGCCCTTAAATGGCCTCGCCGGGCGGGTGTGGGAGGAGGTAAAGGGAAGGCGAGGCGGGCGGTCTGCTGGCTCTCAGCGCCGGGGCTGCTGCCCTGGGTGGGCACAGGCACGCAGGGAGCGGGAAGGGACTTGCCTGGCCGTTGGTGCTCGGTGCGGCTTCTTGCTCACGGCGCGTGTCAAGCACCCCGTCTGTTAATGTTTTTTTCTGGTTATTCTGTTCTTTAAGAATCATTAGCTAGATCAAAATAACAACAAAACCAGGAGAGGTTGTGAGAGGGGGAGACGGAGGCAGTGAAGCCCCATCTGGGAAAGCGCGCGCTGTGCCGCAGCGCACAGAAACAAGGGACAGTGAGGCAGCACCCTGACTATGGCCAGTTCCAAGGTAGAACCTTCGGCCTCCTGGGCATCAGGTGTGGGCACCTGCAGCTCTGAGGGGCAGACGAGGGCGCTCGCTGAAGCGCCTGCACAGCAGCCCCACCCGTGAGGGCGGCCCTCCCACCGTGAGGTCAAGGACAGAAGCCCGGGCCCCAGCCACACCAGCCCCAAGCGCACCTCCTTGTGTGTGGCACCCAGCTCCTCCTCCAGCAAGCTGCACCTCTCCAGGGCGACTCGCAACCGCTCCCTCACCTGCAAAGGAGAGGCAGAGGCCACCGGGGCATTACAGGCCGCTCCCCAACAGGCAGAAGGACACCTGCAGAGGGACACCTGCCACATGCCTCTGACCCACTGCCAGGAAGCCTGCTTGTTAGCAGCTTGGCGTTGAATGTTTGAGAAAAATCTTCCCTCTACACAAATCACATTACCCGAGCCTTAGCCACAAATCAGTACAGGTCTACACCTAAGCCAAGGAGGCCAGCTAGTGCATTCATGCTCCGGGAACTGGCAACAAGGAGTCACAGGACACGGCTGCCCACCCCCGAGCCACCGGCACGAGCCCGGGAGGCACCTTCTCATCCAGAGCCTTGTGGTGCTCGAACAGCGACTTCAGGGCCTTCAGGACCTCCACCTCGCTGGACACGCCCGCCGGGGACTGGGCCTGCCTCTTGACCACCGTCATGCGGAGGGAGCGCTCGTGCCTAGAGACCAGGCACTCCAGGTGTTCCAGGAGCAGCTGGGAGAGGCAATAAACATGCTGGAAGGACCGGTCCCTCTCAGGACTGGCCCGGGGCATAGGCCGCTTGTGTGCCAGCCAGTCTGAATCCCTTCGATGCAGCCCCAAGTGAGAGAAACCTCCCCCGCAGATGTATGAATTCTCATCATCAATGCTAAGCCCAGCGCGAGAAGGCTGACTGACCCCAGTGGCCTCAGGGGGAAATGTGGGGAGCGGGCCACATCTCTCCGAGCCGAGCGGGCCGTCTGCGGGGCCCAGAGATGGCAGCGCCGTCCTCCGGGCCCGAGAAGCCGCCCAGCAGCTACTGACCCGCGTGTTATTTCTCTCCGCCTTCAGCTCAGCGATCTCCTCCTCCCGCTCTAGGAGCTGCTCCCTGCAGACGTTGAGCTCCTTAGTGAGGGCTGCGAACTCCTAGGGACAAGAGGCAGCCCCATGAAGGCCCCCATCCCCGCAGAGCAGGCCCGCACTCTGGTCCTCCAGAGAGAGGGGAGCCAGGTGGCCAGCCCAAGTCCACCGCCCCCCCCCCGAAGTCGGGCTCACACGCAGGGCCCTCCAACGGCCCAGAGAGGCCCAGACGTGGGTGCTGACATCAGGCCCCGAGGACAGTGTGAAGGGACCCGGCACAGAAGCCCGGCCCTCGCGGCCAACCTCCCTTTCCTTCCAGGTCAGTCTCCGCCGGGGAGACCGTGCGTTCTGGGGACAAAGCCAAAGGCCCCGAGACTGGCAGCTAATCTGGCAGAGCCGAGCCTTCTGCGCAAAGGGCAAGTTCAGGAGACTTCCTGCTCAGGCGCGCGCTGGTGCTCCCGGCAGGCACCCTGGCGGAGGAGGCAGGGCCCCGGCGCGCCACCGGTCAGCTCCCTCCACGTGAGCGCCAGACTGTACCCGCTGGCACAGGAAGTGAGCTCAACTCCTCCTGCACATTCTCGAAGGAGCAAAACGCCAAAATAATTAAAATCACCTGCCCCTGCCATTGTTTCCCTGCACTGCAAGAGCTTTCTCTTCAAAGGACACAAGCGAGAGGGCCCCCGCAGAAGTGACAGACCCCCGACACTCAGTCACAGGAAACGACGCGGGACAGCGGCGCTGCGGCTCCCTGGCCGGCGGTCCTCGGCCGCCCCGACGAGCCGCGCCACAGGAGAGCTGCCTGGCAGCTGCAGGAACGGGCAAATGCACTTATTTTTTCCTTGAAGGCTGTGACTCTGGGAGGAGCGAGCGGGGGGCGGGTGGGAGGCAGGTCATTTCTCTGCTACACTAGCACTTCTTCCAGAGCCCACGACCGGCGGTCACTTTGCAGCGGGACAGCCTGTGGGGCTCCGCGGGCCTGCGCCCCAGCAGAGCTGGAGAAAAATCACACACAAGAAGCCTCCGAGACGGTCCTCCCAGCGACAAACGGGGAAACCGCTGTTCAAGAAAACCTACAGAGACTCCGTGCGGAAGGCAAAGCCCGCCGGCTGGGGAAGGAAGAGCCCCCCAGAGGCCCGGCCCAGGACCTGACCACCCCCCCACACGCTGCGCCCCTGCGAGGAGCAGGACAGCAGCAGTTCTCGTGATGCCGGTGCAGAGAGAAGTGGGGGTACGGCGGGAGAGGTGCTCTCTGGCCCTCCCTACCCCCTCTAGGGCGCCTTCTTGGTTGTAGGGAGGCCCTGATCCCCTGGCTTTGGGGGCCCCTGCTGTCCCCACCCCCCTCCAGAGGGGGACTCCCGGTCTCCGCCGGAGGGGGACTTCATGGGTGAAGTTTAACCACAAGGTGCTGCCAAGAGTGGGTGGTTGGGGCGGGCGGAGACCGAGACAGCGGCTGGCCAGGCAGCGGGGGAGAGCTGGCCCTGAGGCGGCAGGGAGGCCCTGCCCAGGGTCGGGACAAACACCACACTGTGACCCCAGGCGCAGCTCCTTGTGCGTCAGGATCCTACTGGCTCCCTCTGAAGAGGAATCTGCACCCCAAGCACTGCCAGGGCTTCACAGCTCCGCGAGGTCAGGGAAGGGGGGAGACCTGCCAGTGCCTGGCACCCAGGGGCTGTGGCCTGCCCAAGGCGGCAACCTCCCCGAGGGCAACCTGGGACAGACGTCACTAAAATCATCCAGCCGTTCAGTCAGGGGCCCAAACGGCAAATTTCATGTTGTGCATAATTTCCTGCACACGCGCGTGCGCGCACCCACACCCACACACATTTTTAAGACAAGGCAACCTAAGAGCACAAAATCAGCGACGGCGCGGACGACCGTCGGGAGCCTGTGGAGGCGCCAGCCGACAGGAGGACGCCGCGCACGCACGGCGCCTTCCAGCCCCGCAGAGGGCTGCATCCAGACCACAGCCTCCGGCGGGGGTGTGGGGAGGGGCCCCTGAGGCCGGCTCTCCTCGTTCCCCACCAAGTTCTCGCAGGGACTGGCTTCACACACGCCGGGTTTAGTCAGATGCGATCCCTGACTCTCATCTGCCCCGGAGAGCAGCGCGGCCGACGCGCAGGCGGCTAACACCCCGCGCCAGCCAGGCCGGCACCAGCTCCTTGCAGTGGGGCGGCCGTGAGGCCAAGCCGGCGGGGAGCTGACTGCGGGCCTGGGGGAGCGGGGTCTTGAGTGTGTGTGAGCCTCGGCGCCGAGGTGGCGGTGCGGGTCAGGCTTGGCCGTGGCTGGGAGTCAGCGGCTGCGTCTTGGACCGTGTGCGCTCCCAGCTTCCTCCTCCTGGCTAATCTCTTTCATTCGCGCAATTTCAAAGTGGCTTCTTGCCATGCCCGCCTGCACTTGTTTCTTTTGTGTTCATGGGGTTAACTCCTCTTCTTACGCACCGTAAGCACACTTACTCTGGCCCTCTAGGCCGGCCTGGCACAGGGCTCGGTGCAGGGGAGCCCGGCTCCAGAAGGAGGTGCTCAGAGCACGCCTGGTGTGTGGGCCTGGGTCCCAGCACTTCCGTGGGCGAGGCGCCCCTCCTGCCTGCTGTCCTGTGGCTCTGCCTTCAGGGCCTCCCAAGGCTTCCACAGGGCCAAGCTCGGCTTCCACATCACTTAGGGCCCCTGCTGTGCGGTTATTTGTGACCCCACTAGGGGACCCTGAGGCAGTGCGGCTCTCCCACTAGACCCACCACTTCCAGGGGATTTATTTCGGCGTTAGCCGGGAAAGCTCACCTGACTCCAGGTTCACACAGTGAGTCTGAATCAAGTTCTGATTCCACCGTGTACTCCAGTCTCTACTGTGCCCTGACCCAGGAAGCCACGTGTCCTGCCTGGCGGACAGAGCGCAGAGGACTGGGGCAGGCCCGGGCCTCGCCAGTGGACACCTGCCATGCTGGACTGCTGTCCTGACCCTGTCCTGAAGGCTCTTTCTCCGTTGGGGCCTGCCTGTGTTTGGGGGATTCTGTCCTTAAATCTATCTACACTGACATGCTCAGGAGAGCAGGTCAGAGCAGGCTCATGTCCCATCCTGAGTGGGAGGCCGCCCACCAGGGCTGTGCACACCTGATCAGGCCTGCCTCCTCGGGCTGCGCTGCAGGACAGGCAGACAGGCCAGCCTTGACCGGCAGCGCGGGTGCTGAAGGAGACGGCCCCCCAAGCTGGATTCCAAGCAGGAACCAGCGACCCAGCTGGTGAGAGCCGCTGCACAGAAGCACGGAGGGCCAGGATGACGGCAGGCTGGCCAGGGCAGTGTGCAGGGCAGTATGCAGAGTAGGGTGAGCTGGGAGTGGGTGGGCAGAAGGATGAGCCGGTCTCACTGGGAAGGCCCAAGGGGGCTCATCACACACAGGCCTGGGCCAGGGACTGGGCAAGCCCTTCCTGTCCCGGGCAGGGCTGGGCGGGCACCCAGGATGGGCTCACGGGGGCGGTGTGTGAACAGAGGCAGAGTGGGCTCTAGGAGACCAGCAGCAAGAGCCCCGCGCCCAGCCCACGGAGCAGTGAGGCTCTGAGGTGAGGCCAGTGCTGGGGAGCGGGGGCCCAAGAGCGAGAACACAGTAGCTGCCTGATGCCCCTGTGAGCCCCACGGGTTCTGGAAGCACCCGGGACCGAAAGACGCGCCCTCGGGGACCGGGACGGGCAGGAGCCGCCCCCGCCCCGCAGCGAGCACACAGCTCTGCAGGCAGGTCCCAGACAGGCTTCCCGCAAGGCGCCAGATCCGTGGCCAGAGCCGGCAGGGCCGGGAGAAGGAGGCCCAGAGCGGGCGCGCAGGCCCCAGGCCGCAAGCAGAGGTCTCGGGGGCCAGGGCTCCCGGAGGACCAAGTCCGCCGCTGCTGGCCCTGCCAACCCCGGCCCGGTGCCTCGGCGAGCAGACAGGGAGGGCAGGCAGCGAGGATGAGCACCGGCTCTGGGGGCGCAGGGCAGGGGAGGGGTCAGGAGGAAGGGCAGGGTGGACAGAGGCAGTGGGGAGGGGCTGGGAGACGCTGCTGGAGTATTTTCACCTGAAAATAGAGGACGGGGCAATGCAGCCATTTATCTCCACTTGACATTTTCTAGGCTCGCTCTGAGAAGAGGGAAAACGATGTTTAAGCAATGAAATCAGTTCAGAGCTTGGTTTGACATAGTGCTTGCAAATGTCACCATCATTTCTGGGCAAAAGGTTCAGCTCTGGAGAACAGGCTCAGGTGACACAAACCGACACTGACCAGAATCCACCAGGAGGCCAACAGGATTGAGACAGGCGCTGCGGGCTGGTGGCCACAGCCGGGCAGACCTGAAGGGCCTCACGCAGGGGGCGGTGCGGAGGGCCGGGGCGCCCTCCCAACGGGCAGCGCGGCCTGCGCTCTAGGACTCATATCCATTTCCACTTTTAATGACCTCCTGCTGTTGCCACTAACCTGCTGGAACGGAAATAAAGCTTCACCTGAGGCAAAAAGCTTGTCCTGAGGTGCAGGGATGGGGCATCACAAAGGGGGACGGGGCTCGAATTCGCAGCTAGGCGGACGAAGCCGAGAAACTGACCTCCGCAGGCACGTCCAACACTTACCTTGTCAGTACAAACTATTTCCCTCCCTCTTAGGTTTAAAAGTAAATTCTGCATCAAAACAGAATCGCAAGTTTTCATATGAAATCGAAAGCGCAAATGGTTTGGGACTCCACGGCGTCTTGACAAAGGTTTACACAGGGGCCGGGATCTTTCACAGCTGACAGGGTGCTCGGAAAACACCGCAAAACCCAACGGGCGCGGCAGAGCTGGTGCGGCCTCTTGAGGGGCGGATGGTCACCCCGGGCTTAGCCACCGAGTCAGCGGGCCCAGGGCGCGCGCAGCCCATAAGACAGCACCCAACACCTCCCGTCTAGCCAGGCCCCACCCCGAGCCTTCCCGCAGGCAGGCGCTCGCCCTTTAGGTCCAGGAGCCACTTCCGGGGTCTCAGGGCAGGCACCCCGACCAGCAGGGGAGTGGCCAGGTTGGTGACCACACCGCCCCACCCTCCGCTCTCTGGATGCCGCGTGAGCTGCTGCTGAGGC